TTGTGTGGGAGGTGTGACTTGTGTGGGAGGTGTGACTTGTGTGGGAGGTGTGACTTGTGTGGGAGGTGTGACTTGTGTGGGAGGTGTGATTTGCGTGGGAGGTGTGATTTGCGTAGGAGGTGTGATTTGTGTGGGAGGTGGGACTTGTGTGGGAACAGTGCTGTAACCATCACATGTATTGTTTTGTATTGCTTGATGATATGGAGCTATCTCTGCTGGAACTGTACAGTTGCAACTTGCAACTACGTGCGGTTGAAAGGCAATTTGGCTATCATTGAGCGGCTCACCTTTCGTGTAAGAAGGAAAGCCAAACAGCATCATGTTTTGGCAGATTTGAGCTCCACAATCACAAGGCAGCTTCGTTCTGTTCCAGCCAAGAATTTGACATTGAGGATCGTATGGACAAACGAACTTGCATTCAAATTCGGGTTGATTTCGAACCTGTCCACAATCAGGTGTTTGGTACGGTAAGATTTGTGGCGTTTGGTACGGTAAGATATTTTGTCCATCATTAAAGGGAAGTGCTTGAAGTTTCGTTTTGTGCTTCTTGATTTGCCCATCGTTATAGGGAAGCGGTTGAGGTTTCGGCTTATGCTTCTTGGATGAATGCTCCTTGTGTCTCTTGGATTTGGTGCATGAGAGACTTTTGTTCATACCTTCGCTCTGCTCAACATTTGCTGTGAGGATTTAGGAAACAGTTAGCGGTAGAAGCTTAGCTCTTGGTCTAGCGAACATACCTGGCAAAGTATAAGCAATAGAGAAAAGGGCAGAAAGCAGTAAGAAGATTATCTTGAATCTATGCATTTCATGGAAAAGATGATTGGGGGAGAGTGGTGTGGGAACAATGATGGGGGAGAGCAATCAAGAAGGTGATGCAGTCATGATCTAGAACATAACGTACAGGAAGCAACGGATGAACAGCACCGAGACTGATTTAATTTGCACGGCAACCGCCCATTTAGACGTCAACGGCAGCGTTGCATACTGTCCGGGCCTGGAAAGTAGCACAATTTTGGGTCATGCTTCCGTTTCTGCAAGTCAATTGGAAGGTAAAAATGATCATCGCCGATCTTTTTTTGAATTTCAGTCTTTAAGTGCATGTCCCGATTTGCTTGTGATATGGTGCAATTTCTGCCGGCACACAATCATTGGGAAAGCAGGTAGCCAAAATGTGTGGCTGAAGTTTGATTTGCTTATTCGTCAGCGGTGGACTTTGCTTATCGCCTATTGATCCATATAAGAGCCCATCCGCACAAATCTGTTCAAATTGTTATGGTCAGCTGATGGTAACAAAGATCGAACAAAGAAGCAAAAAAGTTCACCTGTGATGCGCAGGAGCACGGAAATGCAGTAAGATTATACCCAAGGGTTTGACAGTTGGAATCCTCATAACATTCAATACTGCAAACCGATTCCGGATCAATATCGCCGCAAAATGGAACTTGATATGGTAAAATCTTCACCTCTTCTTCCTCTAAGTCGTGTGGCTGATTTTTACCGCCTGTAGAACATCATTAGGTCAGTCATAAACACTAGACGAGGTTCGATTGACCCACTCACTTTGTGCTAGCGAAAAATAAAGGTTCAATAAGATCAACAAAGTGCATTCGTTGAAGCGCATTCTTTTGTGATGATGTTGGTAGGAGATCGATTGATTAGGTGCGTCCTGGTGTACCTTACTTAATTTCACAGGAACGGAACAGATTGCGCCGAAGGGGTCTCAAGCTTACCCAAAGCGAATTAATAATAGAATGATAAAATTGAATCAACGAAATTATGATCACAACCCCTAATCAAACATTTATTGCAAGTACCAATTTGTTTGTGATACGGGGCAATTTCCGTAGGAACGTATCCGTTGCAAGCAGCCTGGACATGTGGTGTATTCTCTAATTGTTCATCAGTCAGTGGTGTACCTGAATTGTACTTTGGGGGTCCATAAATTTTTCCATCGGGACAGTACTGTTTGGGAGCAAATGTTCAATTTCGTTGTCAATCATCAGATTTCGATCATGACCAAGAAAAAACTTACCTGCGCAGGACATGCACAACTGAAGACCGACACATTGAAGTCTAAGTTCTGGCATCTGAAATCTTCATAACATGGAAGGGTGCACACATCATCTGGGTTGTCATATCCACAAGAAGGAGTCTTGTACGGTAAAATTAGAGGTCCGTCCTCTGGGAAGCCTGATTGGCTGTTTCCACCTGTAAAGAAGAGATGAACATGTAAGATAACCAAAGATAAGACTCTTCTCTACTCACTTTGTGCAAGCAAGCCAGAAGTACTGATTAAAGGCCAAGCGAAGATAATGGCAGTCTTGAAGAAGAGCATTTTTGGTTTACTAGATGGTTTCAGGATGAAGATGACTTGAAGCTTGTCAGAAATTCTCAGCGATTCTAGTGTCAGAATAAAGGAAAGCGGAGGCTGAAATGAGACTTTGATAGCCGCTCCGCTCCGTAAAGGTGTATTTAAAGTTTGATTGACGCAAAGCGGCTCCGTAAAAGAGTGAAATATTATTACTGTTGTTTACATCAGTATTTGTGTTCAGCAAGAAAGGTAAGAAAAGGCTCACTCTGGCTGATTCACCTTGATGGCCGTGGAAATCTGAGTCATTATATGAGCGTGTACATGGCTGTCCGCTCATTTGCCGCAAGAGCCAATCTGTTTATGATGAGGAGCAATCTCAGCTTGAACACAACCATTGCATGGAGCGATGACGTGTAATTGTTTGGCCAATTGAGCGTCTGTAAGAGGATGACCAGAAATGTTTTGATTATAATACGGAGGTCCGTAAATCTTGCCATCGCTACAGTAAGTTGCAGGACAATCGCACCCGATTTGAGTAACATTCCATCCTAAAACTTGACAGCTTGCGTCCAAGTCACATTGTTTGAAACATGTATAGCCTGGTGGCGTTGAACCACAAAGTGGCGTCAAGAATGGCAAGAGCATTGGACCATCGCTCGGATGAGGATCTTGATCAGATTTGGCGTGCTTCTTAGATCGCTTGACTAAATGGTCGATACCTTATGAAATATGAAGAGCGTTAATATTAGATGAACAAGCTCTTACATCATCTGTTTTATACACTTACCTTGAACTTGTAGGATAAATAATAAAGCCGCAAAGCAGATTGTCAAGAAGGTAAGAGTCGCTTTGAGTGTTGGCATTTTCGCTATGTTTGCTGTGGGGTAAGTGAAGGTTTGAGAGAGAGTTTCATACTTTCTTTTACCTACATCGTATCCTAGCTAATTCATTCTCACAAAATGATCATATGATCAAATTACGGTACCGTGAGTTTTATCGGTGGCGTATATTATCAACGGAAATTAATTTTCGCCGTCATCATAACGATGTTCGCGTATATTATGATACTTTGCCCACTTGATGATAGCATTCCTGCCTACGTAAAAGTCTATACATCATAATGCACGATCTAATGCATCTAGGATAATTGGTAAGCTAGGCTTGAGCTCAGTTGTAGAGCATTCAAAGATGGTGTGTATGCATGAATTGAAGAGGAAAAAGATACATGAATGGTACTACGGCCTTTTCTTTCGTCAAATCCAGAGATGATCTCTAAAGCATACGTCAAGGGCTCTTTGTACAATTAGCCACAATTACCAATTTGTGTGTGATAAGGAGCGATTTCTGCAGGTACACAACCGTTCGGGAAGCATGAAGCTAAAACATGAGGTTGTTTAGCGAGCTCTTCATCCGTCAAAGGTTTGCCTCCGTTATCATTGTAATCTGGCGGACCATAAATGTTACCATCAGGGCAAATTTGTGCAGGACAAGCACATGAATAAACACTGACGTTGAAACCAATGGTTTGGCAGTTCGGATCTAAATCACATGGAATCGAGCATAGGAACCTTGGATCTGTCTCTCCACAAGCCGGCGTTGGATAGGGCAAGACCTGCGTACGTTTGGCTAGCTTACCATCTGTTTGTTATACAATTGTGAGCTCGATTAGCCCAAGGGATTAGACATGCTGTCTCACTGACTCACCTGTCAATTTCAAGCCATTGATAGCCAGAACGAAGATAGCAGTAAACACGAGTAAGGTCGACTTTAAGTGATAGAAGAACATCTTTGGAACGAATTGGAAGAAGGGATGTGTTTGAGACGCACTTCGGGTAAACATATATATTTAGCCTTACTTTTATACCTTACTGAATATAGCCACGGTTTCTTATTTGACTGAAGTTAAGAAGAGGAAACGGAAATCCGTATGCAATAAAGCGGATGTGGTCATTGCCGTTTAAGAAATATTGCTACTCCGGCCAAACACGCATTACCGACTACCGTTTGACTAAGTTTGTTTATTGTACCAAGCTCTCTTCTTTACACAAAAAAGCCACAATATCAGGTTTGCGTGATATGACGGACGCAGAATTCATAAATAACAAGAGGAAATAGGGGTTGCCCGATTAATTTATACGCTTCTCCGACAATTCATTATTCTTCCACAACGATCGGAAGACGAAATAAGATGGTACCGCCTGTTGCAATTTGGGTAACTGATCCTGCTAAACAAATGCAGCCGTTGTGCATGTACATTCAGCATTTCTCAGACAGATCCTATTATTGATATATTCCACACTTTGCCAGTACGTCTTAGGTTACGAAGCAAATCTTTGACCCAACTTTCTGTGTCACACAGAACTCATGAACTTTGACATGGCAACTTAAAACTCCAGGCTCTATTTGATGAGATCGATTAAACAAGCTTTGAATTAATCCAAACTCGACTTAATGTACGCAAATGGTAAGATCCTATTGAAGCGTACACTTTCGCTCGTTATGAACTGTTTGGCTCCGGATCCGTACCTTCTGGAGGAGTGCAGACGCCAATCTGTTTGTGAAAGGGTGCAATGGCAGCAGGAACACAACCATGAGGAAAACACGTTGCTCGAACGTGTGGTTGCTCAGACAATTCTTCGTCCGTCAAAGGTTTTTGTGAGTAGTAAGCATATATCTTACCATCTGGGCAAATCTGAAAGGACGAAAAAAAAAAAGAGGTCAGCTTAGAAAAGTAGGGATGAAGAAAAGAACCTTAAAACTTTACCTGGGCCGGACATGAGCAGGGAATCTTGCTTCGATCGAATCCTAAATCTTGACAGTGTGGCTTCTTTCTGCAAGTAAATTTGCATGCATGTTTCGTATTCGAACCGCAACTTGGTGTTGAGTATGGTAAAACACTTCCATCACGCTTGTTATTTCCTTCTGAAGTACTTTCACCTGAAATGAAATGATTGTTAGTGCAAAGTGTAAAAGAAGAATAAATTCAACGTACCCATTGTCACAAAGGCGAAAAATGCGAAAAATGCCAGTGAAATTTTTGTTGAAATCGATCTCATGATTTGCCAACAAAGAAATGAAGAGTGATGGAAGTAAAGAGGAGGATAAACAGGTACGCACCCACCCCTTTCGTGAATGGAAACTGTTTTCAATATAATTTTGGATCGTAATTTGCAACATTCCTCTATAGCAACCCCTCAATCGGTGCAGTATTTCAGGCAGAGTATTAAGTGTATTCATTAAAATGATGTTATACGACAGTCGAGATCAGGGGTCGTATCTCATGAGCAAGTATTGCTGAAGCAGCAATCTGGCACAACCAATGGCATCCCAAAATCGTCTTGGCCTCTGCATTGGTCATCTGTAGAGCTGCCATCTTTGCATGAGTTATCAGCGCAACAATCTGGCACAACAAGTGGCATCCCAAAAGCGTCTTTAGCCCTGCATTGATCATCTGTAGAGCTGCCATCCTTGCATGAGTTATCAGCGCAACAATCTGGAACAACGAGTGGCATCCCAAAATGGTCTTTGGCCCTGCATTGATCATCTGTAGAGCTGCCATCCTTGCATGAGTTGTCAGCGCAACAATCCGGTACGACAAGTGGCATCCCAAAGTCATCTTGGCCTCTGCACATGTCATTCGTTGAAGGGGTTGGGTCGGTTGGTTGCGTGTTGGTAGGATGACCTACAATAAGGTAACATTGTGTGTCAGTATCATTGCGAATCAAATAGCATTCAAACTCACCCTTCACCACTAAAAAGAGTAGTGCAAATAATGGCAAAGCGAGTTTGAAAGAGAGCATGTTGAGAAAAGTCGAGAAATGGGGATAGAGAATTGAGATCAGATGTGGTAGATGTTAAAGCCTTGCATATCGTGAGACTGAAGTCCGGATGACCCAGTAAAATTTGTGATTGACGCCGTTTTAGGGACTTGAATTTTCGGACGGGTACAGAATGAACATTGCTTGGCAGCCGCATGTGAGCGGTGTGTAATCTCTTTCGGCGTCGTGAATTCCTTCCCCTTATAAGCAGAGAGATTTCCTCTATCTTAAATGAAAAAGCCGCAACAGCATCTAAGACAGTTGAATTATTAGAGCTTACCAAGTATTGATCAAGGGGGAGGTATGTTGGAATTAAGCGAGGGAAGTTTTAGCGGCCCATATCCCATGTTTAAATGAACATTGATCGGCCTCCGCTTTTTCACCTTTTAAAAAGTTCTCCGTGGGATAATTTACGATCGAGAGGGCTTTCCAGATCACTTTCTTCATTTCAAGTGTTTCTATGAATCAATATTACAAGATCTTACAAGCTCAACATAACCACAAGAACATCAAAGATGTTTTAAGGCCCTATAATAAATGTTTAGGAGAATCAATTCTACTGGAACACCATCTTTCGAAGATCAGCCAATCGCATTTCATGAATAAATCATACTGATGGTGAATTTGGCTTGTCAGGATCTGCACAATTGCCTTGAGCTTTTCCATAAGGAGCAATAGCAGATGGCGTACAGTTGTAACAAGGTGCCACAACATGAGGTTGTTTGGCCAAAGTATCTCCGTATAGAGCCGGTGCTCGCCGATAATCAGGATAACCGTACATATAGCCATTCGAACACAAAATTGCTGGACAAGCACACGGCAAAGCTGTATGATTCCAACCAAGAGGTACACATGAAACGTCGAAATTGCAATTCAGATCGCATGGTGCATCGATATTTCCACAATCTGGTACTTGGTAGTTGATGTGTACTGGTTTTGGCTCATCGTCATCGTCGCCTGTGTTCATGAGAGAAGGTGTTTTTGGTCAATTACTATCAGCACTTTGCATCAATGACACTTACGTCTGAGCCAGCTGGCCTGAGTGACGGAGAATAGCACGGCTGAGACGATTAGGGCAAACTTATAGTGAAGCATTTTTGAGCACGGAGGATCTCAGAAAATTCGGGCTGAGATGGTTGATTGAAAGAATAATGATAGACCCTCTCCCATTCAACAATCTCCCATTCCGTCTATCTGTGAGTTTAAGACCCTGTATTCCTTACTACGCCGATCTTTTCAGGAGCGTTATCGTGCCAAAGAGTTGAGCAAGATGTTCACGTACCTTTCCAACTCTAATAAGTTTTAACTTTATACCCCTGTACAGGCTCTCTGTTCCTTTTTCATATTCTGGGCGCCTTTTGCGCAAACTACACCTCATGAAGGAGTCAGTATTCACCTCCTTAATTTTAATTTCCGCCTACACAAACACAGGGGTCAACAAAAAGGCCACCCTTTCTCAACAAGGATAGGCACATATCTGATAATGAAGGAGCATTTCATCACATTAATAAGAATAAGTCACTTGTATGGCCAAGAAGGCGACGGAAAGAGCTTCATGAATGATGACACCTTAGTTGTTGGATTTGCCTCCTTCTGAAATAGCAGGGTTCAAGCAAGTAGGTGCATAGTCATCTGGCTTATAAGTAACAGTTTTTGGATCAGAATCACTACCTGAACCACCTTGGTTTGATCTGGAAACGGAAGGATCCAAATTAGGATTTGAACTTGCAGGATCTTGATTAGGATGATAAATCTTTGTTGTAGAAGAACATCTTGATGAACAATCACCAATTTGAGTTCCGTTTGGCGAGACTTGTGAGCCTACACATCCGAAGCAAGGTGCTTTGACGTGAGGTTGCTTGGCAATCTTTTCAGGTGTCAATGGTTCACCTTTTGTATAAGCTGGGAATCCGTAAAGCTTGCCGTCAGGGCAGTACTATTGGAGAGAAAGAAAGGGTTGCGTCAATAAGTTGACCGGAAATGGTGCGGGATGACAGATACTTACTTGAGCAGGGCATGCGCAACCTATCTCAGTTCTGTTAAAACCGAGCGTTTGGCAAGTTGGATCGAGTAAACATACGGTTAGACATTGTTCTAACATCCTAGTTTGAGGGTCAGTAGGAAAGCTACAATCGCTGGTGTTGTATGGCAACAATTGAGGTTCCGGGAATGGGTTGTCTGAATTATCAGGAACGTCAAACTTGAGGTCCTTTGGAGGTTTTTCCATTGGAGTTGCAAAGGTGGAAGTGCAAAGCACAGCCAAAAGGAAGAAAAGTGCGATAATAGATTTCATATTGAGAGTGTTGTGAAGGGAAGATCTTGATTTCAGGTTTTCAACGCTCTCTTATATACCATTTGATCAACAAGATCATATATTAAGTTTACTTCGGTTTTCCGTCTTCATTTCGTCGCCGCTTTATAAAGGTACCGATCTATTGAAACACAATTATCACATTCCGCGCATATACGGAAGCCCGTGTTCCAATATGTCAATGCCATGCCTGCTCTACGTTTTCAACGTTAAGATTTAGGCGGCCCATCTTACAGCACGCACTTATTTCCTAGCAGGGCGCCGTTTAGGGTGTCACATCAATGAATTGCACCTTTTCCCATCAATTAAACCCCTCGCGACCCCTTTCATCTGAAACCGCTAGATGGTATTCATGGTATCGATCTATTCAAACTCAATTACCTCATTCCGCACATACACGGAAGCCTGCGTTCCTACATACCAACGCCATGCCTGCTTCCTATTTTCAACGTTGAAAACAAGGCGGTCCATCTTGCAGCACGCACTTATTTCCCCTCCCAAAAGGGTGCCTTTATGAGTGTCATATTAATGAAATTACACATTTACTCAGCATTCCAAACCCTAAGCAACCCCTGTCATCCGACATTATTGAATGGTATTCATCAAAGCATTCGCAGGAGTACATTTTGGAAAGATGGCTATGACCAGATCGAAACTACAATTTCACATACAAGGAGCATTGACTTGCGGACATTTATGAATAATATCATCGAGCGATAAAAGTGGTGCAGTTGTATGGTCTTCAACTCCTGACGGATAAATTAGGTTGTTTGGGCACAATTGACAAGGGCAAGCACAACCAATCTTGCTCCTATCAAATCCGATCGTAGCGCAATCAGGATCAGAAACACAAACGAAAAGGCATACAACCATTGGATTTGGACTTGAAGATGATGCATCCAATCCACAATCTTGAGAAATTGCAGAAACTTCATCTTGTGAAAAAGGTACCTCATACGGGAACACTGTAAGACGAAAGTTTGGGGAGGATAAGTCAGAGATTGTATAGCACTTTTTGCTCTCAGTGTCTTTACGCACAAGCTGCTGAAGCCAACCCCACAAATAGAAGAATCATGACATTTGTCAAAAAGAGGCTGAGTGCTTGCTTCATCTTGCCACGTTTGATGAAGTATGTGCTACGCTACTTGTTGTTGTTCAAGGAAAGGTCTCCTAGCAAGAGTCGTTTGACTTGAAGGGGAAATGTACAGAGGTTATGAAAGGTGAGAATGAGAGGAGATTGATGGTGTTGGGTGAACGAGATTCCAAGTGGCTCATTTTTGCATACAACGGCTTCAGCTACTACAAACTATGAATTTTTTTAACCAGATTCGGAGCCGATGTTTAATGTGATATCATCACCCGATTGATCATTATTATCGCACGGATAGACAACGTCCGGACAACCCTTCCTTTGATCGTCGGTCAACGGCTTGGAATTTTTGTAATTTTGCACGGGACCGTAATATTTATGGTCAGGGCATAGCTGCAAGTGGAAAGGGGCAGTTTGATCAGTATCATGACAAGTCCGATATGGAAGTGGTGCGGGAGCTCAATCTCTTACCTGACAGTGACAGCCACAGGACAATTCGGATCTGTTGAAACCCAATTGTTGGCATGAAGAGTCCATGGGACAGACGAATAAACATCTGTAATTAGTCTGAGGCGAGCCACAATCTTGTGAAGGTTCATCACGACGTAAGAAAGTACGCGCCTCCTTTTTCATTCCTATGGGAGAGGGGATGCTTTTTTGTTAGTGTATGCAGCTATGGACAGATTTGCTCACAACAACTCACTTAAGCTACTCGCTGTCGCCATGATGCTCACAGCATATAAAACTGCAATAGCATAAACGACCAAACGTACAGATTGTTTCCACATTGTCGATGTTGGATGAAGGTGTGAGATGGAAGTTAGAAGTGAGCTGAATTGCAACTTGACCTTCCATCCCCCTCCGAATCGCGAGAAAGGGAGTTTCGATTTTGCACAGCATCAGGGTCATTTACCCGTCTCGGCCCGACTATCGGTGTAATTCTAGGGGCCGATGGACATTTATCTTCCTTCTCTCCGCTGCCGATCCTGACTACGTCATACAAGGGACATGTAACTTGGTCACTTAGAGCTCGGCATCTTTTGCATGGCCTGTTTTGTATCTATGCCGAGAACAAGGCCACGTTCAGAAGAGTTCTTTAATCAGTCATCAATTGTTTAAGCTTGAATAAACATAAGGTACTACAGAGGTGATCTCTTGAAAGAGAAAAATAGAAATTGTTCAAATACGACATTGCGTACAGCGAAAAATTGAGGAGCCTTTGATGCTCCTGAGATTTACAACATGCAATTAATTGCATGGATATTTGACATCGGGACACTCCTTTCGTTCTTCTTCCGTTAAAGGGACTGGACTCCAAGCTGAGTAATAAAGTCCATCACTACAACGATTGCACTTGCAGCCACAAATAGAAATGCTAGTGTCATAGCCTAAAGATTCACATCCTGGACCAGGTGATGGACATGCGATTTCACACGAAATAAATCCACCCTTGCCACAATCATCTGAAGAGAGTGTTGAGGGCATGTTGGCAAGTAAGACCAACATGCCAGTGGATGCAACGAAAAGAGCTTGCTTCATGTTGATGTTTCGGTTTTCAGATCAACGGTTCATTTGAAGAGTTGTGGTGATGGGTGTGAGAATTGGAACAGTAGCTACAAGTATGACTTTATATACCCTTTATTCGGGGCAGATTTGTGACTCTGCCGCTAGTATGTTTGCCACTACTTCTTCTGCACACTCTTGGCATTCCTCCACTGGCAAGCCACAGTCATCGGCGTGCCACTGTTACACATGATTGCTCTCCCATCTTGGTATGTGCTCGCATGACAAGAATACGAGTTGAATTTAACAGAACGCAAATGCATAAGCTCATCTTATTTTTCTCTAACAAAGATCGTGCTATGTATGCTGATGTTCAAATCTATGCTATTAAGGTGATTCGCGGGCCTCATGGGTTTGCAATAGGTGTCTTCAAGGCCATTAAAAGCATAGAAGTAGTTTCTTGCTCCCTTCTTTTAGTAATGGTTCTTACACGGATGCGTGACGTCCAAACATTCGCTCCTTTGATCTGCTGTCAACGGAGTTCCTTTCTCGTAATCTAACGTTGCACGATAATATTTTCCATTAGGACAACGTTGACAAGCGCATCCACAAGCCACTCCAGTACGATTGTATCCTAACGTTTCACATCGTTTATCCGTAGCACATTCAAGAAAACAAATGAAATGTGGCTTGCCACAGAAAGGAGTGTTTGTAGAGTCTGTATCGCGGCCAAAGAGCATATCATTTGTCTCTTCGACTTGACCTGAAACTTTCTGTCAGTCATTCTCCCTTTACCTCATACTTTTCTTCAACTCACCCAGAGAAGCTGCTAACGTCATACTGGTATACAAGAGTACCATGACAGTGACTACGGTGAGATAGATTTGCGTCATACTGCTGTGTTGTTCTTGAGGCAACAATATGCGCAGGAAGTTGTGGTGGTTGTCGGTGAAGAAAAGCTGCTTTAAACAAGAGAGAGCTCTCTGATACCTGCCGATTTTGCCGACAATGTTGCCGTCATGGCTCAGCCTCTCATCATGCACACTTTTGGTTTTGCACTACTTGCAAGCTATATCAACTGCTCCGTGCAACACATTGCTTCTTACCTTACCTCGACATCTATACACGACAAGATTCTGAGCCTAATGAGATTTGTATCATTTTGAACATGCTGCTATGAATGCTGACGTCCAAAAATGTGTTGTAAAGGTGATTCGCAAATCTGAAAAGGTTGCAACAAATGTCATTAATGCCAATGGTAGCCTGAGACTGGACTCCAACTCATCCCTCAACAATTTGTCTTGCACGGATGGGTAATATCCAAACAGGTGCTGCGTTGTTCCGGTGTCAACGGAGTTGAATTTTCATAATCAATGATGCCACGATAATACTTGCCATTTGGACAACGAATACAGGCGCATCCGCAAGACACATAGGTTCGGTTGTACCCCAATACTTCGCATCTAGAATCCGTAGCACATTCAAGATCGCAGTGGAAACCAGTATGCTTACCGCAGAAAGGTGTGCTTGCAGAGTCTGTATCGCGGCCAAAGAGCATATCGTCCGTCTCTCCAACTTTACCTGAGAATGAGAGAATAATCAGCTACTTTGCTTTTCTTCTATATCTCTTTGTTTATTATTACTCACCCATTGAGGCTGCTAATACCATGCTGGTATACAAGAGTACCATAACAGTGATCACGGTAAGATAAATTTGCTTCGTCATGCTGCTTTGGTGTTAAAAGCAAAGAGATGCGCAGGAGACTGTGATGATGGTTGTTGTTGGTGAAGAAGAGCCTCTTCAGTCAGGAAAGAGCTTCATAATATCTGCCTGCTTTGCCTAGAATATTACAATCATGGCTTACTCATCTCACCGTGCACACTTTCCTTTACACTACTGACAAGCTATATAACTCGGTAAGTAAGCTTGTGGTACGCATGATTGTTTACTCTACGGCGATCGGTGTATTTTGTCACACAAAATGCCGAGCAAAGAAAGCACAAAAGCAATAACCAATCAAATCAGATTCATTTCAACAGTCCATGCTGCTATGACTATTAACGTCCAAGAATATACCATGAAGGTGTTCGGCGGGACAATCCGGTACGATTGCTGTAGGTATCATCAAGATCACCAAAAACATGAGATCGAATTCCGTTTCACAGTAGACTAATCCGTCTTACACGGAAGGAGTACGTCCAAACAGTTGGCACGTTCCTCCGGAGTAAGCGGAGTTGAATTCTTGTAATCGTTTGTGGAGCCATAATACTTTCCATCACATTTTTGGCATGGGCATCCACAAGTAGCAATAGTGCGATTGTAACCCAATACCTCACATCTGTCATCCGTTGGACAGACAAAATGACAAACAAAGTGTTGAGGTGGATTACCGCAATAAGGAGAATTTGAAGAATCTGCATCACGGCCAAAGAGCAAATCGTTTGTCTCTTCGACTTTACCTGATTCCAAGAAACTGTCAGCTATATTCTCATCTCGTTCAAGTGACATAACTCACCTAAAGAGGCTGCGAATGTCATAGCAGTATATGCCAAAACCGTGATAGAGATCACGAAGGGGAGGTATGACAACTTTGTCATGATGATTAATTGCGTTTTAGTCGAAAGAGATGGTTGTGACGGAAAGAAAGGGAGTAAAAGTTTGCCGGCTTAAATACCTATCAAAAAAGGTCTATGCCGAGTCAAGCTCCGCTTCAATGCATTCTCTCACGCCGCACAAAACAGTAAGCCAAATTTAAATTTTCATGCAGGTTATAAAGACTTATACCTTTTCATGCCATGCGGTGCACTCATTATTCTCTCTCTACACACGTTAAGAGCACAGCAAGCTTTGAATGACCCTTTGGCTGTATGTACATCAGGCTCGAGTTAACAGCTTTGATCACAATTGGTAATCAATCTTTGATTGTTCACTATGAATATCATTCACAAGAAGGTGCTTTGAAGGTGACCGGTGAAGAGAAGAATGACTAAAGACGCTAAGGCGTAAAACATGAAATTGTTCCTTGTTTGTTCCCGAGCTTCCACGCATACAGTCACTCCGTCTTGCAAGGCCATTTGATATCGGGACAGTCATTTCTTTCTTCTTGCGTTAAAAGGTTTGTGCTTCCGGATGAGTAGAATTTACCATCTTCACAGCGAGTGCAAGGACAATCACAAGCAGCATAGGAAAGGTCGAAACCCAAATCTTCACAAGAAGGACCAGGTGATGGGCAACCGACGAAGCATTGTACTGGGCGCACGCCACAGCTATCGGAAGAGGCTACTAAAGGCATGCTGGCGTACAACAGTACCAAGTTAGTGAATGCTATAAGTTGAGCTTCCTTCATGATGTTGTCTTGGTTTTCGGGTCTTGGAACTTGAGTAGTGTAGAAAGATTGATTGATGGTTGTAGAGATTTAAAGGAATCCATACATACCATCTTATATACTTTTCAAACGAAAAAACTTGTGACACTGCCACCAAGAAGTCTTCCGCTTCACATCATGCAAATTCTTGGCAATTCACTCCAGCCAAGCTATATACGTCGGTATTCCATTGATCCGTTTAAGCCGGTGTTTGCTCACATTGCAAGATGCTCAGCAAAGCAGAGGCAAATGCAAAAGCTAATGAAATTTGATTTATCTTTAGAGAAGAGGCTACTATGAGTGCTGAACACCAAAAAAGGTGATTCAGTATGGTTGTATGGTTGTTACAGGTACCGTCAAAGACTAGTGAGAGTATGAGAATGGCCTCACGTTCATCATTCAGTCATGCGTCTTACATGGATGGGTCACATCCAAGCATTTGGCACGCTCCTTCGGTGTCAATGCAGTTGAATTCTTGTAATCGTAGGTGGGACCATAATACTTCCCGTTGCATTCCATACAGGGACAGCCACAAGTCACACCTGTAGTATTATACCCCAATAATTCGCATCTGGGATCAACAGGACAAGCAAGATCGCAGCGGAATGGAGACGGTTTGCCGCAATTTGGAGTTCTTGCAATGGTTTCATCACGGCCAAAGAGCAAATTGTTCGTTTCTTCGTTTTTACCTTGAATCAGAAGAATTGTCAGCCATCTTTCTGGTCATGTTCGATTCTTATCACTCACCCAAAGAGGCTGCTTTCGTCATACTTGCATATGCCAAAGCCAACAAAGAGAATAAGGTGAGGTAGAGTTGCTTCGACATCATGGTTTCAATTCAATAGCATGAAGAGGTGGTTGAACGGACAGAAAGGGTCAGGAGCAAAGTTGATCTCGTTTGAATACCAATCAAAATAGCCCGCTTCAATGCCAATTATGATCACCGGTCAAGGATGCCGAATAACCCTTCCTTCCTATCACCTCTCTGCACGCACCCATTCTGCTTCAAATTACTAAGCCAAATTCAATTTTTCTCTTTCATTACATGCAGGATATGTAGCTTTATTCTTTTTCATGCCGATCAGGGCGTCACGCACGATCCCTCCTTCCCTTCCCTTCACGCTTTGCTCTCTCAAGTCAATGAAACTTTAATTCCTTGTCCTTGTAGATATCTTGTCAATTCGCGGTATAACTCGGCTTGATCTTCCGTTGTCAAATGGGTAACGACTGTTTGCAAAACCGATCCAACGGTAACATGATGTTCACGAATGATGGAAGAATAGTAAACATACGAAAACAAACCCATGATGAATTGACAATCGAATCGATCGGTTAATCCTCCATGTCCTGGAATACTATCACCGAAATCTTTGATGTTGAAAGCACGTTTGAAACCACTTGCAAAGAATCCTCCAAATGGTGCCACTAAACTTGCAAATGCTGCCATTACAAGAGCATGCAATTGGAAATGCGTATAAGGTAGATCGGCAATCACCACACTCTTTCCACTGATAGCTTCAACAATTGGTGAAACGAGCGAATTGAGAGATTGTGCAAGTGCAGGTGGTAAAGGCATAGCATGCCAAGCAAAAACCTGATTTACCTCACAATGAATATTCGACCATGCATTCATACCCAATGAAACAGCAGGACAGATCATATACTTGAATCTTTGGAAAATACTTGCCCAAAAGAATGCAAAAATTTCCGTAACAATAAATGCGCCAACAAATCCTTCAACGGTCTTTTTTGGACTCAAACTGATCAATGGCGTCCGTCCAAACATCATCCCACAAACGTAAGCGAAAACATCATTGCAGATCACCAAGCTTGCAGGAACAAAGAACCAAATTAATCCTTCCAAAATGTTATTGACCATAAAGTGAGACGAATATACGATCAATAGCAGACTCATATGCACCCAACAGAATAGACCGAATTGATGCTTGAGATTATCACGTTGAAGTCCGCTGACAAAAGCCATGAATCCAAAGATGTATAGCATAAACGACAAGAAACGATGTTGACGTGCGAATGGGATAAAGTATGCGTCAACAAAGACGATGTGCTTGAAGTAGTAGATGAGCGATTCACCATACAAGAAATAATTGCTGACAGCAAAGAAGTACCAACTCAACGTCTTGCTCCAAAGCTCTTCCTTTCTTCTTCCTTCTCCATCATCATCTTCGTCTTCACTTTGAGCTGCACTGCTGACGCGACTACTACCATTGCTCACAAATCCACGTTTCGGTGCTCCTCCAGTAACACTTGGTCGACCTGGAATGTTGAATAACGCAGTCACTTCGCGATAGACCAAGACTTGCATCGTCAATACGAGAATGATCATGTATGGATGTCCAAGTAAGAGCAAAAATACGAATCCACCGATCATTAAAAATGTGAAAAGTGTTCTCTCATACACCTTTTTCCAAAATGCTTTTCTATCTGAATCGCTATTTTGTTCTTTGCTCAATCCACTTTTTGCTTTTGGTCTTGATGCGCTTGCTGCTGTGACTGGATTGCGTGAGAATTCTGCTGGATTGGCGTTTGGCTTTTTAGAAAGTGTTGCTGAGACAGGTTCTAGCTTTTCCCGAACAGCAGCTGCAGTCTTTGCCGGTTCAGAAGGTGTAGGTGCTACTGCGGATGTTTGTACGCCAGGAGCAGGAGTTGAGATGGGTGCAATCGGTCTCTCTTCTGGAGGTTCGGTAGATAATCTTGGAATACGACCACCGCTTCTCGTCTTCATAACCTCTAAATCGTCATCATCTACTTGATCAATCTTTTGTGGGGTAGAGACGGCCTCTTTTGCCTTGGATGACCCATTTGTTGTGGATGTTTTTGACTTTGTCTTTGAAGGAGTTTGAACGACATCTTCTCCATTGGTTGAAGCTGTTGCTCGTGTTTTTCTTTCTTTTGCCAATGCTCGCTTATGTGCAGCTTTAGTCAATTTAACTTTTGCATTGGGAGTTGAAGTTCCTGATTCTTCCTCTTCTTCTGGATCTACTTGAGATACTTCATCGTCAGCAATATTTGCCGATTCATCTTCCAATGCTAATGCATCGAATGCACCTTGAGATGCAAATCTTGACTTTGGAGCCATTTTTGTGATTGAAGTGATGGTGGATGTGGGAGTAAGAATGTTGCAGCAACCAAGCGAGATAAAAGTGGGTTAGTGACAGACAGATAGAGAGCTGTGATTGAGTTGCATATTCTCAACTGCATTTCTTCTCACTTTGGCGTGTCGGTGGTCTTGCACTGGCGGTGCACCGCATCTAAACACGCGCAAAAATACACTGGCCGAGCTCCACTTTTAGAGCGAAATTCTCTCACGCTTAACAACACGCACAGACACATACTACAACTTTTAGCGTGAAAAATAGTAAGATTGCTTCTTGACCATCATCAGAACATCAAATCCATCTTACAATGTCCGGAGCACCAGAAGTAACACCATCAAGGGTAGGACCACCTGGACCTGATCCAACTGCGTGAGTATTCGATGGAAATCCCACAAATAGCATTAATGCTGACACTAATCTTTCCATTCTGCTCATAGTCGCGTCTATTGGAAGTTGGGCATATTCAGCGTTGCAATGTTTGCTGCCCCAATAACGGCTTATTATGTAGCAAGAGATCGCTTGTTCAATGGCAATGCAACTTATTCGGGAGGTTTGGCCGCTTTTGTAGCCAATGTAGTCCTGATAGGGTACGTCATAGCAGCATTTATGGAAGATCAAGGGGAAAGTCCCTCAAACAAAAAGGCAACATCAGATACCGTTCAAGAAAAGAAGAAAGACAAGTAGAAAAGCATAAGAATCAAAAGAGTGAATGAAGGTGTACATGCGAAATGTATGACTGGAACAAAATTTCGAGAATTTTACATGAGAGGAGACCTCATTACAAAAGCTTCTTCATTGCCCAATTCCAAGCAGCACTGGCGATCGTATCACGCTTTTGAACAGTTGGAATTGCCGCCTTTGTTGCAGCGTCTCGCTTTTGCACGACTGGGTCTTCTGCTTTCACGATTTCATCACGTTTTTGGACGTCTTGTATTTCTGCTTCTGCAAAATCATCAAACCCTCGAGGGAAGATATCGCCATGTGCGCTTAACACGCTACGGACCGTCAAGGCGTCATCATCGTCATACTCCAGATCACGTCGACCCCAATCATAGTCTCCTGGTGATGGTGGGGGCGGTGGACCGCGACCTCGACTACGTGGGCCTGGACCACGAGGACCGGGACCGCGACGCCATCTTCTCCAACCTCTTCGGCCGCGACGTGGACCGAAATCGGATCCTGGACCACGTCCATCCCAGCTTCTTGGACCACGTTTGACAAGATCACGATCTCTGTCCATTTCATGCTCGAATTCGAGGAGATCATGAACAGCACCATGTTCCATCAAAAATTCTTGGAGTCGATCCATATTAAAGTGCAAGTCTTTCGGATGATAAATTTGACGCTTTCTCATTCCTTCACCTCCTCCGCCACCACCACCGCCGCCACCCCATTGACCTGCCCAATAATTACCGCCACCTCCTGCCCAGTACTGGTTACGCTTCTGCAAATTGGCAATCAGATCATCCTTGCCGCTATCAGAGAATGCACGTCTGACCAAAGCTGGATTGTCGAGACTCTCATCTTCTTCACGTTTCCAACGGTATCCGCCATGCTTTCCCCAGCCCCAGTGTTTATGACGTTTCTCCAATGCAACGTCATCGTAATCCTCAAGATCAGCGACTTGACGCTTCTGAAGATGGATATCGTCAGGATTGCTTCGTTTCCAACGTCTGTTCTTGTAAGAATTTCCGTTTGAGCGTTTCTCCAAACCATCCTGTTCGTCATAGGTGCCAATCAAATCACGCTTTTTCCAGCCTCGACCGGCATTATAAGGACCGCCATGAGAATGTGAGCGCTTCTCAAAGCTGTCATCGATGTCGATGGGATCCGAAAGAACATCTCGCTTTACTCTTCGGTTAGGTTGTGCTGCAGCAGGGCCGGCTGCAACATTGTTGGCAGGGGGAGCAGCAGCAGTTCCTCTGCCTGCTCCTGGATGACCACCCCTTCCGTGGCTTGTGCCAATGGATCTTGTCTCGAGTTTGTCTCCCTCGCCTTCCAAAGAACGCTTCATTCCAGCAGGACGAGCACCACCAGCAGCATTGTTGACACCTGGTCTGCCCATTGCTGCGCCACCTCCTTTATGAGTGGTGCCGATGGATCTTGTTTCGAGTTTGTCATCTTCAAGTTGTAAATCACGCTTTTGCAAGCTGGCATGGAGGTCGTCTTTGCCACTTTCTGATACTGCACGTTTTGTCAATTTGGAAGGTTCTTCGCGCTTATGCCAACCGCCATGAGAACCACCGCCCCATCCGCGGTTTTTGTTCGAGCGTTTTTCCAAATCATCGTCCAGATTATCATCTTGCAAGTCTCGTTTGGACAGTTCTTCGCGCTTATGCCAACCACCATGAGAACCACCACCCCATCCGCGGTTTTTGTTCGAGCGTTTTTCCAATTCATCGTCTTGCAAGTCTCGCTTATTATATCGTCCGTTGTAGCCACCACGCCACTTGTTGTGGGAATCATTGGAGCGTTTCTCTAAAGCATCATCGACATTGCCTTCTATTACAGCTCTTTCTTCCAGACCATTTTCTGACAAAGCGCGTTTACGCATTCTACGATTGGGAGGACCACGGGGGCCACCGCCACGTCTACCTTTACTATTGAACGATCTTGTTTCGAGCTTTTCATCTTCTTCTGCATTGGTCAAATCACGCTTTGCCATAGGACGAGGCATACCGTTAAAGCCAGCGCCGCCAGGATGTCCAGGATGTCCTCCTTTTGGTGAACGAGTTTCCCAAACGTTATCTTCGTCTAAGTGACGACGAACAAATGCATGGTCCTCGTCTTCATCTTCGTCAAAATCACGCTGAAGCAACAGAGGACCGTCTAAAGGCTCGAATGAACGGCGAACAGCATTACCTTCTGCCCAACGACGAACGTAATCCATCTTTGCTTCTTCTTCCTTTAATTCTTGTTGACGTTTAAACATTCTTACTGTTCTTGCTTGTTCGGGTGTCAAAGAACGCTTTTTGAAAGTGCGGTGTAAAGCTCCGTTTTCGCTCATTGTTGCACGTTTGAATAGATGTGCGTCCAATTCTCTACGACGGTCTTGATTGAAAGCTGGTTTGTTGACTTTCATGAATTGCATATTACGATGCAATTGTTCACGCGAACAAGCGACACCGTCAACGTCTCCGAATTCCGCACAACGAGCACCCCAACGATGATGATGATCAGGTGCGTTTCCGATGTATCGTTTGAATGGACTTTTGATATCGAGAAAGTTTAAACGTTCTTCTTCACTTTGACGATGAAAGGGAGCGTATTGTGGTTGTAATTCAATGATTTCTTCTTCTATGATTTCATCTTGATTGCGTTTTTTGAGGGTTTCAAAACTACGTTTACGCATATAATTGACAAATTTGTTTCTTCCAACTCGACGAAATTGCGGTTCAACTTTATAAGCCGTACGACCGCCCAATAAAGGCATCTTGGATGAACAACCGATTAGGTATTCCGTTGGCGTAAGGGGTCTGTTTGGCTGACGATTTTCTTCGTTGAATCGATCGTCAGTCAACATTACAACTTGCAATTGATTTGGATTTTCAGGATTGCACGGTTCCAGTTCGAATTCAGCGAACATGTTACCGATATGCTCTTCATGATGATGAGGTGGGTGAACATCTTTGTGTTCCGCCAAACATTGTTCATCTTTTGAGTCGATTGGACAATGAAATAATGGTTTTTGATTTGGTTCATCTTTTGCGGTAACAATCAGAGGTAAACCACTAACCGGGATCACTCTAACGGCATGATGAGGTTCATTTGTGGTTGCATTGACTGCAGTCACATTTAAGCCTGCACCGTTTGGCATTGGTGGTGGTGGAATTGGAGCAGCAGGAACATTGCTAGTATTTTGTGCGCCTCCCATTGCTGGCATACCACTTTCTTTATTTATGGAGAAAAAAAACAAAAACAAACGAGAACCAGCTCGTGTGTTAAAGTAATAAAAAAGAGAGCGTGGTGAAAGTGAGTATGAGGGTGGAGTGAAGAATTCAATCTTTGAGAGAAAACGATCTTTATAACTCTTTCTGCTCTTCATTGCCAAGAAGTGCACGCAACACTGCCTTATAAAGGCGCTTTGTGATACTGGCAAACGTGCCCAAAGCTACGTACGCCACCCACAAAAACAAACCTGGCATTGCTCGCCATGCTGTGCTAGAGGATTTTGTGCCTAGTACGCCCTCTTCCACACTTAAAGAAGATGGATGTGAATGACAAAATTTCATTATCTTAACACTTTATTGCCCCGATTACACAATGGAGGTGCTATTAGCCTATGTCATGCTATGTTGCAGAGTTTCAATACGGAAAAGTTGTAATATGTCGTCCCAGGCAGTGTTCATCATCAGGCTTAGTGGCGGTGTTGAAATGATATGATTCTCTCCAGACTTGCTCATCTATAGATGAAAGTGTAAGAGAGAGTGTGAATGATCAAGATGAGAGCCTATGTAATTGGTACAATTGTGTCTCTTTGGCAATGTTAGTCATGTGATAAACTTGAACCGCTTCAATTGATTTGCCGTGAAGGAAATATATCCATTTCTCAAGCACCGATCCAGATTGCCGCGCTTTGAAGGGAGGAAGGAGGCAGCCCATTAAGCAATGGAACTCCGTTAAGCGGCGGGCATAGAAAAACAAGCCAATCAAAATCAGCCCGGCGCACATGCACAACAAGCGACAAAAGCAAACTTGGGTAGAGGGCGATAGTCACGCACTAAAAGAAAGGGAACCTCTGGGTTGAGGGTTGCCGATCTTTTTTTTTGATTGAGCGTAAAAAATGTGTCAAATTAAAACAAAGCGCGTGCATAAATAAAAAGAACGTTGTTGTTGTGTGTGCCTTGACATGTATTCAGATCTCCTGGCGTTGCTCTCTCTCTCTCCTCTCTGCCTGCGCCTGCGCCTTATTTGTCTCATTCAATTTGTCTCACAACTCGTCATTTCCGCACACGCCCTATTCTTCGGCATTCAATTGATCCGAAGGCAAGAAATGAGTAATGAATCCAAAGAGTATATAAACAATTAATCATTTCGTCATTTCGATCAAAGAAGTACATGGTCCAAATGGAATAGTCCGAGAATACATACATGATGAGAGTGTGGTACAAGAATGATGATGCATCAATGAATGTATGCGCTGCGCTGCGCCTGCTCCCCTCTTTGAAGTCGGCTATTTGACCTTTTGGTTGAATTGAATACGCGCACGCGCAGAGCACGTCTAAAAAAAGCATGATTTTTTTTTCTCTTTCTCTCTCTCAAAGCACATGTACCGTTTGAACGCATACTGCATACGCTAAAAACACAAAAAGGGCCTCTCAAGATTTGATATAAAAGGACTCAGATCAACAACATTCACTCTTTTACTTTCTTCTTTTAGGATCCTATCGTCATTCGAAGGCCCTCATAAAAAAGGCAAAGCTTTCCTTTACGCTCTTTTAAGCGTTCAGCTTAACTACATTGAGTCGTTCCGCTTTTCGCGGCGGCACTTTGTGTGTTGCTGGCCAAAAGGTGCCTTTTCTCTCTTAAAAACGATATAGACGACAACGAATTCGATCTCAATTCAAAAGTTTTATTGCTTTTTCGCCCCGAATATTACAACAACAAGAGCAGCTTGACAGACCCTTCATCTGTTGTTCAAGACAATCGTCCTCTCTCACATCTTCCATCACCCGAAATCACATCACATCTACCTTTTTTGCCCTCCATGGTCGAACACATAAAAATCGCCGCTTGTCTTCTGTGACATTGGGAGATCGTATTACGTCCTTTGCGGACCGATAGCAGCCGATTGGTTGCATATAAGCGTTGACAGGAATTAAATACACAAACTTCAAATACAATCTTCACTCCGCTGCAAAAAAAAGTTGCCCGGAAAAATGTCGTCAAACAGCAATTTACCAGACAAAGCATCGGCCGCCCGATCTAGCTCAAAAGCGCCTTCTACCTCCACCGAAAGTGAAAAAGAAGATGGTCTATTCAGTGGTGGCAGTGATGCAGGGCATTTGAGCGATTCAAGCTCTGCCAATTTCAACGCAATCGATTTTGATTCGTTTGCCATGTCCTCTTTGCAAGCCACTGCATCAGCAATCATTGCTGCACAACAGCAACAACAACAACAAATACAGCCACAAGCATCGCAAGAGCAAAAGGCTTTGCCAAACCAGTTGAAACTACTTCCTCAATCTTTCCTCCAACAATCGCAAATCTCCCCTTTGAACGAGCAAGAATTTAATTTGCACAGCAATGTTGCTTCTGGCTCAGAAAGCGAAACTGGACACTCTCGTCAATTATCACCAACAGGTCTCCGTCGTGCAAGTAGTCAGAGCAAGGGAACAGCAGGCGAGAAAGCACACGTTGAACGTCATATGTGGACACCATCTGAAACGCAAGCTTTGGTGAACGGGTGCAATAAACATGGAATTGGTAATTGGAAGGCGATCCTTAACGACCAAGAGTTTGGCAAGAGCTTTGAAGGTCGTACACCGGGAGATCTAAAAGATCGATTCCGAACATACTTCCCAGATGCATATCATGAAATGTATCCCAACGCCAAAACACATACAAGTAGAGCGATTCGAAGCAAGGCTCCTGATGGAACGAGTATTTTCGAAAAGGGGAAAACGAAAGAACGTAGACCATTCACGCCAGCAGAGGATGATGTGTTGAAAAGGGGCTATGAAAAGTATGGTTCGCATTGGGCAATCATTGCAAAAGAGCCTGTCTTTGAGGGAAAGCGTAAATCGACTGATCTACGTGATCGTTTTCGAAATGCCTTCCCCAGTCTATACGAACAAGCTGGTTATAAACCAAGAGCGAAAGCGCCAAAGAAGGAACGTCGTCAAAGTAGTAGCGGTAGTATGAGTCAAAGTGAGCGGCCTGCTTTGCTCATGACGGGCAATTTCCGAGACAGCTTTTCGTTTGCAGGAGAGAGACCTGCTTTGGCACCAAGAAGTGAAACTTCAACTTCTGTAAACTCACAAGCTGTTAGCGAGCATAGCGAAGGTGAAGAGAGTGACTATCCAGAAGTTCACATTCGGGACAGATCTGATGGAAGCTTTATCGGTTATCCTGACACATCTTTTCAGAGTGCTGCCTCTTCACTTATGTCGAGATCGCATTCGATCGATGCTTCGGCTCAAATGCAGGGCTCTTTGCCTCAGCAACAAGCGCAGCAGACAATTCCAACTCAATCACCGATAGAGCAGGGCAATCCATCTGGTACAGGAGCTGCATCTGCAGGCACATCGTCAAATACTGCTCATCGTCACCCCTTGCGCAGATCTCATAGTAGCAAGCGAGGCTCGACCAAAATTAGCTCTTTGGAAAAGGCTGCCAAGACTGCATCCATCAAATGCAATAAAGAAGCCATCCTTGCAAGCCATCAACAGCATCACTTGCAACATTTGCAACAGCAGCAGCAACAACAACAACAGCAAGCTCAGGCTCAAGCTCAAAATCAGGCTGCTATTCAAGGTTGGCCACAGGGCTTCAATTGGGATCCAAATACTGCTGCAAGTTTGGCAGATATGGATTTGGATCAAATTGGTGAATTGATGGATGCCCATTCAACTGCACAATTGCTCAACAGTGGGGTGGAGGAGAGTATCGACAATACAACGGCTCGGACGGCCATGTCTGATTCCGGCTTGCCTTCCGCAGACGGTCTAGGCGTCGATGCAGCTTCTAGTAATGCATTGCTGGATAATTTGTACCAGCAACTTGGTTTCGCAAATCAAACTCCTTCGATGAATCGTGGTCTTTCGGAGGCACCTTTCCAAAATGCAAACGTAGAGACAAATCTCAACAATTTGTCATCATCATCATCTTTGCCTTTCAATCCTGTGTCTTCAATTCCAGGGAACGCTCAACGGATTGATTTCGAACACAGTCAATGGGCAGGAGATTTGTTGCCAAGAGGAAATCCAACTTCGCTCGATTGGAATCCAGAAGTGTTTGTCAATTTGGCCAATATGCAGCTAATGACTGGAGGAGCACAATCTTCGAGTGGACAAGCAGAGAAAGATGTTCGACCAAGTCTTTCCGCCGAGCATTCTTTGTCTATGCCTTCCGTGCATGATTTCATCTCAAGATCCACCCGTCGATTGAGCAATCCGCCCAGACCGGTCGGATTGAATGAAGAAATGACTGCTGATTCGTTGCTGTCTTCAGCATATCGAACGGGGAATGCTTACCCAGCAGATGATATCTCGTTAATCAATTCAAACTTCCCGGGCGGAATGACTTTATTCCCTAGCTTGATGGGCGCTGGCCCAGCAAGTGATGGAGCTGGACCTTCTTCGTTCCGTAGACGAAAATCAACCGATACATTACGTGAGAATACCTTTGCAAGCGGACAGGCTTGGCGTGGTCCAATGGAAGGTATTCAAGCAGATCAAAGTGAAGATGGTTTGGGAGCATTGAGCAATACGTCCAATCTTGCAAGTCAAAATAGCGGACAACATTCACGTTCGATCTCTTCTGTTGATCCACTTGATGATGAAAATGCACCAAGTAGAGCAGCAAGTGTGGGAGATTTGGATTTGGTGGGTGAAAGAGTGAATGCATTGTATGCTGAATCTTTACCTGATTTGACTACGAGTGCTTTCGGAGGCGGTGGAGAGCACTCTTCTTCAGCATCAGATAACGCTTTCCCACACGTTCAACACCTTCAAATGAGTTATGATGATTTGGATTTGCCATCATTTTTGAACAGAAGTCCATGTTTTGCTCCTGCAAATTCTCATTCGATGAACCCAATCTCTGCCACGACTTTCAATAGTCCAAGAATGTCTGCAATGGGCAACGATGGTGCAAACTGGTTGAAACTATTTGCTGGCGGTACGAGAGCAGGAAACACTTCTTTGAGGGATGGCGTTCGCTCTTCTTCCGCTGGTGTTGGAGAAGTAGCACAAACGATTCAGCCAATGTCACAGCAACAGCAAGGCTTTGATGGTGGACAATATTCAACATTTGCTGCTTCTTTGAGCGATGCAGGTGCATTGGATAGATTGGAACATTTGTATTTGGAAGGATTGCATTCGCCAAGTAGTCCAGCACAAGTGAACGTTGGAACGCCATCCCTGTCAGCTTATACGATTGGAGGTGGAAATAATCAACGCTTTGGCACCACTTCACTTAATCAAGTAATGATGGAACGTAGCAATACTGCTATTGCTGGCGAGGATGCCAATAATGGATATGAAAGTGTGTAAGAGCAATTATAGACGTGAGGAAGTGCAAAAAAAGGGTATACGGAGCAGCAAGTCTGCTTCAAATCGCAATCGTCGTGATCATACTATTTCTTATGTACATTAAAAAAGAACACTTTCATTACGAATACCCATTATCTTTCTAACAAAATTTCTGATGATGAGAGATCGCAACACGATATGGTATAATACAGAACTTATTAATCCAGAAAAGTAAGATACAAATTATTGACATACGTTGTTTACACATTGGTCAACCTCTTTGCCAATGCTACTTTATGCAATGCATGCCAATGAACACAAAGTTCATCGGGAGAATTAATCTTTATGCTGCATCTACGCCAACATCCTGCATTCACGAATCCTTCCATTGCCAACCTGCCTGTCGCGCAATCCAGAATCCTACCTGGGCCTTGTGGTAGGGCAGTGTTGAACGGATCTTGTCCTTGTTGACCTTCTCTGCGTGCGGTTGCTTGTTGACGAACAGAAAAGATTGTTCTACGTCTACGTGGACCGTGAAGACGAAAGAATGCATCAAGCGTTGGCGGTAATTGATTTGCTTGTGCTTCTTCATCATCTTCATTTCCTCCATCTTCATCTTCTTCATCCGTATCGAATTCATCTTGTCGTGTTTGTCTACCATCCCAAGGCGTATGACGTGCTTGTGTTGCTTCAGGCGGAAAGTATGCCACACATTCATCCTCATTTGGTCCACGCGAAAATGCACGGAAAGTGATCGACCCACGCGGAACGTTTGCATCACCAGTACATTTCATACCTTCGATCACCCTACAGCCAGGTCGAATAAATGCAGTCTGACTTGGCGGTAATTCCAGATCAGACGTGTCAACAAAAGGTTCAGGTTGCCAATGCAATCCTTCGCTCAAAATCTCTCTTGCACGCTTCTTTGATGGAACTTGACTGGTATGCGTATGGCCAAATTCATTCGAATCATCAGGTTGATCTTTCTTTTCATGTCCTGTGCCATGCGGTCCCGTAGGTCGTACAATCAACGCCTCATCTGAGTAAGACAGGTGATCGGACAAATACAAATCATCCGGTGCGAAATCATGCACAGTCAAGATACGCGAACGAATGTAGATTAACTCTTGACCCCATGGTCCATACGTCATAGAATAAAGTCCATTGATTGAATCCCAATCGAACTTTTCACTCGCAGGGTCAAGATGTGCTGGAACGGATTGAGGATGCTCGTAGATTGTATCACCTTCGTTGTTCAAGCCGACGTGTCTTGAAAGTGGTATCCTGGTTTGAATAGGAGGTGATTTGACCGGCACAAATCGTAATCCATTCGGCAACGGTTGCGAAAGATGTGGCCAGGGGCGATAAGGCGGACATGGTTCCATTTGCATCATTGGAAGATCGAAAGCGGTTCCAAAGCTAAGGAAATCTTCAAATGCTGTGGATGAATTTGCGGGAACATCAACTTGCCTTTCCGCCTTGTGCAAATCATCAGAGCTATAGAGATCACGAAGCAAAGGCAGCAAAGCCGGTGAAGGAAACTCAATTGGTGGCAAAGGAAGAAAGTTGGATAACTTGACACCGAAGCCTCTATTCTTGCTAACGTCTGACCCGTAGTATAATTGTTGAGGACCAACATTGATAGAAAGAAGGTCATTAGCACTCGTGGTATTTGCAGAAGATGCAGCTGCAGTGCACACTGCACCAGAAGTCAAGTAAACGGTATGCAATCGATCACCACATCGTTGTCGGATCGTTCTTTGCTGGACTGGTATATGATTGAATTGTCCAGCTTCTATGGCGTCCAAAGCCGATGCGGCAACAAATTGTGACCAATTATCACCCGGACGTAATCTACGTGAGCCATCAATCTCCAAATAATCAGGGTCAAAGCGTGACAATCTGGAAGAACGTCTTCTACTTCGTCCCTCCAAGGCATCCTGCGATCCACTCGTACTTCTATTGCGGACACCGTTTCTGGAAGGAGAGATGTGTCGTTCCCTTGCTCTGTATTCGTTCTCATCGCTGTGCTCAACCGTACCAAAAGGTTGTGCATGATGAGAATGCTCTGCACCTTTCCATCGTATACGGGCAACGTTTTTTCCCTTTTGCAGATCTGCCATATTCGATAATCGAGTATCATGCCAGGTAGCGGCCCATAAATCCTCCGTCTTGACTCCTGGCAATGAAATGTCTACGCTCAAGAAATCTGTTTCTATACTTGTGCCTTCATTATTGCTATTGAATGCATGCAGTCCGGTTGCGTTTCTCCATTGATCTCTAGATGCTGGGGTATACGTACCATAAAACCGGTTGACAAAGTGTAATTTCTGACAAACAAATGCCGGCGTTTTCATTACGCCATCGTCTTGTTCCAGTTCATAGGCGGGATTAAAGATGATCCGTATTGCCATTCCATAGCTAGGCACATCACCTAGCCACCAGCCCAGCAAATGGGCAAACGGTCTGACGAAGAGCCAATACAATTGATGATAGCTCTGAACGCCTTCGAATGTGGACAAGTCTATTTGATCTGTAGAATCTTCTATACCATCCTCTTTCGAAGCATACATCGAAGGCGGATTCCATCGTTCCCGAGATGCATGACTTCTTCCCGTTGAGATCATTCCAAAAGGCGCATGCCATGGTGCTGGCGGATCATTGAGAGCTTTGAGATTTGATGATCGAATGGGCGGACTTTGTCCTAAACATTCTCTTACGATCGGTCTCCAAACTATATCTTCCGTTGCAACAAATCTTAATGTTTTGCTAACCAATGATAATCTATGTATATCGCTAGGCCTGTCTAAATGTTTGATGATCGCATGTATGGTTTCGTGCGGTAGGCTATCTAAAGAAGGCTTGCAAGATTTGCGGGATTCTTGTGATTCTTCCATCTTGACGATCAATACCTTCTCCTTTTGCTCGTTTGATGTTGAATCGGGAAACCGATGCAGTTATCAATCGGTGGCATGAAATCAAAAGATGGTTGTTGATGTGGTGGGATGAATGTGAGTTGTTGGGACAGCTTTATAAGGATGTCATGATATTATTTATCAAGCATCAGCCCTTTTCTCTGTGGCGTATCAATCGGGGTGTATGCGCCCTTGTGACGGTTGACAGTAACATATTAGCAATCAAGCAAACAAGCAAAATGCATGCAATTATGTACACACCCACCCACCCACACGCCATCGTCGGGTAATTTATCATCTTATCAGACAAAGATGACGCCCTTACGCGGGGTGCCGGTTGAATATATTTGCTGCACAAACAAGACGCCCTAGCGCACTTTTTGGTTCGGATCAATTTAAAATACGATTTTGCTTAAGTAAAGAAAGAAAAGGTATGGTAGCGTGAGACATATTCCAAATTCAATAATTGCCTTTCCGCACAGACAATAATGATCATCATCACTTCTCTTTGGTATTGTATATATATGATAGTGTACAATTGATTGAGACTGCTGACAATGCAACAGACGAATAAGATTGTTTATAGTACACATGCTTTGGAAAGGTCTCAAAAGTCAGACGATTCCTTTTGACTTTTCTCCAGCTCCGTCAAAGGGGAACTGCCATCACTTGCGATTTGCGATGATTCCAATTTATCGTTGAAATGGATCGTGCTACTACTACTCGGCTGCAAATCGGGTGAAGATGCAAGTTGAGGTACCGCCCAACTCTTGATTTGATCTTGCGAACTGTAAATTTTCTCGCCGTACAAGTCCACTTTTGGCATTTGTTGAGAAAGCCTGCTTTGCGAAGGTCTAGGTCTTGGGCGACTGGGGGATGTTGTTGGTGATTGGATTTGCTGAGAAGAAGATTCAGTGCAAGCGGCTCTCTGTTTTGTCGAGCGATTCGGAGCTATGCGTTGACCAGACGAGACTTCAATCGCTATATCGCGAGACCTTTCGCTGTTCAGAGACGTCCGATTGTCCGGCTTGCCTCTGCTTCTAGAACTACTCGCTGCTGGTCTACCTTCAGAGGCACCCTTTCGTGAGTATTTGGAGACAGGTGATTCGGATGAATATTTCTCGAACAGAGAATCCTCATGTTCTTTCTCTATTTTCTCGATAGGGAACATGATCGATCCATACACATTTGATTCGTCTCGAATCTTTTCTGCTTCACTGATGCTGATGATCTTTCCCCACTCTTTCTTCTCGCGCTTTTGTATCAATGCGCAAACCACTTCTGGAAACAGAACTTTATCGACAAAATCAGACTCTTTCATCCAATTGTTCGGTCGATTGGTAAATTCTTCCAGGGTATGCTTCGGTGCCCACTCCTCTTCAAATAAGTGATATATCGTACGTCGTATCGCCTGAGCTCCAAGCTCTCCGAAATACCCTGCTTGTTCCTCGTGGAAATATTGCATCTGACTTTGGACACTGTTAGCCTGTCTACCATACTTCTCTCTCCTCTCCACTTGCCGACGATAGAAAACGCTCTTTTCAGGGTGAGCCACAAAATCAATAATGCGTTCACATATGGCTACATCATACCAAAAGTCATTAACGACCTTCTTTTCCTTGTGTTGGGTCGGCCATTTTTTTTGTTTCCCTAGGGGAATGTGCACCTTCTCAGCTTCATGGAGTTGACAGCATTCGGCTGTAGCTGTACTGCTTGGAGCATCGCTTTGACTTTTGATCTTTTGAAGCCAATAATTTAAGAGATCCTGCAATTTCTTGCTTGGTTCTTCTGGAAGTGATGAATGACAGAAAGGGCATGTCGTGAGACCTTGGGACGTTTCGGGAAGTTCAAAGCTTTCGTCTTGTAGATCGTCCAATGCATCATATTTGATGCTCTTGTGTTGCGAGAAAAGATCATTCCATTCTTGCAGCTTTTCGACATCTTTTGAGATTTCAAATCGATCTGGTAAAGTCAGTCCTTTGATTTGCTCTTCTTCCTCCTCTTTTTTACGACCGTTCTTTTTCACACTCTTCTTGTGTTTTCCTCCACCTTCAGCATAGTCCTCATCATTTTCGTTGTCAGGTTCGGAAGATGAAGCTTCGTCGTCTTCCGAATCTAGATCTTCTGTGCCGCTTTGGGGCTCTTGAACAGATGAATGCTGTACATTCCCATTCTCCACTTCTGGTTTACATCGCGGTCTAGCCTTGGGTCGCTCCTTGATGGTAGGAGGTTCTTTCCCAGAAAAATCTTGAGTGAACCCTTTTGATCTATTTCTTGATGACTGTCGTTGTGATGATGAGCCCGCATATGCAGCCGTTGATCCATTCTCTACCGAATGTTGATTAAGCTTTGGAAGCAGCATAGAAGATGACGCATTGTTCTGATCTTGTGACGAAGACATTCTTCTTGTTTGTACTCTTGATGATGCTGAAGCTGTTAACTTTGGTCGCTTTGCTGGAGGATCTTTCTTTTTCAATTGAAGAGATCGTTTTGGTGATGAATGGGGATCTACAACGCTGTCATCTTCTTCGCGTTGCGCGACTGCATTTTGCCTTTGTGATTTGGCCATGTTCACCGCTGCTCTTGCATCAAAAAGGTAACATTTGTTAAATGGGAAGCAAGACTGTGCTCAAGGAAGATGATGGGAAGAATGTTGGGAGTGTAAGAGTGTCAATTTGGCGCTTTGATGTTTGGATTGTGATCAAAACATGGAGGAAGTTACTTAACTAGAACAACACTTCTAACACTTTTTCTCTTCTGTTCAACTCTGCCCAGCACACGGCTTTGCTTGCTTAAAGGACACGCGTAACAAATGGCGTTTGCCCTTTTTGCCGTTGCAGCACAAATTATAATGGCGGCGTGTTTGGAAGGAAAACCCAAGGCACCACCCACGCACAGACACACGCACAGTTCCATTTATGAAAAATTTAGTGGAGAAAATTTTAGAAGAAATTAATTGACATTCATTCTTTCCAAAACCATCATTCCATCATGTCTAGGCTTGAGATACTCAACAGCGGATCGCTACGACTAGATGGAAGGAGACCACACGAATTACGCAGTCTGGCACTACATATCACACCTGAAAACGCACATTCGGATGAATTTGCATCGTTCAATTCAGGTACCAACCCAAAAAGTGATGGAAGTGCAAGGGTAGAACAAGGATTGACAGTGGTACATGCATCTGTATATGGACCGCGAGAAGCAAAGCAAAGGTCAAGCACGCTACATGATCGAGCGGTACTGCAATGTGAAGTGACGATTGAACCTTGGAGTGGAAGAGATCGTAGGAAGCGCAGTAGAGCAGATAGAAGGATAGCGGAAATTTGTGCAGCATTAGAATCTACTTTTGAACCTGTTGTCCAAACTCATCTTTATCCGAGATCAACAATTGATATCTTTGTCTCAGTTGAAAGACAAGATGGCGGTGTTTTACCTTGTGCGATCAATGCAGTCACTTTGGCATTACTAGACGCAGGTATCTCAATGTCAGATTACGTTGTTGCTCTTTCGGTCGGACTGCATTTACAGAGCGGGAAGACGCTTTTGGATCTTTCATCACACGAAGAAACTGCTTTGCCTCACCTGATCGCTGCTACTTTGCCGAGAAGCGGAAAGATTACTTTAGCTCAATTGGAAACACGAATTCATGCAAATGTTGTACAAGAGATGTTAGCCGTTGTCGGACAGGCATGCTCGGTCTTGCATTCAGAGATGGATATTGCCATGCAAGAACGCACAAAACAACTTGCAGACGCTTTGGGGGGAAGTGGACTGGGTAATAGAAAGGATGAAGCATTAACGCAACAATTATTGGATTCCGTTCAAGAAGACATTGATGATGATGCAGATCATTCGATGAACATGTAAGATAGATGACATTCATTCGTTAATTGTATAGTATATCATGTGCAAGAGCTGTTCCTGTAAATGCTTTATATCCGGATAAAAGTTGGTTGAGCCGTTGGAGTGCTGCCGCTCAGCAGAATAAGCCCGGGTCAAGGGACCTTTTCTTACGTAAATCTTTGTGCCTTGTTTCTTTTTTTTTTCCGATTTGTGAAAATATTAGCGCGGAAGCCTAAGCGGGAAAAAGAAGGGAAGGGATCGACAATAAAAACCGTTGAGTGGAAATAACCTGCAGGAGGACATTAAATCCGAATCGAAATCGAGAACCGAGCTGAGTAAGGAGAGGCGGAAATATGGCTTATGAGCGATGCCTACCCTTTAGGATGCATATACTTGTGTGTACATACATCATGTTCTATAAATGTCAATAGGATGCATGCTTCATTCATTTCTTCATCCCACTTGATGACCACTTCCACTCAACATCACACAAGATGACATCCGTTTCTCGCAATGGTGCATCCGCCAATGCTGCAACGGAACGTACTCCACTTTTGAGTACGGCAACACAAGAGACACAATTAACACTACCAGAAAGGAATGCTACATTTACCAAAAAGATTGCTACGCCTGCAAGACAAATTGCACCTGATTTATTACGTGGACTATTGATGATATTCATGGCAGAAGATCATGTAAACGTAACAGTGAAAGGATATCCACACGGGACAGCATTAGGAAGTGAAGATGCATCAAAACAAATCCCGGGTTGGACAAATACGTTGGGCTATGTGATGAGGACAATCTCCCATTTATGTGCATCTGGTTTTGCGCTGCTACTCGGAATGGGAATTGCATTCTTTATCGCAAGTAGAGCAACAAAAGTTAATCGTGATGGAACACGTAAAGAAGGATGGAAAGCGATGCAATATATGAAACATATCGTTCAGCGTACATTGGCTATTGTTGCTGCTAATTATGCTGCAAGTGCAATGATCCTCTTTCAAGGCTTTTGGTTGGCAAATATTGTCTTGGTAGCTTTGGCATTTGACTATCTGGTCGTAGGTACATTGGCTGTCTTGTTGATGTTTGCTGTAGAGCCAATCTGCCAACACATTTGGGCAAAGATCTTATCGGAAGGACGTGAAGACGCTGATTGCAGTAATGAAGAAACAGAAGCGACAAATACTGCAGTCGATCCCACTCCCTCACCCTCCCAACGAGCCGCTTTCCATTCTGCTAATCTGTTATTGTTAGTCCTAGGCGCTTTCACTTTATTCCTAACCGTTCAGGTTGACCCCAAGCATGGAGATTGCAAGAGGTCTTCAACTTCAGATTTGGTTGGAGAAGGAGACGTTCAATTGTTCATGCACGAAGCAATGTTTTCCACAACAAGCAAACCACCACCGTCAAAATGGTTGATCGATCGAAACTGCTCAAACAATAATCTAACACTGCTTTGGAATTTGCTATTTTATCCAACAAATTGTCGTGGAATCGTCAGTGGATTTCCACCTATGGGTTGGTTACCTTTTGCGATCTTTGGATTGTTGTACGGAAGATTGTTGTTGGCAAGAACTCATGCTGCTCAAAGAAGATCTTCATCCAACAAAACAGTTCAAGAAGCATTGCACAATATCACATTGGAAGCCGTACTTGCAATCATCTTTGCAGGTCTGTTTGTCGGTACAAGATTGCTTCATTTCGGCAATTTGAGTGAAAATTGTTTACCCGGCTCAACCTCGAAGAAAAATCCTTATTTGGAATCCATCAAAGCATTCTTTTACGTGGTAAAATATCCACCTTCACCTTCGTTTGCATTTTTGACATTATCTGGAAATTTTGCTTTATTGGTTCTGTTTGCAATCACTACTTCATCTGTTCTCAGTCCTTCACGGTTGGTGAATGCTTTACGATCTGATGCAAATCCCTTACTCGTTTTCGGTAGACAATCTTTGTTCTTTTACGTCATTCATCTCCTTCTGGCAAGCTTTGGAGGACCTTTGATCGCCAAAAGTCCATTAGCACACAAGATCAAAAAGGGAGATTGGGATGGAGAAACGGGTGAATATGGTGTTGGTCTGGGTTATGCTTTCTTTGCATCTTATGCTCTCTTGCTTTGCATAATGTATCCACTCTGCAAAGCCTATGCAAAGTTTAAATCTCGTCAATCAAGTGATAGCATTTGGCGGTTTTTCTAGTATATTTCATATAAAAATGTAGATGGTGTATTTGTACATTGTGCATAATCTATAATAGATTCTTTTCTATGATTTCGTGACTGCCACTTTTGGCCATCCGTTCATTCTGGCCCTACGACAAGCCTCTAAACAACGACCGATTCCATCAACATCACTCAATAAAGTCACATGTCTATGACTCGTCTCAACCACACCTTCTTCGTTCGTTAAAGGATGTTTACCGCGTTCATCCAAACTTGCGTCATCTTTCACCAATAATTTACCCCATTGACCCGGTAAAGAGATTGATGATTCACGTAAGATCACTCCATCTCCCGGTGCATAAAGCATTCTAGAATAATCTCGTAACCGTGCCGTTCTTTTCCAGTGATCTTCGTCTGTTGTAATTGGTAGTTCAGGCTCTGGTTTTCCTTCCTCAACCGCTTTGGCTTTGGCCTTGGCTTCTTGTTTCTCCAGTGCTTCACTTCCTTTTGGCCATACCAATGCACCACGAACGGTCGGTGTTCTACCGGAAGTGAGAATCGAAATGGGCGGATAAAGACCTTTTTCGAAAGACTCTTGCTTGAAACTTGTACGTAATTCGTAAAAGAATTGTTTTGTTTCTGCCAACGTCTTTTCCAGGTAAGCCCATGACATTGCCTCTTCGGCTTCCTCATCAATTCCCTCTTCTTTGGCTTGTTGATCATTGCTTTCTTGTCTGTTGGCTGGATGTAAAGTGTGCTCCGTGTCATCTTCATCTCCTGCAAGCTTTTGGCCCTTTTGGATTGCTACATTGACGGCTTTTGCTGGTTTGGACGAGCTGATATCTTCACCATCCATTTGCACATTTGCGAGTGGCATAGCAGGAACTTTGTCCGTACTATCTTTCTCAGGATCATTTCGAGAACTTTTCTTGGTAAGAAGGGAGGTTTCACGCTGAGTGTTTGTGTCTTCTATTTGCCCATCAATAGAAATACTCTTCTTAGTCGCATTTTTACGAAGATAATCGGCGGCTGCTTTCCTGCCACCTCGTTGGACACATGGACTGAATCCTAAGTCATTCCATGTCTCCGGATCTAAGAAATCAACATCATGTGGTTTCCCGTCCTCTTCTTCAAAGCATCTTCCGGCGGCCGTATCAATCTTTTCTTTTTCGTTTGTGGGGTGCGTTGGCAAGAGATAAAAGCTGGATCGGAAAGAAAACGTTGCACGAGGCGAACAAATTTCATCGTTCCACAAAGCTGCATCACCATATGCAAACGGTCCCAGAATGTTGGCCGTTCCTAAAAATGGCGTACTTGCAAATACTAAAGATTCAAATATTTTTGGATTCTTTGTACGGGCCAGAGCATGCATAGCTACCAATCCACCCATAGAATGAGCAACAACTTTTGCACCTTTTCGATTTTCAACTTGATCAGAACTTGCATCGTATAGCTCTTGTAAGAACTTTTCAAACTTTTCACTACTTTTGCTTAGGGTTAATCTCCAATCGAATCCCCAACTGTGAACTTTTGTTCGCTTTTTGTGTGCACAACGAACTAACAATCGTTTTCCCGTATCGACCATGTTTCCTATTCCACTCAACATTTCATCTGCAATCACCAGTTCTTCTGAGTTATCTTCAGCTGCTTCCGTTAATCCTAGCTCTAACGTCGGCCTTCGCAAGCCAACACCCACTTTGAGTGGAACCCAGATCATTTGATGAGTAGTTGCATCACGCAAGATTGATCCACGATAACCTCCCAGAATGACCACATTCCCTTCCAACTTTTTGAAGTAGCGATGTGTATGTGGATCACGATGAACTGTTGGAATCAATTCAGGCTCATATTCGCCCGGATGAACGGTTCGTTTTTGTGAAGCTTGCTGTTCGTTTGCTTGCATAGAGGAGCTAGATCCCATTCCAAAGATTGCAGGTGAGAACGGCAGTCCACGCCAAGACAGAAAGCTATCCTTTGATGATGATGATGATGATTCCTGCAATGCACTTTCATCAATCACTCCACCATTAATTGCATCTTGTTGTTGCTGCTTAATCTTCTTCTCCGCATTGTGCTTCTTTGTATTGCCCAATTTGCTCAACATATGTTTCGCACTTCCGATCGGATGAAACATATCATCTGCCAAACCTGCAACACTTCTGAACCCAGAAGAACTACCAAAATGCGAATCATAAAATGCTTGCATAGAAGTAGGATTTCGATGAGAAGGTGGAACGTATCCTTTATGTTCTTTATGCGATTCTGGCTTCCATGCATATCCTCTGCTTGGGTGATGAATCGATCGTGTCCTTTGTAGCTCTAGAGATGGAGTGAATGAATTTTGATTGGTTAATTGTAATGGTGTAGGAGGTTCTTCTGGATTGACATGCTTTTTGTTTACGGCTGTTTGTAATGATTCTAGATTGATCTTCATTGGTTGACCTCTTTTGGCACCTAATGATTCTTTAGCCGGTTGCGGTTGCTCTATCTCCCTTTCATTTCGATCCTTTCTAGATGGAGTTCTACTGCGTGCTATTTGCATTTGTGGTAGATCAGGTACTGAACTACTTCTTTCACGTGGATGACGTGCATGTAATCGAGGGTCGTCATCATCCTCTTCCTCATTCCCAGACGATAATGCTTCTTCTTCCGCTTCTTCAGTCATTTCTATTTGTGGAGGTGCGACCATCGTATCTTCTTGACCTGTTAGCACTTCTTCTCCTTTTGGTAATTGTTTCTTTTCCCATGTTGGTGAAGCCCATTTAGCTTTGAATGCGGTTATGCTACTTCTTCTTCTATTCTCAAACCAACCTGAAGGTGAACTTTGACCGCTTGAACTTCTTCTCATCATTGAAGATGTTGGTCTTTGTTCGGGAGTATACCATCCTCTTTCTGCTTCTGGAATGAAACGTGAGTTTCTCCTAGGTGTCTGTGCTTGTGGAGTGTTTGATTCGGCCATGAATGCATTTCCATTCATGTTTGATGCAGACCCTGTTTGCGTTGATGATGACCAAGGCTTCATCTTGACTAGGTGAGAGTAAAGAAGAATGCTAAAATTGAAATTAAAGTTCTGTGGAAAGCCACTGTTTGGAATGCAAGTTTTCCATGCATGTTGTATAGAATTCGGATCGTTTGTTCCTTTTGAGGTGAAACGGAAGCGAAAGAGAAATGATGGAAAAAGCCTCCACTAACTTAATAAGGGGCTAGTAATATCCGCGGCGGTGCACAGCTTCTTTTTATTTTGTTAAGCCCGAATAACACCAACACACACAAACACACACACACGGGCCGAAAGATTAAACGCGTTAGAAGAAAGCAGAAATATGCATGTTCTTCTTCCTACAGTGATGTTCAAACAAAATGATGGAAAGGTGAAATGGCATACAGTATCACAGAGAATGTGATACATGCATACGAGGCTATTCTTGAACAGTCAAAATTGGAGGCTTATTTCAGACATCACTTGGCACCCAGTAGCAAGGAAGAGGAAGAGGGCATATCAGAGGAAGAAGAGTCAAGTGAAACAGATTCAAGCAATGCAGAGGAAGGAGGGGAAGATCAAAATGAACCAGAGGATGGCACAGGCTGGAGCAATGACGAGCTGAACCTATTCTTCATCAGTCTAGAACGAAGGAGTAGGCTACGATGTGATTTGATTGCAGAAGATTTGGGCGGTCGCAAATCCATCAGTCAAATCGCACATCTCATTCATCTTTTCGAACAACAAAAGCATGATCAAAAAGCTGAAAGGAATGCATTGAGAAGGATAGAAATGATTCCGATCGCAATCGAAGTATCGAAAGAATGGGATGAAATTGAGCAAGCCATCTCATCACGCTTGCAGAATTGGGAGGAAACTAAACTTCAAAAACTTGGTGATCAATCTGCCGAATGCGATTGGGATACGCAAGTATTGCACAGCATCCTCTTCTTACGGCATACACATCGTCTGGATCCTTCACAGAATGCACCGAACCTCGTCATAGAACAATCTTCATCTTCGAAAGAGGGGAACAAGATCTTCTCATTTACCATTTCAGATGTTGTCGGATTGCTTCGTTATACCAGACTACCAAACAAGGTAAATGGACTTGCATTCCGATCGTTCGGCAAAGATCATTGTGTCCCAATCATCAACACTCGGGGTGAATCGGATCAAAAAGCATGGGAAATCGTCTTACGTTCCATTCAATTGGGATTTCTGGTGCCGATCAATGCCAGACGAGGAAAAAAGAAAACGCATGGACAACTCCGAGCCAGTCTGGACGAACAGAGCGACCTAGTGTCAGATGCTACTGTTGAATCTTTGCAGGGATCACCAGAGCAAAGGCTGGTCTGGTGGGACAGTTTGCCAAATACCCAAGATCTTGAAACTCTTACAAGAAGGCTGGATGACACACGAGAATCAGCGCTTCATCAATTACTGCGCTCTCTTAAACAGAGGGAATGGAAGCAGATTATGGCAATGATGTACGTCAAGGCAGCCAATGAGGATGACGAAAAAGGGACTGGAAAAAAGCACCCTTTGACAGATGATGACCACGACGAAAATATTCCAGCAAAAAGACGAAAAATCATAACGGGAGAAAGGAGTGTGACCACGGATTTGGATACATGGGCTAAACGAATGGCACGCTTTGATAGAATCGGGGTCAACAAAGATGCTCTGCTGACTTTTCTTGAGCCTCGTCTCAACTTTGAGGATCAAAGTTTGTTCAATGCAAAAGGGGTGGAATACATCTTGAAATGGGTTGAACCGGAACAGGAATCATCTTCGGTAGAAAAGGTTTCGATATACATCTTTGACCTTTTGGCTGTTTGTTTGCGAAACTTCCTTAATTGTATTATGGAACACATCACAGATCAGATTTCGCACTCGTTACGACCGGAGTTGAAACAAGCTGCGGTTGAGATCACAGAAGAAGACATCCTGAAAGCTGTGGCGCTTTTCGTTCGTCCAATTGACGATGAAGACGACAATGAAGACGATCACATAGATGACGACTCAAGTGACAATTCTGATAGCGACTCAGATGACGATTTCGATCCGAACCTAGTCAACCTTGATGTGTTCGATCCGAGCCTTTTAGATGGGATGCATGATTCTCTACCTTCAGCACACATTCAAGCATTGATGAACTTGAACGACAAACAGTGCACAGATGCATACGAGAGAAAATGCAATCATATATCGGGCTTGAACAGTGCTCCGGCATCACGGCAATGTACAGATGCTGCAGAGCAAAACGACCTTTCTGAATCTGAATCTGAATCGGCAAAAAACATAAGAGAGGCAAAGGAAATAAATGAAGAAATGAATGATATGAAACGATCAAGGATGGGCGAGGAAGTTCTCTGGTCTCGACTTAATTTGGACATGCCAGAAACGCTGTCATATGACAGTCAAGGGGAAGGTGAAACTATAGACGAATCCAGTACGGCGACCGAAGACGAAGAAGAGGAAAGAGATAGCCATAGCCATAGCGACAGCAGCTCCTCGACAAGTGATTAAAGCACATTTGAAGTCTATTGTCTTTTGTATTATATCAGTGTACTGTACTTTTATCTCTATCCGCACCCACTCAAAGCTAATCACATCATGTTGAAATAATATATAATGAATCTCAGATATGCATGCCAATTCTACTTTACAAAAGGTCCAACAAATCCCCACCGCCCGAATTAGCGCTCGTTACACCACCACCGCCATTGCTGCCAATCATTGAATTTCTTGGAGAAGGATTAACGGTAGGCGCAGCTGGTAACGAAGACAAAGCATCCAAACCACTCTTTGCGCCTGGAGCATTTGCACCGGGTGCAGCATCAAACAATCCCAAAAGGTCGTTCAATTGTGAATTTTGTGCTTGTTGAATTGAATTTGTCTTTTTTGCCGATGAATCTCCAATGCTTGCATCTGACATCAACTCATCCAATCCTCCCAACCCTGGTGCAGGTGCTGCATTGATCTTTGCTGATGTATCTTCGTCATCATCTCCAAAGTCCAACAGATTTTCTGCTTGTTGTCCTTGTACAACGGTTGCCAATGCTTTCTCGCGTGTAACTTCATCACGTTTGCGTGTGAAAGCATCAGCTCCCAATCTTCCCCTTCCGATAAAGGTTGACTCGGGTTTGTGGTATGCACTTGCCAAAGAGGATAAATCATGAATCAACTCTTCCAACAAAGCTGGTGATACGGAAGTCAAAGGGATCGAGATTGGCGGTCTGTCTGCCAAGACGACAGATTTTCCCGCTCCAGAATCGCTACTACTCAACAAACGCCAATACACGAACGCACGATCACGTAGATCGGGATTATCGCATTCTTTCGTGGCCAACTCAAGAACACGTTGAACCAGTCCTTGTGCTCCATCAGGTTTCTTCAAAAATAGCTTGACAATTGCTGTCAAAATTTGATATTGTACGCTTGCTTGTTCGTCTTTGTATGTATCCAGGAAGGATGCTAACACATCTTCTGAATTGTCAATCTTTTCCGCGTATTCTCCTAAAATCCAAATCAAGGATGCTTTTGCTTCTGGCTCATCAAGATCTTCCAAGTTTGCACAGAGAGTAGGAATAATACCTTCGTAGTTTTGAGGATATTTGCGGAAGATGTCCTTGATTACAACGATTGCCTCTTGTACCACATAGCTGACTCGAGTGGCAATCAGATCCAACAATACATGAACGCATCTTTCGGCAGCCATATCAATCTTGATAGCACACTGTCCAATAGCACGAATTGCACGTCTGACAAAATCGACATCCACTTCCGATGCGTATTCCTTCAACTCGCTCAAGAGCATGTCCACATTACGCTCATTAGCCAGCTTGATCATAATCTCCAGCTTCTCCAGTTTGATATAACTGGGATCGTTGTATTTGCAGAAAAAGATGCGCAATTCTGTTGATAGAACATCAGGTCGCTTTTGTAAGATTAGGTTGATATTCCGTAATGCTACCCATTGCACTTCAGGTGCAGATGAGACGAGTGTGACGAGAGGCGGTGCCATCTTTCTGACCAATTGCTTGACAAACTCTGGCTTTCCGATTCGGTCCATGTGGATCATGATCACCTTGACAGCACTCAAGACGACACTTCCGTTGGCGTGTTGGAACTGAGGAATGACACGTTCGCAGATATGCTCAGCATCTTTATCCCCGTCAGGTCCTTGGGGTGTTCTATATCTTGCCAAGCTGTTCAAGATGGCTATTCTTCCCCACTCTGTGCATTCGTTCAGAGCTATCAACAATTTCTGCAAGATGGTCGAATCGATGATGAACATACTTGATTGTCCGGAAGGATCCATTTCGCAAGCTGTTGTATGAATGTCTGTAAGAGCTGTGACAGCATTCGCAACGACCATCGGATTGCTATCGCCAACCAAATCACGCAGTGCTCCGACAAAGCCATTCTCTACCGCAAGTTCCGGTTTCATTTCGTATAGTTTTGCAACGCAGATTGCTGCTGTTTTGCGTACGTATGGATTGTCATCTCGAAGACACTTTTGCAAAGGATCTGATAGGTAATCGATAATCTTTTCTGCTCGTAAACATCCCATCGTTCTGATTGCCAATGCACGTACGAGTGGGTTTGGGTCGTCTGAATCTTTGACGAATGTGTTGACCGCCAAGATGACTAACTCTGGTTGTGTTTTTGCATAGTTCATCAGATATAGATAGACCAGCTTTTTCTGTTCCAAATCTTCTGTTTGCATGTTCTTGAGTACATCCGGGAATAGACCGCTGACGTCTTTGCCAACAGTCATATTTGCGATGACTCTCTTGATAGCATCTTTTCTTCTATCGCGATACTCGCTATTTAAGTCGGCTCGTAGTTCGAAGTTTTCACCCTTGCGAGGAGCATTGAAGAAGCGTGGTCGACTCATATTGTCAATTTTGAGTGAAGGATGACTGCCAGATCACTGGGTCATTCGTATCTATGCGGAGATGTTCCCTGGTTATCACTTTGAGTTGAATGTGTGCTGTTGATACTGTTTGAATGAAGTGCTCTATGTTGACCGTTATCAACTTCTTATTGTGGTCCGTGTGATGATGGTGTGATAGCTGTTGTTCTTCTTATGCGTGTATTGCTTGCTTGCTTGTGCATCTCCACGCTTACCAGCGAATCAATCTTTCCAACACTTCAACTCACGTGAACACAATGAATACCCTTATCTCGGAAGCACAGACCTTTAAACGGAATATGCTAAACCGAAGCGCTTAGATAGAGCTTAAAATTAGGGCATTAAAGTGGGGGAAGTTCATTTCGTATAATGTTCTCACGCAATTTGCCAAGCAAGCACACAATGTATACTTTCTCTTCTCTCTCTCATCATCACAAGTAGTCCATCCCCTAACTCTCCTCCCAATATGTCATTCAAATCAATCCCAATAGAAGATTTTGATAAAGTCCTAGGCTCCACTTCAACAGAAGTTTCAAGTGTTGCTTTGGGCGGTAAGATTGTTGCATTTTCTGATGAATGGTTTGCACCAGCATCAGATTTACTCAAAGTTGGTCCTGCACCAAGTATGAAAGGTCAATTTGGTCCAAAAGGTGCACTTTTTGATGGTTGGGAAACTAGAAGACATAATCCAACATATGATTGGGTAATCGTTCGTTTAGGTCCTGCTGCAGGTGCTTCCATCGTTGGATTTGATGTGGATACGGCAAACTTTAATGGAAACGAAGCTCCAGAAGTTGAAGTGTTTGGCTTGCATCTTTCGCCTGCAGAGGAAAAGCAAGCACCTATCATCAGTCAAAATGATCCTCGTTGGATGCCTCTTTTACCAAGAGTTCCTTGCAATCCCTCTTCTCGTCACTTGTATGCATTGAAAGATACTAGCTCACAAAAGCAAGAACTTTTGTACACCCATGTCAAGTTGCACATGATCCCTGATGGAGGTATCGCTCGTTTCCGTGTGTATGGATCTATTCATGCTCCCCCGATCGGCTTGGGTGTGAATGAATATGCTACGAGCAGTAATGATGACGGACGCTTGAACGTGTTGGATCTCGCACATACAATGAATGGAGGTCAAGTCGTATTCACCAGCGATCAGCATTTCGGCGTTGGACCAAATGTTCTCTTGCCTGGAAGAGGCAAAGACATGGGCGATGGTTGGGAAACCAAACGATCTCGTGCTCCCGGTCATAAAGACTGGTTGATCATCAGATTGGCAGAGCCTGGGTTGTTGAATTATGCAGAGATTGATACTGCACACTTTCTTGGAAACTTTCCTGAATCCGTTGAATTGCATGGTTTGAGCTTTGATGGACAGGTGCCTCCAACTGAATACGATGACAGTAAAGCAGAATGGGTTTCCATCTTACCAAGAGCAAAGACCGGTCCTGGAAGACAACATTATTTCCCTTTGACCAACGTTGAAGGAAAGACGTTCAGTCATGTACGTGTGACAATGCATCCTGATGGAGGTATCAAGCGTGTTCGTATCTTTGGACGAAGAAGTGCTCCTTTGAAGGAACACACTGGACCTCTTCCTGTCGTTGCTTTGCCGGGAGGATCAGACAAGGATCTACCTGATCAACCAAAATCGTTTGCCAATTTAGCTGGCGCAGCCGGTGCAGCCATGTCGAGCTGGTTCAATAACAAGAACCCTGCTTCACCTTCTGCGAGCAGATCTCAACAAGATGGAAGACAGATTGGATTTTTAGGTGTACGTAATCTTGAAGTGGGCGACAAGAAAGCTGCCGCTTTAAAGGCCATACCTTTAGACAGAGACAGCTTTGCAGAGTATGGGGATGTAATTGCATCGCCCAATGCTCTTGCCTTGCCTGAACAACCATTCAAATCGGTCAATCAAGGTACAGCACAAAAGTATGAATCTTTGTCAGATTCTGTATCCTTTTATCCTTCCGAAGCACAGGCGAAATCCAATATTCACGTTTATAGATGCACGCCCCCAAAAGATTCATTAACAGCCTCCTCCAACGGTTCTTTCGGCGTTCGCGTTTTAGAAAGACATCAATTTACCAAACAAACTTTTATTCCGATGGGCAGTAAAGAAGGCTACCTCGTAATTGTTGCAAAGAATGGTAAAGATGATCTACCCGATTTGAGCACGTTGGCAGCTTATGTTGCAACAGGAGAACAAGCAATCTCGTATGGTGCAGGTACATGGCATCATCCAATGATCGCTCTGGGTAAACAACCAACGGATTTTGCCGTCGTCGTTCATGAATCCGTCATTCAAGCTGAACTCAATTGCGATGAGGTCTTTTGGGACAAAGATGTTGCACAAGTGACACTCTAGAGATAAATATTATGTACAGTACTTGGTTGCAAATATTTCAATGCAAAATTTTATTACTCATGTGATACATCGAAAATACATACAACAGAAGAAACGGAAGGGGGGAAATACATTCAGTGACAAATAGCAAATGTGTGACTTGAAAAAAAAAAAAAAGGTTTGTCAAGGTCAACGAGAACGTGAAAGATCGGCAAAAGCTGAATCGATGCAATTCTTGATTTCTCGATAACTGACAACCAAACAACTTTGTTCATCACGCGAAGTGAGCATAATCTTTTCCAAACTTCCAGCGTCCAATTTGTTCAAATTTGTAAGGATGTGTGTTAAATCCACAACCGGTCGACCGGCAGGATCGATAGCATGAAAAACGTGATCTCTAAACAATTTTACGATATAACGATCTCCTGATTCTGACCAACGTGGATCATGATCGAATTCCGGCCTTTCATTTATAAATCCAAATTTGCACAACAATCTTACCAACCTTGCATTTTCCAATTCTTTTCCTAATCCTGATTCCAGTAAATCGTTATGATTTAATGCACTATCAAACTCTTCCGAATACTTCACACCTAGAATACGTTGTAATCCTTCTGCAGTCTTGTTTCCTTCTTCATTCTCTTCTTTTGTCGATGTGATCTTGATATTGTTTAACGTTGGCATCGGGGCATTTCCACTGGGTGAGATTAACCAGACAATGACAGACTTCAAATCTGCACTGTATACGCGAGTGATTTGATCCAAAGAACGTTGAATGTTTTGCACTGCCGAGACGCTATTGCATGCCAATGACAAGATCAATCGGCCAATGTTGACCAGATCTTCTGCTTGATGATTTTGCAATGCGGATTGGGCTGCATTTGGGTCATATGCAATCACATCAAAGATCGAACAACAATTAATGCGAATTCGATTCTTTGCCGTTAGCAGAACTTTACTGGGTTCGATGCATCTTGCCGCTAAACCATGTTGGTGAATGGCTCGAACAACATTTGTAAGTTGGCAGAGGTAGCTCCAAAGTACTCTTTCATGAATCTGCATAGATCTCGTCTGCATTCTTCCCGTTCTTCGGTCAGGTTGGGGTGGTTTGGCGATCATATGTTCGGCATAGAGCGTGGCGGCCAACGGATGATAATCGTACACAAAAACGATCGCTGCAAATCATAGCACTTCAGTAAGCCTCCTCTTCATCTTCCCTTAGAAAATCATCACTCACAAGAATCTCCAAAAGCCCTGGTAGTGAAAGCTTCCCGCACACTAACGATGCTGGGATGTCGAATCCGTCTCCATCTTTCCACCAATCCGATCGCTGCTTCGTGATTTAAACGGAAGTTCTCTAATCGTCTCAAAACGTAATACTTGCCATCAAGCGTACATTGCGCTTTGTATACATGACAACGGTATCCAAATACTCGTGATGCTTCGCCTGTTGCACCTGTGAGCTGGTATACTGTTTGAGGCGCGGTTGGCGAAACAAGTCGTGGATTGATCAATTGCGGTACGATGCTGCTTCCCTGCATGCCTGCGATCTGACCATGTTCCAATGGCACAAGGGAATGATAGACGTGCAGTTCTTCTGGTAGCTTTGGACCGCCAAGTTCTGGTGGAGGAACACCAGCATGCAATGCCTCATTTTTGCGTTGCAATTCCTCCCTTTCCTCATCGCTCATAAAGAATGCATTCGCGCTCAAATGTTGAGGATGAAGATTGGAAACGTGTGGCATAGGCGGATTGTAGAGATGATATTGCAATGGCTGCCGTAGTTTGACACTGGCAGAAGCATTTCCATGTTGACCCGAAGATGCGTAATAATCCAAACCCATCTGTCCTGCTCCTGGCATCAATGCACCGCCATTCGTTGGCTCTCCGTACTCGTTCAGATGTTCATAGGGGTTATAAGCTTTTCCTCCTTGAGGCTGTCCTGCAGCGGTACCCATGTTTGCATTTCCAGATCCCTGCGTCTCTTGTGAATTTTGTTGGTTGGGGAGAGGCCCCATGTAGGTAGGATCGAACATGCTATTTGAACCATCTGTATCATATCCACCTCCTACACCAAACGAATTGGGTGTACCACGTCCACTTTCATTTCCCAGAAAGAGGTTATTTTGAATAGCGGGAGATTGATGATAATGCTCTTGTGGTCCATTGATGTTCATGTCGTGCATCATAGCATTATTGTTGGCTTGTTGATCATCGTATGCATTTTCGGTTGTTGGCAAAGCAGGTGTTGCATTGGCGGTTGAAGGAGTAGAAATACCTTTTGGAATAAAGACAGCAGCACTTGCCGCTTTTGCTGATAGTGCTCCTTTGGCAGGACTGGTGGCTGTAGCTCCATTCACATTTCCGGTATTATTTGTGGCAAGTTGTTTTGCAAATGCTACTTTTGTTTCAGGTGAAGCATCATTTGAAGGAGAAATGATTGGTATGGCTCTTGCACCTCTTTGTTGTTGTGAAGCAGGAACGAAAGGAGCAGGCGGCCCTTGTCGAGAGGCAGTTGGTCGACCATACATTGTTGGGTGTGTGTTTAGGGTTAGTGCTTATTCATCTGTTGACGTTGACATGTTGGATTGGATGCTATTACAAGGTTGTTGGTGGTGCAAGTGATGATGGAGAGAGAGCGGGAAGTTGACGCTAGAGTGGTTGGAGATTGTATGTGTATGTGTGTGTGGTGGTGCATAGAGTGAACGGTGAATTTAATTTCAGACTGACAAAGTCCAGGTGACCCTTTTCCTAAGTAAGCACTGCAAGCAAGCACGCGTATTGTACCGCGATGAGTAGAAGGTGCGTGAGGTTTAAAAACGCGTTATGTTTTATTAAACGGCGAATGAAGAGCAGCTCTAATTTCCGAAATGGCTGTGTTTTTCCTTCAACGGCTTCCGTCTGTGTCCTGCCTGTCAGTCCGTGTGAAGATGCAGCAGAGTGCGTATGTCGTGCGTATATGCAAAAGTAAGTGTTGATCTGTGGAGATTTGACAAACATAAACACCATCTCGCAAAGAAAACAATGGTACCTAGACCAATCGGATCAGGAGCACCACAATGTGCTCGTTGTGGAAAGAGTGTGTATATGGCAGAGCAAGTCGTAGGACCTTATTCAAAGCCATATCATAAACCATGTTTGACCTGTGTTGTTTGCAACAAAAGACTCGATTCAACACTTTTATTGGAACATGATGGAGAGCCATACTGTAAAAGTTGTCATAAAACACATCTTGGGCAAGGAAAAGGAGGATTTGGGCTTTCTGTACCGCTACGCCCAGAAAAGCCAATCGCTTTACAAGCTAGCCCAAAACCATCCAATGGATACAAAAGTGAGGCAGCCAGGAGGGTAGAGGAAAGGTTAGCAGAAGAAATGTCGGGGATCAATCTATCAGCAAGGAGAGATAATCCTTCTCCAACAATGAGAGAACCTACTTCACCCTCGACATATCAGCCACGCACGCAGATCACAACGTTATCCAAACCAACAACAGTCGCTCAAAGTATCGATCACCTTGTTTCATCTGGAGTGGAAGTTCCAATACCCTACACACGCAAGGAGACTTCAAGGCCGATTGAAAGTGCTATATACGGAGACTATGAAGGAGAGACTGCCTCGAAGTATGCAGATTACGATGAAAGAGGATTGGAACAACACACCAACGATTATGGATACGAGGAGAACGCTCACAGCGAAAGAATGCAAGAATCCATCCCATCTTATGAACGGTCTGAATCTCCAACCAGAAGACCGACGGAGCGAGATATCCCCTCAACTCCCACTCGCAGCACACAAGAAACAATTGGCTCTGTTCGATTTGGTGAAGCAGGAGACGGGCTGCCAACTCCGCGTAGAAAAGATCCAATCGCCCTGGCAAGAGAACGTGAAAGAGGTGTTTATTCAACCGGAACAGGAACGGTTGCTAAAACCTACTCTCCCAGAACGACACCACTTTTGTCTCCCGGAGGCAATGGCTCAGCAGGTGGAAATCCAGATCAATACGGCGGCTATTCCCCTAATTCACAACTTGCAAAGATGGGTTTGGGTTCTACCGTAAATGCAGCAGCAGTTGGAACTCCTCTTTGTGCAAGATGTCAAAGACCAGTTTATTTTGCCGAACAAAAACAAGCAGCAAGCCGAAAATGGCATCGTGCTTGTTTACGTTGTGATGGTTGTTCGACTACTTTGGAATCGGGTAAATTGGAAGAAGGTCCTTTGAGCGCAACGTACGAGTTCCCAACGAATGTTTGGTGTAGGACATGTTATGCCAAACGATTCGGTCCAAAAGGAATCGGAAACGCCGGGATGTCTTTGCCAGAGAATGCAAGGTAGTTGTGGGTCTGTATTTTTCTCCTCGTTTTGTTGTTCTAGTTACGGGTTTCGATGTACTGTCCTTTTAACCCTCTCGAAACAGAGGAGATCTGTTCCATGCTGATTTTGTTACTTTTATTACCATATACCAAGCATATCAGCGAATAAAATTGAATTAAGCAAAAGTCGCATCTTTGAGAGCATGCGTGGTATAAGGTATCTACAGGGGAAGACTTGAGCAATAAGGAAGCAGACAGCAGAGAAAGCAAAAAAGGGTTAAGCTTCGGAAACACCAATCCTTTCGTTGACCTTGACGAGGGTTTCGATCTGTTTGAGGGAGAAAAGGTAATTAGCATCGAAAATACTTTGACTCTTTGGGAATGTACTCACGCCTTTGTTGGAATTGGTCAAAAGATCATCATCCCATTTGACTTTGGCGTCGGGTGGGAAGATGGCGATACAAGTCGATCCACCGTAAGCAAAATAACCCATCTCTTCACCACGTTTATAAGATGAACCTTTTGTTGCATTCGTGAACACGTTTGAGCCTACCAAAAGAGCACCAATCGATACAAATGCGAACGGAATGGCCGGCTTGCCATCAGCTGGCGTCCATTCTAGCATGGATATGTCGCGAGTATTGGCGGTAAAGACGTCAAAGTTTTCATTTACAGCATCGGGACTGCGAGGGGGAGAGGGTGGTTAGTACTTTGTTCCTTATCTCAAATAAGGGCTCACTCACTTGACAGTATAAAATTCTTCTCCCGAGTGTACTTGTGAGACTACTTTTGCAGCGCCGACAGGATGATGATATCTGTGATAGTCAGCAGGTGCAAGACGATAAATGGCAATACTGCTTCCTTCGGGTAGCTTGTTGGTTTCATCTCCCTTCTTGTTGATCAACTCTTTCACGCTGAATTGACGACCTTTGATCCAAATCTTCTTTGCATCATCTGCATTATCAAAAACCATCAATCTACAATCGGCTGCGGATCCGATCAACTTTGTGTTGTCTGGTTCGGGTATAGGTCGTACATCCTTCTTTAACTTTCGATAGAAGAACTCATTACGGGTCTTGTACTTCGTCAAATCTTGTTCTTCCAAATCTTCCGTATCGATAGAATACGTTTTGATAAAGTTTTGAATGAATGTTTGTACTTCTTCTGGTTTGGTTGAATCGTTGTAAATTTCACCTTCCCGCTCGCTCATCTTTTTCAATAAATTTTCTATACGTCCAAAGCGTAAAAGTGATTTCTTTTTACCTGAATAGAACAAGAGATGCATTCCAATACGAACGTAGATTGGCATTGTTTCGAAAAATCGATCGTTTGGTGGAGATGCATTACGATTGGCAACATAATTACCCATTTTGTAATAAACAAAGTCATCTTGCAATTCTTCTGAGTTTGGAATGATTGAGCAGCCTAACTTCTTGAAATATCCACTCAATTTATCAAGTGAAGATTTGTCTTCTTTCATTCCACCTACTTCTGAGATGCCTATATGCGATTCATGATCATCTTTTGAACCTTCGATCAAAGCTTCAAATCGTTGAGCTACTGATTCATGATCATCTTCTCCGGGTGTATGTGGTCCTTTGAGTGAATGATGAATGCCATCCTTGTTTCCTGTTGATTCTGACATTGTGAGTGAGTGAGTGAGTGAGTAATGTGGTGGTGGTTGTGTTGAATGTGTGGGGTCTATGCTTATCTTCTTAAAGTCTTAATTGCCCCTAACAGTATTGTGCCGCCGGCAAGTGTTGCATGCAGATCTCTCTCTCACTGGCTGGGCCTTTGGTTGATCCTCTAACGCGTTTGACTATAGCATGCACGCCTGCCTTTGAAGTGGATTGCCCACCATGACCTTGCAAGTCATCAAGGTCGCTGCCAAATGAAGTCACTTGCTCTCGAATAGCATCTTTGAGTAGTAGAAGAGAAGCAGGTGGCACAATACAATGCTCCCCAAAAGGAGAGAGGTGAATGAGCATTGTCGGGCACAAGAGATGAAATCCACTTTTTTAACACCAGTCAGCGCGCAATGTGAACTTCTTTTACGCACAATGAATGATGAGATATTTGATGGATGAAAAGTTGTATATAGAGTGATTAGGTAGAATTCAAGCCAAAATGGATGCATGAATTCCTTCCTGTACATACTTTACGCGGTTTACGCCCACTCCTTCGGAGGTTAATTTGCAGTGTTGTAATGTATCAAAATGTCATTCTTTTGATTCTCTACCATCATCCTCCGAGCTGCTTTTTCACAATGGCTCACATCAATGACTTACCGGCGGAGATCATCCTTCTAATCTTTGAAGAATTTGATACATCGCGATTACTCCAACTCGAAAAAGTTTGCCAAAAGTGGGAAAATGTGTTGCGCAGTAAAACTTCACCTTGGCAAACAGGAATCGAACTCGATTGTCGAACAAAAAGTTCCGAAGAGAAACAAAAATTACAAGCGATTCTAGCAAGGAGTAGGGGAGAGATACATGCGTGGAAAATCACAATATCTGATTCAACAGTAGGGTTCTACCGAGATACTTTTGATCGAATTCCGACTTCAAAAGTTCAATCATTACACATTAAGCTCTTATACGATAGGGATCTTATAGAGCTCGCAGATTACAACGGTATAGAGCTCACAGATAACTTCCGCATCGACTATGTTGACCCAACTTGCTACAGACTCGACAGACTCCAAGAAAAGATAGAAGCAATCCAATTGCAAAGGGAAAGAGATTACGATATATTGGTGCATGCTGTTAAACAATGTTCAGATTTAACGTCACTGAATTTTTGCATAGACAATATGATTTCATTATTGCTTGGATCGGATCTCAAATCTCATCCGCTGGCGCGATGTAAGTTGAAATCTCTCTCGCTAGAAGGTATCGACCTCGACTCACTTTGCAACGATGGTAGCATCTTCAACATGGTCTCACAAGCACAACATATTGATATCCTTGGTTATGACATCCTTGGCTCAGATATGAACGTGGTACGCATAGTCAACGCAGCGAAAGACACGCTCGAAACCTGCTCATTGGAATTACCAGGAATACTAGATCCGGATGATAGCTCCCGCTCGATCAATCTCCCACGGTTGCAAAAATTACGAATATCTAGCCATGATCCATTGAACGGTTCCATGCAATATTCTAGCACATGCCCAAATTTACGCTATCTTCGATTGAGTGGATGCTTACCCTCTGCTCTATGTGCAGATCTACTCACCGATAGCGTGAGTGTACTCCACTTGGAACTCCACTTAGAACTCATTAAAGAGCTTTGTCAATCGTTGCGGAATAATTTACGGAGATGTTCAAACCTTTCAACTATTCGATTGACGGAGGTGAAAATAGGTCTGAAGGATGTTTTGGACGAGTTGACCACATTACCAATTGAAGAATTTGTCGTTGATGGAACATGCGATTCGTGCGAGGTATTCCCTCAATTTTTCCGAGAAAGGTCCAAGAAACTGGGAACAAAACGGATGAAGCTGCTGTTGTTTTATCACTACGATGAACCAAATTTGAAAGTACTTGAGCAACTTTCACAGTATTGCGAAGTCGTTCAAGCATTCAACAAAAATCGAGAAGATTCAACGTATTCCGAAGAAGATGCTCAACTTTTGCGGTATGGCAGAAAACTTGGATTGTAGGATGTTACTCAAATGTCTCGTACGGCTCTTTCTTTTTAGTTCATATGTATATTCCATTGGTAGAGTAAATTCATGTAAATTTGATGACAGAAAGATCAATACTATTAAAAAACCCACCTCTCTTGATCAATATGAGGATGATGAGGTTCTTTGAAATAGCATATATTTATTGTCGTCGAAGTCTTGCATGCAGATCTTTAGTGGTTCAGCATTTGGTTGTTCTCCTAGAGGCACGCCTGCCTGCCTGTCTGTGCGAGGGCGTATATATTCAGACCAACACTGGAGCTTTTTACGCGGAAGTTTATGCAGGTTGCAGGCAATCAATCGTACGCGTTGTGTTGTTCTTCTCTCTATGCATACGGCCACGCGTAAGGTTGTGGATTTAAACTTCTTGCAAATTGTGTGAATTGAACGTTACTCTTACATCGATCATCAAATACAGTCCTTACCGTCTTCCCAATAGCCATAATGGTATCACAGGACTATGGAAAGGAGAATGGCGGTGGAGATACAAGCTTCGATAGTTCACCGCTTACTACTCCACCAAATACAAACGGAAGTTTAGGCAAATCTGATGTGGTCAATCCAACAAACACAACGGAAGAGGATGAAGATGATCTACGAATCAGAAAGATCATGGAAGAAGCACGAAAGAGAGCTTTGATCGAAGTTGAAGATCAAGGCGATATCTTGGCAAGCATTCGACCGACTGGAATGAGATCAACAGCAATGTCATCTCGATCGGGAAGTGGAGCGGGCACACAAATCAATTCTACAGATATGAATGGAAGCAGTTCAGACGACGAAGATGATTTGATGGATGTAGATCTTGGCTCAATCCTCAATAATCCGGGCAAAACTTCGTCTTCATCAAATCGCTCACAGAGTACTTTCAAACAGGATCCTTCTCCTCGCTCTCGCCCAAAGAAGACAGCGGACGATTATCTTGCATCGTACGGCGTTCCACCCCAAGAAGATGATGATGGTAGCTACAAACCTTCTACGTATGCGACACAATCGAACATTACACCCAGTCAACGACCAAGGAGAGAGGCTGCACGCAAAGCACCTTACTCGTTCAAGCTCGCATTACAAAGACCTTCTGAATCACGCCAAGTGCTCTTGGATACAAAGCATAGCGCAGCTGTCAAGATGGGTATCGTCAAACCAGAGTCCTGGAAGCAGGATAATAGGTCGACAGGTAGCAACGACATTGTCAAAAGACTCATTCGGGAAAGAAACAGGGAGATCAGGGAAGGAATTGGCTCGGAAGGCGTGAAGCAGGCAATAGCATATATCGAAAAATCTCGTCAATACATGGAAGAGGAGGACGGTTTGTTCGACTCGCTTTCAGAAGGAGATGCAAATGAGCTGGACGCTGAGTCTGATGATGCTGAGATGTCAGACGATGACGTTGGAGTGTCAATGAAATCTTCCAAGAACAAGCGTATCAAAACGGAAACACATGAAGACACTCTTGCTCGTTTTGACAGCGTAAAGACCGACGTTTTCAAGAAGCTCGAAGATGACAAAGATAAGGAAGAGGGTGAAGAAGGGCTAGATGGCTCAAAAGCGCTTGAGATCATCGAAAGAGACCGAGCAGATGGCATTAAGGCGGCCAGCTCAGAAACGGACTTTGGACTGGCGGAGAGGAATTTTTGGGAAACCGGTGAACGTAGATTACCGATTGAGGCGGAGAAGCTGCGTCTTGAGAAACCTTTTGGTCTACTTGCAACTTTGGTGAATTTCCAAGACTCTCCTAATCACGTTTACATCGCGCAACTCTTGCAAAATGCCGATCTGCTGGAGGGCTTGACCGATGCATCAATTCAACCTTTCACAATCTGGTTGGTGGAACAAGCAATGCTGAATGGATCAGAAGATGTATCAATGGGTGCAATTATTGCGCTCGAGAGACTGCTGGACGGTGCAACAAATGACGTTTTGCAGATCTGCATCGATTCGTTGATTTCAGCATTGCGCTCTTTGGGGATGAAGGATGACGGGGTGCCGAGAAAAGAAAGTGGGAACTCGGACATGGACTCGGAAAGCGAACGATCAAAGCGGGTCACACAGAAATTCAGGCTTGAGAAATTGTCGAACTTTATTGCCATCTGTCAAAAGGTGGGAGAGTCCTTGACATCATCGAGCATTGACTGCAAGCCGCTGCTCCTTTGTCTCTTCCGGATCATGGTGGATCCACTATACGATTTCCTGCGAGGAGAGGCTCGAACTGCCGTAAAAGTGCTAATGGGAGCATCTTTCGCGCATTGGCAGGGTATCACATGGGATGTGGAATTCCAGGACGTTTTCTGTTCTTTCTTGCGATCAAAATACCCAAGTACAAAACTTGCTTACCTTCAATGTTTACCGTGTGATTCCTTACGTTCTCGAATCCTTGTGCGCAATGTGGCATTACGACTGATCACGCAAGAAGAGAAAGATTCCCTTCCTCAACCACAGCCATACATCATCCCTGACAATTATGATCTCTTGTTGACCACTTTGCAGCGACAAGACGATTCAATTAATCCTCTTTGGGTGGCAAAAGGTCAAGTCAATGCAAATTTTACCCAATTGGAAGCAAGCATTGCTATTTTGCAATATTGCTTCATTGATCTTCTGTTGCAACTCTGTTTTTTACGGGGAAAAGGGCCAAGGAATCAATCTCAAAAGCGCATTTTTGATCGTATGATCGCGGCAGATTTGGAAAAGTTGATCGCGAGTGATCCAATCCTTTCACCACGTCTTGATGAGGATAAGAAAGCAAAAGCTGATAAAAATATTGCATACAAACTTCTTCTTTCTATCAGTAAACGAAAAGTAATGCAAGTGGAAGAGATTATAAAATTGTTAAACATTTTTAATCACCGTATTTTGGAAAGTACAAATAACGGAAGTAGACAAGCAAATTTAGGTTTAGCAGCTCATATGGCTGCTTCTGAATCACAAATTCGTGCAAAAGATGCATTACAGAGAAATGCTCTTTTGCTTACGTATACCCTAGAACAATTCGTCTCGGAGGAGACCGAAGCGGGAAAGACAGAGCAAGGCACTCTTGACGGTTATTTCACTTCAAAGAGCTGATCGCTCACTTGTATTCATATGTATCATAGTATCACTAATCATCAATGCTCAAATTATCATCACAAAACAATCAATTTCTTTTTTTATGTCATAAAATGCGCAAATGATGCGATTGATTTACGAAATTCACTATTAGAAAACATTGTGAGTAAAATAACAAAGAATAAATGCGACACCCATTAAAGAGGAAAAAAGTAGAAAAAATAACCAAGAGTGTGCGATTTGATTCACAGAAAGAGAAGAGAGAGAAAAGCATAACGAGAAAGAGGAACACAATATGCAAAAGAGTATTAGGAACAAGTACATCATTGAGGCGATTGCAGAGCATTTAAGCATCTAAAAATGTCGAAAAGTCTAAAACGAGATTGCCGAGGTGACAAAAGACGGTGGTGTCACGGACCCTTTCACGTCATTTGCCAAGGAGAAAAGACTGGAAGCACGGTGTCAGGATCCTTTAGCATCCTTGTTTGCATCACTGCCGGCTGCAGGTGGAAGAGCGAAATCTCCATTAGAAACCGAATTAGAAGTATCACGTTTCTTTTTACTGCCTTCACCGCCAACAGGTCCCAAAGCACTATTGCCTGCCCCATTCCCTCCTTGTGCAGCATCAGCAGCTTGCATGGCAGGCGTATAAGCAAAGAATGCACTCGTACTTCCCGTCGAATCGGCCGGTGATGGTCCGCTATAAAATGCAGCATTAAAGCTACTCGCACTTGGCGTACCTCTGCCACCACTTCCGCTACCACCGTTACTACCTTGTGCACCATTACGACCCGGGATAGGCGTTGGTTGTGCGCCTGCTTGTTGCTGTTGTTGATTATCACCTAGCATCGTATAGCCACCTGCCATACTGCCAAACGGATTATTCAACCCATCCATATTACTCAAATCCAGACCGGCAAATGCACCAAAAGTTGGATCGCTTGAATAGCTTGCAAGAGAAGGATTCATTGCATTACTCGTCATTCCCGTCACGTTCTGTTGCCAAGAATTGGTTGAATTGGATTGTGCATTGGATGTGGCAGGGAAAGGCATACTTTGCGGTCCACCAAGATGGGCTGGCATAGCCGTTGTACCGAGATGTTGGGCTGTGGCACTTGTTGAAAAGGCATTGTAAGGAGAAATCGAATAAAGATTATTGGCAGGATTTGCCATTGCAGTCATACCCAATGAGGTGGGGATATTCATATTTCCCAGATTGTTAAAAAGCGCTTGCTGATCATTATTGCCGAAAGCACCATTCAGACTTCCATCCATCATGCCGAAATTCTGAGAGGATGAAGAGTCATTTGAACTCTGCATTTGGCTATCATCATTCAGACTGTCCAATCCGGCTGCAGACATATTTAAGCTATCAAACGTATTCGAGCTTTGACCGCCAAAATTGATTGGACTCATTCCCAAAGAGGCTGGAAGTCCAGAGCTCGGCGATTGTCTTCTACTACTGTTGTCACCTTGACTACCCACACTTGGCGGGCTATTAGAATGAACTTCTGATTGCTGAACTTGACTAAAGTTCAGATTGTTCTGATTTGCTCGATTCGCATGATGACTGGAAGGACCACGACTGCTGACCGGACTTCCTCTGCGACTTGGAGCTCTACTGTTTGCTCTGCTTGTAGCGTTACTCTTTGTCAATGATTCGAATCCTACCCTTCCTTGTGATGTACTTCTGCTATGGGTGCCATTCTTCACTACGCTCGCTACTCTGCCTTCTTTCCATGCGTCTTGGGCTTCTTGACTTAATGTCCACCAACTTCCTTTACCATGAGCAGAAGATGGCCTTGGTACTTTGATGAACAGGTTACCTTTGATGGATAGCGTTGACTTGATTCGATTCTTAACGCGCGCTTCCCAGTCTTTTCCAAATGCCCATTCACGAATTTCTGGGAATTTGGTACACATTTGATCAAACAGATCCTGAATAACCAATCGTCCATATTCACTTTCTGCAATCGTTTGACAAATCATTTCACTCCAATTTAGTCGTTTACCCGTGATTGCACTTGCGGCAACTCTTGAATTACCTCCTGGTGTGTTCGTTCCCGTCATCGTGCCACTTGGATATCCCGTTCCACCTGGTAAACGTTTATGTTGCATACCTGGTGAAGATGCGGCAGAATTTGGAACGGATTGAGAAGAATAATCTGCCAAAGCTGCCGATAAGGCGTGAGGATTGAGATGAGCAGGAACACCGGTAGAATGTGAAAATAAGCTTGCAAAGTTGGCCGCATTGATAGCATGATTGTTTGCTTGCGGTTGAAATAGGTTGTTCAATGCTTGTGAATTGGATAGATTACCACCATTTTGATTCTGTTGAGCATATTGTGCCAATTGAGCATTTGCATATGCTAAAGCAGGATTTGCTTGACTTGCACTTGAAGCATTCAAAGCGGCTGCCATTGCCATAGAAGTTGGAACATGACTTGAAGAAGCCTTATTTCCTTGTTGACCAGCAAATGCGTTTGATCCGCCACCACCTGGTGCTGGACTATTTGTGCCTGATAAGAAGGGCGACATTGTCGCTTGCAACGGTTCGCCAAAGTTCATGGTGAACGAAAAGAGATGATTGAGCAGAGATGCAACGGATGATTATCTTTTCGTGCCAGACTAGCGATCCTCTGCTGAGTCGATTTTATATAGATGTGATATGAACGAATGATGTATTATTGTGGACCGCTTCGGAGCTTGAAGGGATTGGTAATCGGATGTTAAATAAACTCGGTAACGATCATGGAAACCTTCCCCACACTACAACTGTTATGTCTTGGTTGGATATGATGACACGCAACAAAGTCTTAACGTTGATCGATGCCAAGTCAAAGCCCCTTCTTTTGCGCTGATTTGGGAACGTGAATCCCCAGTAGATTGGAACGCAAAAAACGGATGGATGGCAAATGGACCAAATGTGATGAGATTAAAGTTCGGAGTTGAATAACAGGCGGTGTTTACGCGTTTTATGAGTTGTGACTTTATCGATCGCCCCGAAATGATGGATTGAGTTTGATGAAGGGTATATTTGCGGTAGAATTGAATGATCGTTGTTAATGAAGTAAATGATCGTCGTCCGTCCAGCTAAGACAACAAGCGTGGGGTGGAGACGGGGCTCTAGATTGAATGGATGCGCTTAAATTGAGTTATTGTGCGTGCGTGCGTGCGTGCGCGTATGTCCGAGTAAGGTCACATCTGTATGTGCGCAGCGCATTAATACACAGACTTTTGTCTCACTCACTCAGTCAGTCGACGACTACCTTTGCATATCATATCATATGCCTCCCTTTAGCTTTGCTGTACGCAAGAGTATAGCTTTGCTTTGCGCATATTAGCAGCTTACTTAACATCAACAAGTGTAGCTTGTTGCCCGCGGCGAAATACGTCCGTGTATGTGTCTTCTTCTTCTTCAAGAGGGGAAATAGGGTACACAGAGCTAGAACCTCTTATCCCCACTCGAAGCACCGCACTTATGTATTTAGTGTGTGAGGTGATATTATGCGCATTTTCCCATCGCTTAGGGTGCTCGCGTTGCCGAAAGCAGCTAAAGTAGTAGAGCAGAACAAAAGTCTAGGCTGTTGACGCTGTCTTTCTGCATCGCATTTCATTGTTTTCTGGCCTCTTGCGTTGTAGTCTGGCAAGCTTGGCTTCATTTCTCCGAAGCACACGATCTTCTTCATGGTCAGCCGATGTGGTCGAGAAGATTGCAGGGAAACTTAGGCCAGCGATGAGGATCATATGAACTTGATGCAATTTGATTAACTGAAAGTTGTTACCTAGCTTTTTAATAAAGTACGAATGAAACAATGAGAAAACCAATTACGACTGACTGTTATATCATAAAAAGCAGCTGTCATAGCATATACTGATAGCCTCAATAAACTTCCTGATCGCTTTGACACTCTGGAAATTGAATAATTGATGTCTATCTTTCTCTGAACTCTTCTTAAAGTTTCCCGAATGCCATGGGAAAATGAACACCTATAATATGATCTTAAAATATGTCAAAATTCTCATTATTTCGAATCCACTTTTAATATTATGTGTTCCAATCATTTTTGCTTTGGGTGATTAAAAAGGAAGAGAAAATGTACTTTTGCTATAAAACTCAGTCTCTCAAGCACCTAGGCTGAAAAATGCTGGAAAAGGTGCAACACAATCATTAGACCGTTCGAATAAATGCTGCTAAAAATGATTGTGGGAACACTTTGAACGCTGTCTTACGATTCTGAAATCAGATTTTTCCTTTGTTTTGGTAATCGGCCCAATTTCGATGGATATATTACACTGACCGTGAGAGTCGTTGTCACTGCTACTTTCAGAAAACTCTTTAAACATTCTGTCCTGTTTACATCCGCTTCGCCGTTTTGGAAAGATTGACAAGCGATGAGCGATGAAATTGATCAAAGTTTAACCATGATCGTATCTTCAACTATTTAAATCAACGCCAACCATCCCTTTAACATTGTACTAGATTCTGTCCGAACCTACCTAAACATTACTCGAATGCTATCCCAGTACTGCACATCAACTGATTTAAGCTCATCAAACAAAAAAGCACACTCCTGACAATAACGTACAAAGCTGAATTTTGATTTCATAAACAACCATATCAATGCGATGATATAGCTTGACATGATGAGAATGATGTGTATGTGAGATGTATATGTGAATATGCGTATACAGTGTGTGTGTGCTACTACAAGTGGCATGATGATGAGAATGGCAGGAAAGGAATACGATCTGACAAAGTGTCAAACCATAAATGAAGACTGTGACCAATGAGTCAGAGACGGATTGAAGAGCAATATCCACCTTACCACCAGGCCATCAATCATGATCATCGTGTTGAAGGAGAACAATCTATTCTTCTTCTTCCTCTTCTTCACCTCCGTCACCACCTTCCTTGGAGGCGGCCAATCTTTCACGCTTTCTCTTAACACGTCCTGCTCTTGCTCCACCGAATGGACTTGTCAAAGCGAAGTCGATGTGCTTTTGAGAATCAAGACGGACAACGAAAGATGGGACATTGACAATTTGCTTACCGACACGGATGTGACGTTGACGGATCAAGACACGGGCATGATGGATTGATTTTGCCAATCCTAGTTTGTACACCTGTGTCTGAAGACGTCTCTCGAGGAAATCCTCCAATTTAAGAGCCAATACGTAATCGAGACGCATACGTGTTTCATCCAACACACCGATACGGACCAAACGACGAATGATGGCGTTACCCTCGAACAATCTCTTGGGGTCCTTTTCGTCCAATTTCAATAACTCACGGGCAGCACGTCTAATCTTCGATAAGATCAAAGCGATACGCCAGATCTCACGCTTGTTACGGAGACCAAATTCACCAGCAAGCTTCAATTCGGAGTCCAAACGAGCGGCCTCGAAAGGACGACGGGGAACCTTGTAGGTCTTTGAGTGGTTACGTGGGGCGCGTGGCATCTTGACCTGAAGAGGAGAGGAAAAAGGGTCAGATTAGAAGTCCTTGTTGGAGATGTGCAGAGAAAGCGATTGCAAGATCGAAAGAGTCGTTGAATTCAGCGGCGAGGATGGAAATGGACGGGACTGAAGTCGGGGAACAGTCTGTCGAATCGTAGATGCGCAATGAAAGGAGGCTCGTATCCTCAGATCGTAATCAACTTCCAACGAATTTTTGTCGTGCACAGATGAAGGAAAGATGTATCCTCAAACCGTATTCAACTTCCAGTGAGAATTTTCGTAATGCGCAACTTCCAGCTTCGATCCATTCTGACGATCATCGATATCTCCTTCGACTCTGCAATCGCTTTCCCAAGTACGATCAACTTACCTTCCTACGTATATGTTGACGATGGCGTGATGACAAGAAGGAAAGAATCTCAAATGCAAAATTCACAGCGAATAGACCAGAGCTTTTGCTTGCCTAATTGTGTGCACGCTACGTACGCTTCTTGTCCTGGCTGTCTAGCCCAGCTTCCCTTTACCTGAACTTAAGAAATCATGCTTGCTGCTGCTGCTGCCACAGTCGCCTTCAGATTAGCACGGCATTGGGTTGCACATTAGCACTTCCATCGCAGCTTCAGCTAATTTGCCAATTCACGCTGTTGATAGGCCCAGTTGCTGCTGCGCGCAGCGGCAGAAAATTGTTTTTTGTTCATACACGTGATAATAGTTGCACGTGTCTGAGAAAATCACTTGCACTGGGCCTGCGTTAGGCTAGCCCGCAGGGCAACGGCCTTGAGGGAGAAGTTTGGAACATAAGCTTTAGCAAGTCACCCTCTGCGCGCAGCGAGAATCAAGAATACTCGAATTTGCCAGGAAAGACTTGCTACTACTTTGTACGATCGCAGATCACTTCTTCTCTTCTCTCCAGTGCGTCTTTTACACAACTCACCAATCGACATTTCATCAAGGTATGTATGACGTTCGACACAATTGAGAGGAAGGGAGTAGGGATATGGATGATGAGACTACGATGCTGTGATTTGTGGTGGGATGAAATGATGTCGACTCGAAACATGCAGAAAGAAAGTGTATCAAGAACATCGGGAGATTGATCGCAAGGCAGAAGATGGTACTGAAGGCAAAGGCGAAGGACCGACTGTGTTTTATCTTGTTCGACTCGACTGCCATACATGAGATCCCATCGATCTCAGCCCGCTTTATGCTACATTGGAGTATACCTTCGATAATCAAACTCTTGCATGCTTCCGACCGACTTTCAATTCACGACCACATCATATTATCATCATCCTGCTTCCCCCTCTCCGCGACACAGAAAACTTGTTTGACTCACACCTTGCCTCCTTCTCGACACTTTAGATGCCTCACTCATTCGGTTACCGCGCACGTACTCGTCACCTTTTCTCTCAAGACTTCCGCAAACATGGACCAGTCAGATTGAGCACCTTCTTGCGTTCTTTCCACGTTGGAGACATTGTTGATATCAAGGCAAACGCCTCCCAACAAAAGGGTATGCCCCACAAGTACTACCACGGAAGAACTGGTGTCGTTTTCGGTGTCCAACCCCGTGCTGTTCAAGTTTTGATCTACAAGACTGTGGGAAACCGTAAGATTGAGAAGCGTGTCAACTTGCGTATCGAGCACGTCAAGCACTCCAAGTGCCGTGATGACTTCTTGAACAGAGTTAAGCTCAACGCTGCCAAGAAGGCTGAAGCCAAGGAAAAGGGAGTCAAAGCCGTTGTTAAGCGTCAACCTCTTGCTCCTCGTGAAGCCCGTACCATCACAACAAACAAGAACAAACCAGAGACTCTTGTTGCGGTCCCCTATGATACCTTTATCTGATTCTGTGGTCGCGATCGACTTGGTCATTTCTGGGAGTTTCGATTCATTCCAGAATGGTGTCATAATGTTTTCCTATGTCTCACTCCCTATCAAAGTAGGGTTGTACACTGTATGATGGGAGAGGGTATTCCTTCTTCCACTCTAATTCATTCAATTGCATCGACAACAGCTGTCGTTGTTTTTCATGTCATTTCTTAAGCAAAATGCATACTCATGGCAACAACTCATCTTCCTTCTCTGTGTGATCTGAGCCTGGAAGACTTCTTAAATGAACCCTGAATATTTGCAGTGAGTAAATAATTTGTATGAACAGAACGCTATATTCGCAAAACGAAGAGATAGAGAATGCCATGGTGATAAGCTCGAGATTTTCAACCTGATTAACAGATCTTGATGTGCTTCTTACCGTGATGTTGTTGTTTGGGATGGTGTAGTGCGTACGGCACAATAGCGGCGCGTTCGCCTAATGATTAATTAGTGCAAGCGTGAGTGGTAAGCTGCATAGCACATCTTTCACATCCTATACTCACACGACAATGTAGTCGCGATCGTATTGATTGATTGGAACGACACGACGATGAGTCTCACAGTAGGCAATGCTAGGATAGGGATCTCAAGAATACCCGAATATGCAACTTTACTCTATCGAAAAGCACCGACTAGCGTTGTAACGATTGGTTCGATTGTGATCAGTTATTTGTTTCGATTAGCATATAACGATTATCAATTATTCAAAGCGTTAGGAAAAGGAGGATTGGGGAAACCATCAATTTTGACATGGCTGATTCATACGATCGCATTACGACCACTTGCGTTGCCAAAGCGGGCTGCGTTTGATGTGAACACTTTCCCACTTGATGATCCTGAATGGAAAGGTATGCTGGCCGGCTTGCCAAAGAGGAAGGGAGAAAGACCATTTGTGTTTGGTATGATACCCCACAGACAATTGGAAGCCATTGCACCACAAGGAGGTGATATTCAAAAAGCGATTATCGATCATCTCTCTCAAATTGCTAAACAGAATCCTGATTCGATCACTTTGGCTTTGTCAACGTATGAAGCAACGGATTCGCCTTGTTTGTTTGTCAAACATGGCAATGGATCTCCGGCTAAACCAAGCACGATGGCAAAGTTCTACCTGGCAGGAACTCCAGCACCACATCTTGCTCTTGAAGGAGACGAACGCAACAGAGTCTTACCACGCGATCCGACTAAACATGAATTGGCACACATTCATCTTTCAGAGGGTAGCATGCATTTGACTCTATCACCACAAGATGCACGTAAAGTGGTCAAAGAAGGATATGGAGAGAGACACAGACTTGCTGGAATGGCGTACAGAGGCAACTATATTCCACCGTATTGGTTACCAAATTGGATGTACAATCTTGTTGGAGGTGAAGCGAATGTCAGATGGTCCTATCAACAAGTTATGCTCAATAAGATCAAGAGCAACAAAATTCAGCAAGCTGGGAAGTTGGTTCCGCCAACATATACCTGCATATATGCTCCGACAAATGAGGAAGAATTGCAATGGACATTAAATATCATTGATAGTAGTGTAGCATGGTCTCTAGGTAGAGATGTGATGTAAATGAAATGTATCATGTGATCGATCTTGACTGAATGTATGCATGCATGATTGCAAAAGATGATGTTAAGTGGCCGTCAAAGCCTCCACACGTGTGTATGTGAAATTGTCTCGTTTGCTTTGCTTGTCTTGCGCCATTTTAGCATAAAGAACTATCAGGCCGGAACGGGTCGCGTTTTGCTCAATGAGAATTGCTGTCATAGGCTGGGCGTTGCTGCACTATAATGAAAGGGCGTGGGTGCCTTGTGCCTCAAAATAAAAGGAAGCTGACTGAAGTTCACTTACAATGCCTAGCGTTAGAACGGTTTCTTCCCAAACGCACGTCCTCCTCTTTCCCAGGAAGGATTCTTCTCATTCATCTCTATCACCACCTAAACAAACAAACAAACCCATATATCATGATCAACCAATCAATCGTTCGTGGCATTTCAGCCGCAAGCCGAACATCCGGAATGACAATGCGTCGTCAAGCGGTAATGTCGGTTAACCGTCAATTAGGCGCAAAAAGAATGGCAAGTTCGACAAACCCAATCAAAAAAGTTCAATCTGACGCTCCATGGGCAATCACTTCTTTGCTTGTGTTTGGTGGTTTGTTTGTTTATCTAACCGCACCTACCTCGGGCGACAAACACGGTCATGGTCATGATGATAAAGGACACGGTAAAGAAGTTGAAACTGAAGAAGAACCTGCTGAAGAAGAACCTGCTGAAGAAGAAGAAAGTGAAGATGCATCTTCTTCCGGTGATGAATATGTTGACGTAAAGAAGATCGAGGACAAACCAGGAGATGATGCACCAAAGGGTTCAAAAGCACTAGCTGAAAGAAGTTTATCAGCAGATGAAGGCGCTCATCTACAAAAGAAAACAAAAGAAGCATCAGACATTCAGAGAAGAGATGATACAACTTTCAAACATGGTGTTGCAGCAGCAAAAGAAGGACATGCCGACCCGGAAAAGAGAGAGTCTAATCCAAAGAAGGTCGTAGCAGCAGCTCATACTGCCCGTCAAGAAAAAGATGCAGCCAAAAAGGAAGCTTCTGAATCTGATGATTCCGAGTAATTTCAATCGATTACAAACCTACACCACAAACATACAAACACATATAAATGACAATACAACTTTGAGCCAGATTGAGTGCTGAGACTAAGGGATAGGAGGGGTATCTTTTGCTTGATTTGCCCAGTCCGGTAAGCATTGCGAAAGTTGAGCACGAAAGGCGGGCAGTAAAGAACGAATGTTTGGAATGGTGGGAGGTGGAATATGAATGCCGTCTATTTGGTAAGAGCGTGTGATTTGAAGACCTTTAATCTTTTCTGCATATTGTTGCATCAATACATCTTCTGGGGTATAAAATCCCCATGGTACTTGTGCTGTATCTGTGCCACGAATACCTTCTGCTGCGATTTGACCTTTATCCGGCTTTAGGCCAGCTTGTTCTAGTAATTCAGTCATTAGACCGTCCAAGTTTTCAAGTCGCTGCTTTGTTTGACTGGAAGGTTGAACGCGGGTATCATCGGTTTGCAAGCCTTTAAGTAGACCACCTTTGGAATATTGACACAAAGTCACATTTGTTACTGCATCATCATGAATGAGAGCGTATTCCTTGCGCATGGCAACTTCCGTTTTAATTTTGTCTATTTTGATATAATCCTCTAATGATTTCAATTCGTCCAATACCATCTCAATGTTGACACCATCTTGTTTACCTGCTTCTTCTAACATTTCGTCCAAGTTCACTTCCACCTTTGGGGCCTTCTGATTGCTTGGGTTCCAAGGATCTGTTGTCGAAAGGGCCATGAAATCCAAAGCGGATTGACACCAATCAAAAACGGGTTTGACGGCATCCCGAATTTCATGAACAAAGAGGTACAAATAACCTTCATGTCTGGCACACAAGGCGATATAATCTTCCAAAGTGTCCTTCATTTGCGTTTTGACTTTGATCAAATCATCGATAAAATTTTGAAAATCCTGTAAGCGAGCGCTCAAATTTGCAGCTAAAGCGATATCGTAAAAAAGTTTGTAAAATACAATCTCTAAAGATTCTCGTAACAATCTCGGAAGTAAAGGACCAGTTCCTATCGCTTCAACCTTTTCACGATCACGTTTACGAAGAAGTTCTCTTAGGTATAACTTCAAATGAGCAAACTTGATGGCTGATTTGGGAGCAGATTGTACTCGCCTTTGCACATCCACTTTAAGAGGATCGAGGTATTTTGCTTCTCTGCATGAATCTGGGTATGCCCAATCGACATTTGTGAAAAGGGCAGATTGGACGTAATCGGATTGTGCACTTGTAATTTCGTCCATCTTGCCATACCCATATTCTCGTAAGACGACTACGAGGAAATCGCAATTCTCCTTTTTGGCCCGTAGGAGTAGCTCACTTCTTTTCTGTGTGGTTCTTTTGGAAACGTACTCCTCCAAAGCCTTACAAGCGTCTGCATCGTTAATGACCTTGCGCAATGGAGTCAAAAGCTTTTTGTTGATTTTGCTTATCTCAGCCGACATGATGGTAAAGAAGATTCGTTGACCCAAAGAATCCACTGCACCAAGCGGTCTTGCAAGAATGAAATCAATGATTGCCTTAATCATCTTTTGAGCATTTGCAATTTTAAGCAACTGTTTCGCACCCCAATAAGGAAACAAAAAATGCAAAGTTTTGATTATACCAAATATTTCATCACCACCAGGATATTTGCACAAGATTGTCCAAACGACAAAAGCAACATGTCTACGTACCCATTCTGCTGCATTTCTATATTGATCAGGTAGATTTTTCATAAACTTGGTTTGAAGTTGTAAGATTGTTTCATCCAAGCCGGTTTCGGATTCGATTATACTCTCTTTCCATGCTGACCAATCATATTTTATTCGTTGTGTATTGGCGGAACCCGCTTGCCAAAGTGATGCTCCATCAATGTCATCCGTTTGAGGGAACAAATTATTGATCCTATCCTTATCTTCTTTTGTCGGTCTTATAGGACACTCCAACCCTCTCTTTACGGTCCCTCTACCCCACTGCTTGCCTGCACCCCAAGCCTCTGATCCTGGCATTCCCTTCCCTGGACCTCGTTCTTCACCCGTTCCACGAAGTCCAACGCCTCTGGCAAAGAATGTTGAAAAGTAACGGGTAGCTGTAACATTGAGTACTTTTCTATTTGTCAATTCTGCCCTTTCAGCCGAATTACTCAAATGCGAATCGGCTAAACGATCAAAGAAAGGTACGATATTCTTTTGCCAATAATCCTTCTTTGCACGATCCAGCCCAGGAAACCTTCTTAGATGAACGTGAAAGAGATGAAGTAAGATTACTGGTGCGCATGCATGTTCTTTGTATAGATCTTTTTGTTCTCCAACTTTTGCGGGCGCTTTTTGTCCTGACAAGAATGGCGCTCCATATTGTTGTAAACCGCCCTTTTCATCCAATAAGGACCATTCGTCATGCATTTCAGCACATACCAACAATTTCAACAGATAGTGACGTTGAGTTTTCGTTAGTGCAACAGTCGTACCATTGACAATGGATGCATCTCCATTTTCTTTTGCCATCTTTGTCAAGTATTGACTTGATGGTGGGAGAGAAAGAGTGCAATCCCTATTTGTGTGAGTGTCTCCTATATGTTTCACACCTTTACCCCGCATTCACAATTTGTTCCACTCATTGGTAAGCGTGGGGGGTCAGCCATAAACGCGCCAATGCATACATTCGACTTCCTTCATTTCTTCCTTTTTAACCACCTTCACAACAAAATGCAAGGCAGTGCTCCTATCGCAGAAGCACAAAAGCCAAAAGGCAAATCATCAACAGAGAAATTCGCAGAAGCAGAACGATTGCATGGTCACCTCATCAATTCACTTAGCGAAACTGAAAAGGCTGGACTAGGATTACCATACGTTGCCAATGAGCCAGCCCTTGTTCGTGCAAGATTAAGGGCAAGAAGGCTTCTACACGAGTTCAATCATTCACTGCCATCCTCAATAGACCCACCCGACTTACAACCTGGCGAAAAACCAAAAGGGATCGGAGGTGGACAAAATGCAACAGATGTACCGCCAGATGTGATGGGACAAGAACGTAGAAAAATCATGGCAAAGCTACTGAACAAACCTTTGGAAGAAATGCAAGCAGTAGAGATTGAACCACCATTTTGGTGTGATTATGGAACAAATATTAAACTTGAAGGCGCATTTTATTGTAATTGGAATACATCAATGGTCGATTGTGCAGAGATTTGGATTGGGAACGGAACTTTGTTTGGACCAAATGTACACATTTATGCAGGAACACATAGTGTCTCAGTTACGGAGCGGGAACAAGGTATCGAACATGCATTACCGGTCAAGATTGGGAGAGATTGTTGGTTGGGAGGGAATGTGACTGTAATGGCAGGTGTAACGATTGGAGATGGTTGTACGATTGGTGCAAATTCTACAGTCACAAGGGATATACCGTCCTATTCTGTTGCAGCTGGAACGCCTGCAAGGGTACTAAAGACGTTACAACCTGAAGAAAGAGGTGTTGAATGGCTTCAAGCACAGAAAGGCTCTGAATGAAGATCATAGGCGAAAGAACAATTCCGTCAATTCGAAATCGATTCTGACACTGGCTCTGATTACTCTCTCAGATGAATAGTTTTACTGTTCTACTCCCTGTATATCCTTTGCTCTGATAAGCTTGAGGCGACCATATCTTCTTTATAAATAAAGATTCTTGTTCGCCATAACTTTCTTCTCTAGTTCGACTTTATGTTGTATCGGCATAATCCAAACGCTAAATGAGGCACACTGCTCTTATGCTGTTCAAAACGCGTACTTGAGAAGAAAAACGCGATCACAGAGACCAACACTTTTTGCATTTCTGCCACCAATCCTCAAATCATGGGAACAATTTCTCGTCTTCCTGACGAAATCATTTGTTTAATCCTTGCACAATTTGATTCTATTCAAGTGGCCAAATTGGAACATGTTTGTAAGCAATGGAAAAATGTTGCCAGATCACATAAATCGCTTTGGAAGGACGCCTTATTCTTAGAGGGCAATCGTGATTTATCCACCAAATTTGTCAATCGACGCTTGCTGGCATTAACGAAACGTAGTGGTGGTACACTTGATCATCTTGGGGCTAGCTTAGATCTGACCGATGTCAGGATCGATGCTATCAAGAAGTTCAACGATCGTTTACTAACAGCAAATGTGCAAAATTTATGGCTTCACATGGAACCCAACGAAAATCCTTACGAATCATGGGAAGACCATATTCACATGGGAAATTATAACAAACTTGTGACAAAGACACTCAATACTATTGCACAATGCACAAACTTAAAGTCTTTACATGTACAACTTTTTGGTTCAACAATGTTCGAGCACGATGCAGAGAGATTTCCACGAAAATTAGCAAGCAAACCAATAGCCCAATGCAAGCTCGAAAGGATCACTTTGAACGGGTTCAGAAACGATACACTCTTTGAAGATGATGCTTTATTCCATATGCTCGAGAAAGCTCGTGTGATTGAGATCACACTGAAAGATGATCCTGTGCCAGAAAAGCACGCTTTACGATTATTAGAAGGTGCAAAAGATACGCTAGAAGAATGTCAATTCGATATTCTCGAAGATAAGACATTGACGAGGAGCTCATCAAAAATCTTGACACTCCCGCACTTATTCAGACTGTATTTGTGCAGCAAGCGTGAGCCAGGACGACGTATGCCGCAGCGCTCGATAGCAGAGTCGGAAAGTCAAACAGAGGATGTCTCTCACGTATTCTCCGGAACATCTTTGGATTGTCCACGATTGAAGGAAGTATACTTGGAAGGACAAATCTCGTCATCTTTACGTCAAGATTTACTGAAAGATAGCTTGGAAACGTTGCATATTGATATGATGCACAATCCTTTATTATCGAAAGCATCTTTATTGAAAAATTGCACAAGATTGAAAAAGTTGGTTTTGGAGTACATTCCTTACTATTGTCAAGCATATTTGGAAGATCTTAGAAATGATCTATCATTCATTCCTTTAGAAGAATTAATCCTCGTAAGGGCTGAATTCGGCAAAGGTGATGAGCTAGTCGAACTTATCAAAGCGCGCAGAGAAGATCCAAAATTGACCACAATTCAACGTTTGTATCTCGTCGCTTGCTCTACACTTGAGCCAGAGCATCACGCTTGGTTGAGCAAAAACGTTGAGGACTTTCAACAAGTGGGCCGCTCAATCCTGAGCGGCGACAAAAAGAGTGATCCTAATCAACCGATACACTTCTATGACAAGTTTAAATCGATTTTACACAGGCGAAACTACATCGAATCCCCTATGATCGTTCCACAAACGTGATAATGATGTAACTATACCAATTGAATGTTGTATGAACGTGCACATATATGCGGTACCGAACTCACCCTCGAAAGGAGAATCGTTGTTACTGCTTAGGCGCCCGCTCTAACGCCGGGGCCTCCGCCAAAAAGCACAATACTTTGCCTGCTGAGTTATATGGTCAAAATCAATAATTTCGTTTCTTGTGTCAAACCACCAATCAGCCCCATCCGAGATTAGAAACAGGAAAGATGTCGCAATCCGCACCAGTGCAAAAGTTGCCTAACGAGGTGGTGCATATGATCTTATCGTATTTCAATCCTGTTCAATTGACGAAATTGGAATTGGTTTGTCAACAATGGCATGAAGTATCACGATCTCGTGAAACACTTTGGCGAGATGCTCTTTGTGATACTCGTCTTATTGAACTTTCGAAACAACGTGATCCGTTTTTGCATGCTTTGCTAGAAAGAGGCGGTCGAAAATTAACCGATTTGGCAATCGAGATCGATATCAGTAAATGCGATCTCAACTGCGTACGCAGGCTTTGCAAGATCTTGGAAGCCAGTGATGTTCGAAATCTTTGGTTGGAAATCATGCCGGGTGTTTCTGCAAGTCATTCGCAGAGACGATATGATGCATTGATAGATAGATACCTCAAAGCGTTAGGGGAGCTTTTCGTTAGCATAGGAAATTGTTCATATTTGCAATCCTTGCATATCGAAACCTATGGAGTTTTTGGAGAGCGTCTTCCTTCTGCAATGATGACTCAGCCGATCGCAAATTGCAAGCTGGAAAGGTTAAGCTTAAAGTGCTTAGGCTGTACTGCCTTGTTCGAAAATGGATTGCTCTTCAAAATGTTGTCAAAGGCCCGGGTGATTCAATTAGAGTACGAAGGAGGGGCCATTTCGGAAGAGAACGCAGTCAAACTATTAGACATGACTAAAGAAACACTAGAAGATTGTCATTTGGACATCATTGAGCAGATTGAACCATCTAAAGTGCTCGAAAATAAGACGATTGTCTTTCCCAAGCTCCTTAGGCTTTTTATATCCATAGTGGAAAAGCGACAGGATGACGTCGAAGAAGGAGCTCAACCAGTTTCAGTAGCAAACACTTTTCGAAAAATTCAGCTACAATGCCCAAAATTACGCTTAGTCTATTTTGAAGGAAAGATTCCGCATAATCTTTACGAGAATCTTTTGACTGAAGATATTGAGGCAATCTACTTTACCGCTTTGGACCCTCAATACCTTCCCGATACTAGCCTCCTTCGAAAATGCACAACGTTGGAAAGGATCATCGTGCAAAATGTTGAAAGCATGCCATATATTTTCATTCACCATGTGCTCACGATGACCTCACAAGCAAATATCAAGGAATTCATAGTGGATGATGACGAAAGGTATCATGCAAATCACATTGTTCAGATGATCAAGCGACGGCAAGAAGATCCGAATGCAAAAGATATAGAATTAACATTTCTACAAGGAAAGCCTACTTTGAGCAGACAAAGCTTGAACTGGTTAATAGGAAATAATGTTGGCTTCTTTCATGCTCATCCATATCTCTGGGAAAAGGTGATGAAATGCTCATTCGAAGAAATCAAGGATTATATAGACTTTGTTCTATATTATTCGAGGAGTACACCACTTCTCGACAGGCGAGACTACACAGGTGTACCAATCTGCGGTCTGTACTAATCTCTGTAGCTACAGTACAGTGATTTGAGAAGGCAAAGTAGATATTTTGAGTGGTATTCTACATTCCGATGGTTCTGCCATATGAACGAATCTTGAGGTCTCCTTCGGAATATGTAGAATCTTCTTCATCATTAGCGAATGATTTGACTACTTCGCAATATTGCAAAAGATCTTTCAGCGTGTCTTGAGAAAGAATTATATCCCGGTGAAGCAAAAATATTTTCATCTTTGCCAACCCTGCTTCTTTGGATCGTTTCTCAAAAAAGTTAAGAATCACCTTTTCATCTTCCAGATTTGATTGAACCATACTGTGAAAGACGAATTCTTTGATGGGAAGCACGACCAGCTCGTCCAAGATTTCCTCTAAGAGCTCTGAAGGGAATCTACCTTGATATGGATGAGCAATTGCAAGTCGAAGTGTCGATAAATTTGAGCAATTTCGTAAAATATTTCTTGTCGATTTGCAAAGGTGTTCGTCAAGTTCCAAATGTAGTGTATTGATTGTACTGGTGAGAAGATCATTACATAAAGGAGGCGATAGGCTTCCACTCAGATTGAGGTGACGTAATTCTGGGCATGTGAGAGAGTATTGCATCGAGCCGGTAGTAGACGATGAACCGTGATAATTGAATACACGCAATCGTCGCAGCCGTGGTAAGTTGATAGAGCGAAAGTCAATGTCATAGCTTGTTGTTCCTGTGAGTTTTACTGAACAATTTTCGAGTGTATCTTTTGCTGAATCGATCAATCGTACTATTTCTGCATCTGTGCCGATATCGGAACCAGAAAGGTTAATCTGTCGGGCCTGCGAGACAAGATCAAATATACTGTCATCCCTGTAAAGCGAGCTGAGAGATACATTGTGAAGCGAGAGAGATTCTAGCCTACACCCTGCGAATGGATGAGCTTTGACATCCGTTCCAAACGTAAATTCAAGTTCTGAATCCAGCCATAACTCCAACGATATCAAATCTGAACATTGCATAATTACATTGGCTAATAATTCGAATTCCCGCTGAAACAAGGTGTTCGAGCTATAGCTACCGTAATTGTCTTCGTCTGTGACTTGAATGTATAATGATCGGGCTTTCGATTTCGGGATACGATGAAGGAGATCTTGGTATACTTCCAAGCTTGAAACTGTCACCAATACTTTCCAGCTCTGCATTTCACCTCCGCTTCGTTGTAGCATTGAACCGGTAATTTTCTCTACACTTAGAACATTACGTGTTGACCGACAATCAAGCTCGATCCCTCTGTTCCATATTCTTGGGTAAGAGTCTAACACATTCTTCCATAATTTGCAAACGGATTTTATTTGGAGTAATTGCTTATAATGGAGTTCCGAGAAAATTAGTGGGAGTATCTCTTTGGGTAAACGGTCAAAGTGATTCATTTTTCCGTAGTCGTTGATGATGGCGTAAAGATAAAGTCTTGAAATCGAATTAGGAATGTGTGTGTCGATATTCTTGATCTAGAAATCAATTTGCGGTACCGGAAGGCGGTAAAATCTTGCCTCATGTCTTTATTTCTGATTTTTTCGTACTTCATATTGCTCAAATTGGGCGGTCAGCACGGTATAAAGGCGGTATGAAAGGTCTCAATCAATCATGCGTAGCGCCTGATCAACCGTTGTGCAAACAATAACGCTTAGGCCGCAACAAAGCGCGATCAACAGGTATAGACAAAGGGAACTTAGGCTTGTGCTCAAAGATGGGCTTGATTGCTTTCATTGTCACCCTTATGCAATTTGGCGAACCGTGCCCAATGTGTTCTATTACTGGCTCATTGCGTTTCTTTAATTCATATAGCGCCGCAACCGCAAACCAATGAAAGAAGAACGTGCTCTGGCACTTTACTCTGCTTCCTTTACAACCATCACACTTTTTCTCAAAAATGTCAAAAGATGTCACACCAATTTTTCGCTTGGAGGAATGGGAGTATCGACGGATCTTTTCCTACCTTGAACCTGCTCAATTAGCCAAAGCGGAAATGGTTTGTAAGGACTGGCTAAAGATATTACGTCCAAATTGGAACGTACCGGCACTTCGATTACCGCTCGAGCTGTATGGCCAAATCTTTTCATACTTTGATCCTACTGAATTGACCAAAGTGGAAAGTGTATGTAAGAAATGGTACAACGTATCTCGATCAATGCCGAAACTATGGGAAGATGGTCTTTTCGAATCAGATAAGCCAGCTATTTTGACAAAGAAGGGCAACAAAAAGGTGGCCTGCTTGGTGAAACGAAGTGGCGGTAAATTGACTGATTTAGCCATTCAAATCAATCTGACTTATTGCGATCTTAATTCAATTCGCAAATTCTGCATTTTATTGGAACGTTCAGGCGTTCAGAACTTGTGGATCGAATTTGTTCCTAAAGACTACGAGGGCGACAACTTAGAAATACTTCGGGCAGAAACAGAAAGATATCTGAGAGCCATTGGATTCGTATTGAAAAGCGTCTGTAAATGCTCAAAGTTGCGATCTTTACATATTGAAGCAGCTGGAATTGGCTCTCTTTTAGAAAGCTTCCCGAGCAATATGAAAGATCAGCCGATCGTATCATGTAAGCTCGAACGGCTCACTCTCATAGGCCTAGACACAGAAAATCTTTTTCAGGACAACCTTATCGTGTCGATGATTGATGGAGCAAAAGTGATTGAGATTCAAAACAAACATAGACCGATTTCAGCAAAGAGTGCTCTTCGAATCTTTGAATTAACAAGGGATACATTACAAGAATGTCATCTAGATGTTGAGGAATCAGAGAACAAATCATGGTTAGGATCAAATCACAAGCTTATCACTTTATCACAATTAAGTAGGCTTCATTTGTCTAATTTCATTTTACCAAGGGAGGTAGATGAAGAAGAAGAGAGAGACGAACGTATCACCACTGGACTGTTTTCCAATGTTACACTTATAATTCCTAGATTACTCGAGCTCTACGTAGAAGGACGCCCTCCTCAAACCTTCCAGAGTGCTGCATTGACAGAACCAGAGAATCTCGAATGCTTCACAATGAACATTGTACAAGCATCCAGTGCCCTGGTCGATCCTTCTCGGTTTTCTGCCTGCAAAAAGCTTCGAAGATTGGTGATTCAAAGATTTGGCCAACTACAAAGTACCTATGTTTATGCCATTCTTGCTAATCTATGCGATTCTCCTATTCAAGAGCTTATCGTAGAAAATAACGCCGGCAAGTACGCTGGGCACATAGAATACGATGCTGATGACTTCGTGAATATGTTGAGGATAATTGGAATGCAACATTCCAATAAACGCACGAAACCGATCTTCGGGCAAATCTTCCTGCAAGGACGTCCAAAAGTGTCAAAACAAAATTTGAATTGGCTGATTGCAAATTATGCGGATTTTCTCACTTACCATCCTTACCTTTGGCAAAAGATGTCTCGTTGCTCAATGAAGGACTTAGAAGGTTACGTTCGAACGATCAAGTACTTTTCTCGACACACGCCACTTCTTTCAAGACGAGCGCATTTAGGGGAACCGATTGGTGTTCAATATTCCTAATTTAGTAGGCTTGAGATTGAATTTGTAATCATTTAATCATAGTTCGAAATGATATGAATGTGATGGTAGAGCAAGACGAGGTGCAAATCGATGTAGTTTTAGCTTTGTTTTAAGTAAGGCTTTTGAAGATTCTAGCAATTTCAAAGATGAAGAAATTGACTGGTTGAAGCAGTATGCAGGTTAATTCATCATCATAGTGCCTTGTACGCCGTTAGGAACGGGTGAATGTCTTGGCCACCTTTTGGCACCCTCTGAAGGGTAGAAGGAATAGGGTCGATCAACTAATGAAACAAGCGAATTCTTTCAGTTCTCGAAATTGTTTAAAATCATTAAAATGCGTAATCGTACTAATACAAGATGGATCAAGATTGGTTAAGGTCTTTTTCGACATACTTTGTCTCTTTTGCATGGATTGTGCTAACTTCGGTAGTCTTGAACTTCCTTGCAGGTACGCCTTGAGCAAAGAGAACGTCCAATTCTTCGTAACTGCGACCTTTGAGTTCGGGCAAACGGAAGAACGCCCAAATAAAAGTGAGTAAAGCGGTGCCGCCCCAGAAAAAGCCGGTATATCCGCGTAAGTTCCATGCTGTTGGATTCATGAAGTATGGTTGCAAAACTTGCGAGATAACCGAAACAACATAATAAGCATTTCTAGCAATGCAAACGGTCTTTTGACGTAATCTAGTTGAACCAACTTCAGCTGGAATTGACCAGCCTAATTGACCCATAGAAAGTTGATAGCCAAATGTCCAAAGCAAAGTCAAAACAGCTTGAGCAAGTCCAACATGCTTATTGTCTGTCTGAGTGTTCAAAATACCAATAATAAACAGTACACTAACGCAGAATCCCATACCGGTCAAATAAATTCTTCTTCTGCCAAAGTAAGGCATAACGAAAATCCAACTGCAGAAAGCGCCAAATAGAGCCATACCCGTTCCTCCAACGTTTAACTTGTAAGTTTGATCGCTTGTCAAGCCTACTTGCTGGAAGAAGTAAGTAGAATTGTAGGCGAAAGATGAGCCCGAAAGCACTTGTCCTGCGAAGCAGACACAAGCGATCTCTGTTCGTCTTGCTTCGAAGCCTTTGAAGCAGTCACGGTAAGATGTACCAATTTCCATCTCTTGTTCTAACGCGTTTGTCTTTGTGATTGCTGCCAAGGTGTCTTGAATTTGAACTTCAGTTGCATTTTTGCCATATAATCTTTGAAGAGATTTCTTGGCATCTTCTGGTCTGCCTTTTCTGACAAAGTGCCACGGTGATTCGGGAGCAAAACATAACACAGGAATCAAGAATGCAGGCCAAACCCATTGCAAGGCAAAGGGGATACGGAATGCCCATTCACTTTGAAGATTGACCAAGCCAGCAAGCACACCGGAAGCGATTAATTGACCAATGATGAAACACATGTTTGTCCATGAAGTCATGTACACGCGCAAATTGAGTGGAAGAACCTCGGACGCATAAGCAGGTGCAGTCGTTGCAAAGATACCCCAAGTCAAACCACTCAACAATTGACCAATCAAGAGCATGACGGCAGATTGAGCGAGGAAAGTGATAAAGATCAAGCACGATAAAACAGCCAAAGCTGCGATCAAAACACGTTTATGACCGAATCTTGTGGAAAGGTAACCATTCAAAAATGCACCAAAGAATGCACCAACTCCTGAACCGTTATTAAGACCAGCTTGCCATGCTGGAGTGAGTTGATAGCCAGCTTCTGGACTAACGTAATGACCATATCGTTTTGCGAATTCGGGAAATGCAAAAAAGTTACCGAGCAAGTTCAAATCGTAACCTTCCATAATAACACACAAAGAAACAGTGAAGGACCAAAATAATCCCCATTTGCAGCCTTTGGCTGACTCCCAAACCGTTTGCTCAACTTCTTTCTTTGCATTTTCTTCGGCCGCCACTTCCAATTGAGTAACAGTCATATCGAGCACAGGCTCGATCTCTGTATCGTATGTTGCCACCTTCTCGGAAGATACCTTTGCGGATTCATCTTTGATGTCGTTCATGGTGGCAAAAGGCGGGCGGGATAGTATGATATGATGTAGTAAGGATGGATGGATAGGGGAGATGATGATTGGTCAGGATGAAAATAGAAATTGATTGCGTGTTTATATAGCTTTTTCTGTCAATGGTAAACTTCAATATCGTTCCTCGTTCTGTCAGATTAAACTAACTTTGCATGATCTCCGCACTTCCCCACAACCCTGCATTCTTCGCCCCCACGAAATGCTGACCATCCCATTCGGTGGAACTTTACTCTTCCACGGATAGGCGGGAATAGAATAAACGGCATCTTTAAACATAGAGGCTATGTGCTCTTCGAAACATGCCGCTAGTATGAGAATGAAGGATAAAAGTTCCCCCTTCTTTATCATTTTCTTCGGTTTCACTTCGGTACGGCGACTTGCTTGGCCGAAAATAGTCGTTGATTGATTATTGTCTTTTTTATCCGTTACCTGCTTGATGCTTCTATAAATTGAAATCTTTGCCTTGGCATTCGGGGGAATTCAAAAAGGACGCTAACACTTTACCATGCCGAAAGAGCCGATCGGCATATGAGCAGGAGGATATAAGGTGTATGGTAGAAGAGAAGCAAGTTTTGACAACCTCTTTGTTCCTTAGCGTGAATTACCCCAACCCCATTCATTCATTCATTCCTTGAAGTGTGGGGAGCAGCTTTAGCGTATTAACGGCTTGTGTTCCTGCGATTCTCGGTGAATCTTCGGTAAAATTAATACGCTAAAAGCTGACCTCCTTGGGGTAATGATGGTCATCTGATCATCTTTTTTTAACGTTCCTGAACATAAGCAATGGCGATCGCATTCCTTTATTCGGCATAATCACTTCCGCGGAATCAAGCTCGCCATTCCGGTCACGAGAACGTTTCTTCCCCGGAACTGAATTCAAGAAAAGAAAGGATATAAATTGCAAGTGTCTTTGCTTTGCTACCTTTCCTTTAGTACTATCATACGATCATCACTACAAAGATGACAGCCCCAACAACATTTCATCTTCGTAACGGAGGCGTGAGTGTGGTAATAGATGCGAATGCGTTTGGACTTCCAAGTATCGTCTATTGGGGATCAGACTTGGGCAAGAATGTCAAGAATGAAGTTATTGAGAACATTGCAAGAGCTGCTAAGCCGGAAGGTGTTAGTGGTGGATTGAGCATCTCTCCTCGATTGACTATCCTTCCACAACCTGCACATGGATGGCAAGGCACGCCTGGCGTTTCGTTGTATCGACCACAATCCGGAGAATTCTCGTTCAAATTGGACCTACGCTCGATCGAGAAAAAAAGTGGCGAGAGCGGTCTTGTTATCAAAGGAGCAGACAAAGAAGGTGGAGTAAGTTTCACTCTCGCATTGCAAGTGACAAAATCTGGCTTGCTAAGTCAAAAAATCAACATCACAAACGCAGGAAAAAGCGAATTGCAGGTCAATAGCGTATACCTATCCTTCCCTATTCCAAACAAGCAAACAGAACTGCTCGATACGACCGGACGTCATTTGCGCGAAAGACATCCACAACGTCATAAATTTACTGTAGGAAGACATGTAAGAGAATCACGTAGAGGAAGACCAGGCGCAGATGCAACTTTGCTGTTGACGGCAGGTACACCAAACTTTGGATTTGAGTCAGGCGCTGCTCATGCTGTTCATCTTGCTTGGAGTGGAAATCACACTCTTGCAGCTGAGAGAGGTCCAAATTATGCTCCTTTCATTCAAGCTGGAGAGCTGTTGGAGCCAGGAGAGATTGTACTCAAAGCAGGCTCAACATATCAATCACCAGAAGCGCTTGGTTCGTGTGGTGAAGGATTGAACCAAGTCTCACATCGATTCCATGATCATTTACGTCAACGATCCGTTCATCCTACCCTTCCAAGACCTGTCACGATCAACACATGGGAAGCGGTATACTTTGATATGCGATTGGACAGGCTCAAAGCGATTGCAGACGCAGCAGCTGAAGTGGGCGCAGAACGATTTGTTTTGGATGATGGCTGGTTCAAAGGAAGACGTGATGATACGGCAGGATTAGGAGATTGGTTTGTGGATAAAGATGTTTGGCCGCAAGGTTTGCAGCCATTATGGGATCATGTTGATAAACTTGGCTTGCAATGTGGTATTTGGGTTGAACCGGAAATGATTAACTTGAACTCCGACTTAGGTAGAAAGCATCCCGAATGGATCTTACGGCCAAACAAGGCTCGACTACCAGTGGAAGGGCGTCAACAGCAAGTACTCGATATTTCCAACCCTGATGCATTCAAGTATATCTTCACTTGTTTGGATAAAATTTTGACAGATTATCCGTTGATTAAATACTTCAAATGGGATCACAACAGAGATTTGTTGGAATCTGGCAACATCCACGGTCGTGCAGCAATACATGATAATGTTGATGCACTGTATGATCTCATGGCAAAGCTCAAAGAGAAACATCCAGGATTGGAAATCGAAAGCTGTGCTTCTGGCGGTGCACGAGTAGATTTCGGAATCTTGCAACACACTGATCGTATTTGGACGAGTGATTGTACCGATCCTTTGGAACGCTTAACGATTCAAAAGTACACAAACCTTTTGGTGCCGAATGAACTGATCGGGGTACATGTTGGAGCAGCTCGTAGTCATACGACTGGAAGAACGCATGGCTTGCATTTACGTGCAGGTCATACATTGTTTGGACATATGGGAATCGAATGGGATATAAGCAAGATTCAAAAGGAAGAGCTACAAGATTTAGCGAAATGGATCAAACTACACAAAAAATGGAGAGATGTGATCCATACAGGCAAGAGCGTTTACGCAGATCTGGAAGAAGAAAGTGGTGGTGATTTGAGAGGTGTTGTTTCAACAGATCAATCGAGGGCTATTTTCACATACACACAAACAAAGACTTCTCAATATTACCCTGCTGCACCGGTCACATTCCCAGGCTTAGAAGATGAAACGCTGTACAAGCTCAAATTTGTACAAGATCCAGCAACGGATAAGGAACAATTTGTTGGACAATCTCCTTTGCTTTGGACAGAAGCAGGAAAAGATTGCATCCTTTCAGGCAAAGCTTTGAGAACGGCCGGCGTTCAAATTCCAACGCTCTTACCGGAAACATTGATTGTATTCGAAGTGGGAAAGGTATGAGAAGTAAAAATAGATACAGAATTGAATAAAATTGCGAACGAGGCCGGTCGATATGCTTTAAAGTTTTTTAGCGATCAATGGTAGTGCCACCACTGCTGCACATTACAAAGTTTCATAATTCTCACAGATGAAACGACCTGTGACGTCATACATAAAACTTTGCAATTGACTGTCATCCTTGTTCCCGCCAAGGCAATAATAGTGTTCCAAATGTTCTTTGATCCAACGAAAGTTGTGCGGAGCAATTTTATGACAATAGATAAAGTGAAAGAATCGAATATGCGTAGACATTGGATATGCTTCACGGATTGCCATAAGTTTGACGAGGTCGTTGCCCTTATCGTTTGCTAAACCATAGATGTCTAAAGTGCGAAGCCAAACATGTGACAAAGAGATGATTGCTGCTTTTAAAAAGCGTGAAGCATACTTGTTTGTTGCATCTTTGGCCGGAAACTTGTAAAAGTATGTTTTAGCAGGCGCAAAGCCCAAAACCAAACGATTCAGCTTGAAGTTCAACTTTGTGGCTTCAAGATAACGTAAGCTTTCCGCAGTAAACACATCCAGATGAAGAGACTTGATATGATTGTCACTCAAACTTTCGAGAACATAAGCGGGAGTCGAATTGAAAATCCCGACGTGATCGATTTTGGGTAAATCTAACGAATAACGCCATTCTCCGCATGTACGAGTACTGATACTGACCTCCTTACTCGGCTTTTCGTTGATCGTTTCCCATTCTGTATCTTCATCGTAAATATCTAAAGTCAATTCGTATAACTTGGGAAAGTGGATATTTTTGCACGGCTTTGTCTTGTAAGGGTAAGAATCTGCACCTTCAAATGGAAGATCGACTTGGCATTGAATGCTACCATGAACGAGCGTTTTGCGTGCCATTGTCAAGATTTGCCATGCTTTTTCCTCACGTACACGGTCATCCTTCTTGTCGTACCAAAGTTCAATTTTACCGGCTTTGGATAAGATGGAAGACAGAACTTCTTCGGGAAAGAATGTATCAAACTTGATCCCATGGAGAGTGAATTCGTCAAGTTTGCATTGATACAACGGCCATTGAGTGCAATTATCCGACTTGTAGTTCGTCATTGCAACATCAATCGTACAAACGATACGCAAATTTGTCAAGCTATAACATTGAATGATCGTTTCGCGTACTTGTTCCACTACTTTTCGGATGCGTTCCAAAGTTACGTTGTACTTCTTGTGATTTGATTTACACAACGCTTTTTTGCCAATCAAGATCCACAATTTTTCAACATGGAGCGATTTGATAACGTCCAAAACCTTTTTTACGTAGCCATCGCTAACGATTGACAACAAAAGTGGGACAAAGAGCTCTTCTTCTGCATCAAAATTGTTCGTATTGAATGTAAAGATTTCTTCAATTCGTTCAATTACGCAATTATCTGCTTTATCCTCGCCAGTGAAAGCATGCAAGATCATCTTGTTTATCTTTAAGATGACGGTCGAGAGAATGGAAGAAGGAAAGCAATAAAAATTGGCATAGAATCCAATCTGCTGAGCAGCAAAGTAGGGTGACTTTGTTTTGGCTTACTTTACACGAATTCATGCGACTCAATATTCTTCCTCCGATTCAACCCGGGGACTTCCTTGGTTTGTTCCGCATCATTGCGGTTTAAATCTTCTTCATCCCACTTGCTGTGGCGTACCTTAATTACGTCCGACAACCAAAGTCGACAACACTCATAAAAATTAAATAATTCAATAGATTTTCAGGCTAAATCTGACAGGAACTATCGATCCGACAAAGTACAGACGTATCGACATTGTCAGGAACGGAATTGCAAGCCGAGAGTGATGAACAGGGGTTGTTCCAATTCATTTTCATTCCGCGCAACAACGGCCGCCGCCAAATTTCTCGGCCGCAAAGAGAAGAGCGTCACAGGATTCCGTGTTTTCTTCAGTACTTCCATGACTTTGTAACTCAAGAAATGAAACCTCGGCTCACTATCACAAGGCTTGCGGAACGTTACCCCTTTTCTTTCTAATGAGAAATGTATAAAAGGAACAGGTTTGCGACGAAGTAGCATTCAATATGCAACTCAAACAACCTTATGATTCTACACGATGACTAGAGTGATCAATTCAGTCTTGTTCACTTTGCTCGCCTACTCTTTCTTCACCCTTGCTCATTCATACCCTTCATCCAATCCCTTAACGGTACGAGAAACAAACTCAAATGCGCCTGGTTGGGATCCAAAAAAGAAGCCTTTTCCAGGCGTCTTTCGTGATAACACAACTTTCACGTTCCAATCTGCAAAAGATGGCAAAGTGATCATCGAAGACCCTTACAATTGGCTCGAGAAAGGAGATGGCAATGATGTTGATAGGTTCAAATCACAACAAACTTCTTTCACCGATGCATACCTGTCCCAATGCCCGAATTTGAGTCAAGATACAGAAGCTATCAAGAAAGCTGCAAACTTCCCAACTGTAACCTTACCGAAAGGTCAAGGTCCGGTCAACGATCTGACATATATTTACAAAGTCACGTTCCCGAACAAAGAACGACCAATTTGGTTTTTGGCAAAGTACAAGGATATCGAAGCTTCCCGACAGAACAACTATGCCATTCTGCCTGGACAACCATTCTTTGACGAGAATTTGATCAGTAATGATGGTAAGAAAAACATTGTCGATTTCACACTTTCTCCCGATGGCAAAATTGCCGCATACACATATGATGGAGGTGATGGAAACCTGGAAATCTTCTTTCGCAAAACATCAGCACCATTCTTGAAAGGGAACTCTGTTGATGATGACGAGACACGCCTGCCTGATCATATCGTCAACCAAAACGGATTCTTCTGGGTCAATGATAGTTCCAGTATCATCTACTCGCAAAGCGGAGATAAAGATCAAATTCGTATCCATCACCTGGGAAAAGACCAAAAAGATGATTTAATCCTATTGGACTCCGATTCAGCTGATCCTTCAAGTTCCTACACTGTCTACAAAACGCAAGATAATGCATGGATGATGGTCTATCACGGACAAGGCAAGGATGATGGACAGCCTATCTATCTTGCTTCACTCACTCAGCCGCTCACAGAGCCTCTCAAATGGCTATCGATTACGATGGGAACCAATGGCTATTTGGCATATTATACCAACATCGGTAACGACTTCTACTTTTCAAGCAATGGAGATGGTGCAAATAATTACAAGATGGTAAGGCGTCATATTGATCCCTCAAAAGCGCGCACGGTCAAAACGTTGAGCGAATTGAAAGATGAAACACCAGAAGAACTCGTCATTCCGGAACATTCTGGTACATTGCAAGCAGGTGTGGTATTCGCAGATGGTACATTGATGGCATACTATACCGAAGAAGCAAAGCACAACATCTATTTGTACGATTTGAGAACGGGTAAACTTTTGCAAAAGGTGATGGAGAATTCTGGCTTGTACATCCAAGACATCGATTCACCAGCATTGGGAAATGAGGCCTACTTGTTTACTTCTACTTTCAACAAGCCGTACGTGATCACTCGATTCGCCTTTGATGCAAACAAGAAGCTGCAGAGCGAGACAATTGTGGATATGAAGGTTTCGGATGTAGACTTGAATAGTTTTACAGTTGAATTGCATCAAGCACCAAGCAAAGATGGCGTTCAAGTACCATTCACGATCATGTACACGAAAGGAACAAAGTTTGATGGAACGAACCCAGCTTTGCTTTCTTTCTTTGGCTTTTTGGAAACTGATTGGTATCCTTACTACAATCCATATTTCCTCACTTGGGTACAAAGCTATCATGGCATCCTTGTCAACATCAACGCTCGTGGTGGAAGTGATAAAGGTTACCAATGGGCGAAAGATGGCCAATTGGGAAACCATCAACACACATTCGATGATATCTTGGCCGTTGCAGAATATCTTGTGGAAAAGAAGATGGCACAAAGAGGTAAGGTAGCTTTGACTGCTGGAGGACTTGGCGGTACAGGAGCTATGGCCGTTGCCAATCAAGCGCCAGAAGGATTGCTTGGAGCTGTGATTGCAGATAGAAGTGCATTTGACCTCTTACGTTTCGATCAGATCAATCCTTCCGACAAAAGTCTCTACTATGATATCGGTAACCCAGGCATTCCAGAACAATTTGATTGGCTACGTGCTTATAGCCCATTGCACAATGTCAACGCCAATAAAACGTATCCGTTCGTCTTCATCGCTGCTGCCGGACGTGTGAACGCTGCTACGTTCCCGCAACATTCTTACAAGATGATCTCCGAGCTTCAATACCGTCGAAGCATCAATGCCAACCCTTTATTGATGTACATCATCAAAGATGCCGCTCAATCCAACGAGTTCAGTCAAAAGGATGCAATCATTACCTTGGAAGCTTACAAGCAATGTGTTGCAGGATATGGAATGGGCGTGAAGCGTATTGGTGCCTAGCTGATTTACGTGTATATAGTCATCCATCTCGATCAAATGAAACCTTACATAAATATAATTTTACTGCGACTTTTTCTTACTGCAGCGCTCAATAATCATCCAAGTACAGCAGTGCCCTTCTCGACCCAACTGCAAAGCGTGATTTGGCCAAGTGCCTGTCACCAGTGTGATAGCGTCTTTTGTCCAACGGATCGTGCATGATCGACAAGCGCTGCGCTCTTTATAAGCTAATGCAACTCTCTCTTTGTACAATGGAATGAATGATTGGCTCTGTGGTTTAAGCCATAGATGAGCAGTACATGCCTGAAGTTTCCCTCAACGTTCTGCATAATTGTAAAATGCTATCATCATCATGAAAAACTGTTGCTTTACCTTACATTTGCGGTAAAATGTATCGAACTTTTTTTTATCAAGTATACACTTGGAACTTCTGGATTTGATGCACAGGATTGCCTTTTTTATTATACATGATCTTCGAGGGTGGTTAAGGGTTTTCCTACCTTAGTACGATTCGGGTTTTCAGGTATTGCCATCTTGTAGTTGAGTATATGCTTGTTGTTCAGTCCTCCGGCCTCATTTTAGCTTTAAGAGTACCTCTTTGAGCTGGGATCCACCATCGCACGCAAACGTGAAGACTCAACTTCAAAGAAGTGCAAGCCTTCATATTCGTAATTGATGCGATTAACTCCATTTGAAATCTTCCAATCCCAGATCTGCAAATTCTCAACATTTTCCTCCAACCAACGTTTGTTTGTGAAATTAACATTCTTGCATCGAGCAACCGTTACCGTTTTGATTTTGGTCGAGGATAAATTGCTCTTTCGTGCTCGCACTAGGTCCACAATCTCATCGCCTTGATGCTCCAACTTACCATGCACCGTAAGCTCTTCCAGAGGCAGATTCATCAATGTATGCTTGATCTCGCAAAAGAAGACGGGACCTTTTGACGCAACGGAAAAACGAATGGACAGATGCTGCAATAACTTGTATTGTTCGAGGCATTTGGCAAGCTCAGAGACCTGGAGCGGTACCTCTACTTGCAGTGTTGTGAGCATCTCCGCTTTTGGTACTTTCAAGATAGCCGTCGGATCGCGCAAGCCTTGTAAATTGAGGTGTCGAACATTCGAATAGTCGAGCCAGCAGATATCCGAAAAGCCCCTTTCGAAGTTCAACGTCAGCTTCTTTAGGTTTGAAAACCACAGTGCACCTTTTGGTTGTCGCAATAATTCATGCTCCTTCGCTGCTTTGTCTAGGTGGTAAAATGAACACAAAAGTCTGCATTCATCCAGCGTATCCTTTGACACTTCCAAGGCACGTAGAACTCTTGTTGCTTCAGCCATTTCCTCTTCATTCTTTGTTTCGGCTTCATTGGCAATCTCCAGCGTTCGAAGCGCTGAAAGGGTCGCAAACATTGTTTCATCAACAAACAAAGACCCGATCGTGATCCCGATGAGAGACAATCGATCTAGCTTGCAGTTCGCCAATGGCCATTCGGGTGACTTTTTCGGCTTGTGCGTTACGATCGAAACGTCTTTTGTTGATACCAATCGCAGGGTTTTGAGCTTAGAACACTGCGTCACAGCCTTGATGACCATCTTGACCATTCTCTTGTATGGTGTGGCAATCCAACTCCTCCTTCTGCATTGATGGGTGTGACAACAATGCAACTCCGCTCCCATCACGATCCATAAATGCTGTACCTCGGAGGCGGGAAGAGCGTTGAGGATGGCTTCGATGTCTTCATTGTTGACATGCTTCAACGAAATTGGCAAGAAAACACTTGAAAGCTTTCCGCCATTGCGTTCGATCAGCTTGGGAACAATCTGAAATGAGTGCAGAGCACAGAAGTCTTTCTGCTCGAAAGCTACATCCTCTTGCAAGAAGCTTTCCTTCCAAAGCGATTGATGGTAGCGGATGATTGATTTCCAGTGTTTACAGACAAGCTCTAGCTTTGTGAGAGCAGGTAGAGGCACACGACGAAAGATTTCATACATGACCTCATTGGGAAGGCGTTCTGCCAGATTTGGTCCTGATATCAATTCCGGCGTTGATGATTCTTCTTTCATCTTGAGCTTCTTCGGCGAAGGATCCATTGATGGAATGCCGTCTCTAAGAATTTGTTCTCGATCGAAGAAGAACGAGATGAGGGTATGAAAAAGGATGTGATTGCTGAGCCGCATGAGAGGCGTCGTATGCTAAGTATTTCTGAACTGGGTAATGAGACGGGGCAAAAGGAGCGCAAGAAATGGAATATTGAGTGACCGAGTCTTCTTGCAATTGCTTGGCTTCGTGTCTATTTTTTGAACTTGATTAAGTAGACTTGATGGACGGGTTCATGCAACAAATTAGCCGCTGCCGCCTCCGCTGCTGCTGCTATTGCTGGAAATGATAAGCATATCGCGTGCATATATCCCATGGCAATATCTTCGCTCCGCCATAAAAACTGCCCAAGTCTGGTCATGCTCATGTACTTCGTATTCGTGACTATGAAATTTGTCCAGTAATATACAGGTTTTTATTGTACAAATATTTTACATATCTTCGGTCGTCAAAGCGGGAACATTTAGCATAGCATCACGTCTCTTGGTGCTCAATGACGGTCATTCTTGAAGGAACAAAGTTCACGGGATTACCCCTTTCATAAAAGTGCAAGTCGGTTTGCTCGTAGCATAACTTGTTTGCTTTCATTTCATCTTCCGTAGGAATTGCAACGGAAGAGTGTTCTCTTTTCGTCAGATAAACGTGATTAAACGTCGGCAGATTGTTCTCGAGCCATCGTGATCCATTTCCAGTTAGAGAATTTTCTTCTTGATCTATGATTGTAACTTCTTTCAAGCTTGGAGAGGTAGCATCGTTTTGACGGTAGCGGATAAATTTAACGATTTCATCTTGAGATCGCTTGATGGGCTCCCAGACCACTAATTCCTGCATTGTGTGCTGTTGTTCAATGAAAGTAAGGGCTTTCTCGGATGACTCAACGGAGTAAGATCCAACTCTATGGACCAATCGGAGCGATACCTTTTGCAGAAGAGGATGTTCACGAGCCCATCTGCGAAAGTCTATCGAACCATCGCACTGATCTGGCGATAAGTTGAGTCGTACAAGATTTGGAGCGCGCACAAGGAGGAGCAAGACTGGCACTCCAGTATGACAAAACGTTAGAGTTTTCAGTTTTGGCAAGGTAATTACCGGTCCGTCATCTTTCGAAAAGTACTGTGTCTTTTGGGTATTGAGAACATAGTCAGCTCTTTGCTCGGGGAGAAAAAGATGAAGATCAATTGTAACCTCTTCAATACTTTCACTGGCGACTGCTAAAGAAAGAGTAATGTTCGTCATCATTAGATAATGTTGCTCAGGATCAATGACTGACCAGTTGCTGATTTTGAGAGATCGTAGCGTCTTGAAAGCGTTGTAAATTGCTAAGTTCGTAAAGAACATGTCGAGTGGTATATTCACAAGGGTCAGATGTTCAATCTTGCACTTAGAAATAGGCAGGTCTTCCTCCATTGGTAAGTGTCTGTACATGGCGAAGTTATTCAAATTCGTCACCAGGCGCAATGAGGTAAGTTGAGAGCACCATTTTACAGTCCCAACAACGCATACAAGCAATCTATGTGCCGCTTCATGACTGATTGACCGGCACGAGCTTTTGTGGGCTTTGCAGCAATGAAGATTTGCTCCAATCAAGATCCATAAGCACCTTACGCCGGCTTTCGTGATATTCAGCAAAGCACAACGTATCTCTGTCTCGCTGCAGAAGTCTATAGGAATGGGCAAGAAGACTTTTGGTGTAGTTGCATTGCAATCGTCTCTTTGGAGTAATTTTGATGCCAATTTGAAAGTTTGAACCGCACAAAAGTCCTTTCGCTCGAAAGCCAAATCGTTGTCAAGGTAAATTGCATCCCACCAAATTGCATGATGATCAGATAAAATCTTGTTCCACTGTTTGCAGACTAGCTGAGCGTTTGCTAAATCTCGCAAGGTGATCAAACGAAAGATTTGGCATAAGATGTCATCCGAAAACAGAGGATGAGGAGGGGAAGAAGAATTGTTGGTTGCCTCGTTTTGTAATGCTTCCTGAAAGCGCTTCTCGTCCTCGTCCTTCGCCGAGAACATTTGATTTGTCTTTTTGGAAGATTTGAATCTATCAATGATCGTCGAAAGGCAAGCGGTAAAAACCCTGGAATAAAGACGGTACGATAAGTTTACAGAAGACAGCATCTTGTTTACCCGTGTCAGTATTACTCACATTTGATCTCGACACTATTGACGAGACGATAAAGGTGTTGATGGCGCAGACGAAGGAAATTGTTAATGAAAAGGAGAAATACAAACTCAGATTGGCTTTTATGATGGGACTTGATTAACCCCAACGCGCACAGACTTTTCGCCGAATCACAATGTCTGTGCTCTCAATCACCTCCTCGAGGAACCGGATCAAGTGTCTTACAATCTAGCTTTAATGAACAAAAATATCAAGGCATACAAAGATGACAATCTGTACTGTGAACAATAGACATCGATCGAAGATGCAATCCACTACCCAAGCTCTCATGTGACATCGTCGGAGATCCATTTCAATTTATCATAAAGTCACAATGACCGTCATGGTAAGCTCGGTCATGTTGATGGCCATCAAGACATGGTCATAAGATTAAAATCGTCTTTTTCTGGATGAAATTGCTTACTAAGCTGTACTTCCATCGATTCTTAGAATGAAATCGGCAAGAAAAGTGACAAAAGTGTTGCAAATGTAGGGATGATCGTGAGGATGAATATTTATTCAAAATACACACGTCATTTTTTGATCAAAATTCCACACCGTGTAGGAAATGGCGTGGGGTGCGGTGCGGTGTGCGCGCGATGCATACAGTCAATAGCACAAGTCCTTTTGGCCTGCCTGCCTTGCACCGGCTAAAGGTGTGAAGGTGTTCGAACCCAGCCTTGCACTTTCCATTTGCACACGCTGAGGCGTTAATTTTGAACTATCCGACACACAAAGGGGTGAAATCGTGTTCTTCACAAAGATCGATGTCATTGATAGTAGCCTTTGTGAGAAGAGGGTGAGGGACTTAATTTGATCAACTGCTTGAAACAAAAATGAATGCGTCATAATTGAAACCTAGCCATACTGTATGACGGGCAAGCGTATGAAGCGAATTGCCCTGCTTAGAGTGCTTCAACGCTTGTGGCCCCCCTATAGAGAGAGTCAATTAAGCGTACGCTGTGCTTATTGTTAAAGCGCGCACAAGTAAGAAATGGCGTGAGCGGTTCATATTGTGCCGCGCCCTACAAGCAAGCACGCAGCGCATACCGGCCTGGTTATCATTTTTTTTTATTCAACACAAAAGGCAGAGAGTGCTAAATACCCTTTTTGGCAGGCATACAGTCTCCTGCTTGCGTGCGCGCGCGCGTATACACGCGGTAGCCCAGATGCCCACCGAGCCTGCACGGAGTGTGGTGTGTGCGACGGTGGTGTTGCAATAACAAAGCCTGTGTGTGTGCGTACGTGCTCAAGCGTATTGGGCACTGTATGTGTACAGGCTTTTAAAAGCCTGTACACTGCGTGCGTGCGTAAGAGTGTTTTATACTTTGCACTCTGAAGCACTTTATAGGTGTACGCACACGCCAGTGCTTGAATATTTTTTTTGCACACTCAATAGGCGCACACCTAATTTGAACACGGCCAAAGCCCCAAAAGGACCAAATAGGTGTAAAAAGGCAACCTTGAGCCTAGAATGCATCCATAATCTCCCCCCTCATCATCCAAAAAAAATCAACAATTGTGAGTGTTATCGATCTCATTGCCATCAATTCAAACCTTTTTCTTCAATTCATCTTTCAAGGGGGGCGCAATTCAAACAATCATAACCTTATCTTGTCTTTGCCTAAAACGCGTTCGATTCACCCACACACGCACAATCAACCACAATCGTCCAGGCCCATCCAATTGATATGTGTACGGGCAGGGATTTAGAAAACGCGTTTGAAGCGTGTCTATCCCAGCCTAGCATACGCTCCTCAACCTAGAGCTCTCTCTGTCTTTGGCTTGACCAGCTTACAACGTCCCATTATCACAGGCAGGCGGATAAGGTGATGATGATGAAAAGCAAAACTTGATTGATTGGCAAAAGATTCAAAACGTGTTTTTACGCGTTGACTGGCAATTCTCAACGGATGATAAAGTCGTTGATGGCTGTTGAGGATGCTTGCACATACTCTCATGGCCATCAACACTTTCTCAGCGTATGGCTTCTATGCATGCATGCAATCAACACTTTTTACTGACACCATTCTCCACACCAACACTTTCTCTTTTCCTCCTTTTTTGCATTTGCGCCTACTCAACAAAACAGACAATCAAGATGGCCAAAGCAGCTAAAGCAACAAAAGCAGTCGAACCAGAGGTTCCCCAAAAACAAAAGCGCACAAAGAAGGACAAAGATGCACCAAAGCGTGCATTGAGGTGAGTAAGAGGTGATCGTTGGTACACAGAGCAAGAACCTGACTGTTTTCCCATTCTTTCCTCCTTACAGTGCATACATGTTCTTCTCCCAAGACAACCGTGACAAGGTTCGCTCTGACAACCCTGAAGCAAGCTTCGGTGAAGTTGGTCGTTTGCTCGGTGCCAGATGGAAAGAGATGAGCGAAGCACAAAAGCAACCATACAAGGATATGGCTGAACGTGACAAAGTTCGTGCAACAAACGAAAAGAGTGCATACAAGACTGCCGCAAAGGCCAGCAAATCAAGAAAGTAGACGAGATGATAAAAGATCGTTCGTGCGATTGATTGTACGAATTATAACTTTATCATCTTGTATTCACTTTTCTCCAGTCGTTGCTTGTATCGTTTGTCTCTCTTTACCTCGTTCCATCTTTTCTCATTCACGCTCGATCAGAAAGCCTTCCTCAACTCTTTCCCTCTTTTGTCATCTTTTTTTTTCTGACGTCGTGCATTAGGCATAGATGTGTGTATCAGTTTCGTGTCAGTTTACCTTCTACCTTTTATTGCTTTTTGCAATGATCATAATTCGTCTCTTAATTTCGTGAAGATGGTGAATTAGCTAGCTATTGCATTCAATCTTAGATCATACAGGTAGGTATCAGAGTTTAAGTTGCACCCATCTTGCCTAAAGCACCAGCAATCGAAACGGCTGCCCAATCCGGTCTCTTGTTCGCACCTTCTTTCTCATCTTCATCCTCACGTTTTGCTACCAATGCCTCTGCCTCTAATCTACGCAATTCAATCTCTCTTCGATCACGAATAAAGTGTAACATGCTGATAAAGTGACGTTTGCTGCTTTCGATACTTGGCATACCATCATAAGCAATACTTGCGCTACCGGCATGCATCATTCCTACACCCACGGCCGTTTGAAAAGAATCCGAATTGGAAATCGTGCTTCCGTTTGGACCGGCATTCGAACCGTTTGCAGCATTTTGCTTCTCTTGCGTTTCGATTCCGTTGGCAATCAATTCTACCAACGAATTAATGTACTTCGGAGCAACGGCTTCAACGCCATGTTCAAAGTAGTACAAATATTGATCCAAAGCGTTGCAAAAGATATCAATCGTACTTCTTTCATCGATGCAGGAATTTGCGATCCTTAAAGCCTTTTGTAAGCACTCCAACACACGTTTGCCATCACGCAACAGCGGCTTTTCACTCGTTCCACTCTTTCTACCATGCAATTCCGTCTGCCACCAAAGATGACTTGCCATCATCACCGCTTTGGCTTGATGTGGCTTCTTTAGCAACTTGGCTCCATGAAGAGCAGCTTTAGTGATCAGGGTATCGTAATTATCCACCCCGAAGCATCTTGATGAGAACAAGGTCGAGATGATCAAAATGATTGCATTGATTTGTCTCTTGCTATCACTGATCGATTCTTCGTAGATCGTGAACGCTTGAACGTAAAATTCGTAGCCAAGTTCTTCGAATCCTGTTTCATCGGCAGATTGTGCTGCAAGCAAGAACAATCGTAAACATGTCTCGGAGGAAGCTTCGGAGAGATTGTACAACGTTGTGATGACTTGATGAATAAATTTGTACAACGTGAGCATCTTGGATTCCCACGACTTTTCTAGCTTTTGTCGCAATTTGTATCTTCTTGCCAATTTTACAGCAGATACAATCAAAGGCGGCAATGTGAAGCGAATACGTTCTCCTCCTTGTGCAAAATGCTTCCTTGCGGTTTGTAGCAAGCTGAATTGTGTTTCCAAATCATCGGATCGGAACAGATGCACAGCTCTTGCTATCCAACCTTGTTCTTCTGCCATCTCTTCATAATCGTACATTTGTTGTTGGTGTCTATTCATGAGATGTGGCGGTCTATGTCCTCCCTGTCCGTATGCACCTGGTGGTAATTGCCCTCCTTGCATATAGCGTGGATCTTGTGCTGGATAGGATGAACCCGGTCCTCCAACGAATTGTTGGTGGTGTACAACATCCTTTTGATCTTTGATGAGCGTGTTGCACAGCTCTAGAACGCCATCCACATCTTCGGGTGTTGACATGATGGTTTCATTCTTGAGCACACTCATAACGACTGCATTAGCGATATTTTTGCGTGTACCATACGGCTGGACCGCCAAAAGAGCCGTGTAATTCGGCAGAGCCAGCAGTGTCAAGACGGTCAAGTAAGAGTTGATCGGTGATACCAGCAATGCACTCAAATGAGCTGCTGTCGTTGGCGAATGCAGGTCAGGGCTCTGTTGGAACTCGTTGACCTTTTCCCGAGCGAACGCCAGGACCTGGTCAACATACTCCAACTGATCAGGGTAACAGCTTAGAGAAAGGTTGATTAAAGAAACCAACAAAGCGGTAATGTCCTGTATGGAGAGGTCGGGACGAGCACGGATCAACTGAACAACCTGAGCCCAAAATACCTCGAATAGCTTCACATCTTCGGGAATACCACGATATTTCTTGGGAGTTGCTTTCGTCAACCGTTGAGGGGTATCTGGTGCTTGTGCCTGCGCTGGTGTTGATGGAGGCTCGGTGGATCCGGCCTTCTTGCCGTCATTTGCTCCAGTTGCAGCTTCTTGTTCTTTGACAGTATCCTGATTAGAAGCTGGAGATGCCTCTGCTTCCACTTCAGCACTTTCAGCTTTAGCAGGAATAGCATTCGACGTCATTTCTCTTCCACCATCTGCTTTGTCCTCATCATCGGTCTTCGGCGCATTGTTCTCCCCCGATCCTTCGTTCCAGGCACTCTCTCCCCACGCGTTATCTTCCATCCCTTCTGGCATTCCCATGAATGCAGCTTCAGCTGTCGAGTTGTGTGTGGCTACATTGGGTGCAGCAGCATCTGTTCTGTCAACTGCAAAGCCAGATGGCTCTACCGGCGGAGGCGGAAGGGTACTGGATCCAACAGCGGGATTGTCTAGATCGGGACCGTTCTGTGTCGTGACACCATCTTCTGCAGCAACTTCATCCCAAACCGAGCTGGGACCTTTGCTTTGGCCGGTCAAACGCATATTCTTGGTCTTATCGGCCAGTCTTTTACTCGCTTCCTCTTCCTGCCTTCGTACCTCTTCTGGGCTGTCATTCTCCGCTTCTCTAGCTGCATATGCAGCTAGTCTATCGATCAATGAAATCACAATCTGCTTGATATTGACTTTTGGATGTAGCTGAGCACATGCGGAGAGGAACGGCCCAAGTGTGCGTAGATGGAAATCATCCGGGAACACCTGAATGACGACCTCCATCAAGTATTCTTGAGCAATGACATCCTTGCAGTTCACAACCTGTTCTAGAATGCTTGGAAGGATGATTCTCCGGTACAATTCCAGATCGACACCTTCTAGCTGACTGAGTCTGACAAGGTTTGTTCCCACGAGGATTCTCAACTCTTTCCGCTCCATCTCACGCTTTTCACGATCGCGGGAATGACCTTGATGCTGCAGTCTGACCCAAAGCTTATTCATTTCGATAAAGTTTGTCAAGACGAATCCGATACTGTCTTGCAAATTTCCACTTGGACCCATACTGCTGCCAACGGGTAAATAATCTCTTGTTGCTCCACTGAGGTAATGCCGTAAGAACAATCCTCTTGTGGGATGTTGAACACCTCTTCCCATCTCCATCACATCTTTCATGATTTCTTTGATTGGTGCATCAGGAATCGACATGTACACAGCTCCTACAGTGATCATGAGGTACAATCGCGGAACGATGTTACCACAATACTGGACAAGCTCATAGAGGTCTGCCAGATGGTGCTTGCCCGTTGTATGTGCGTCATAGAGATAGATTGAAAGATGTCGTAAGGCATCAAAAGCTGCCATGTATAGCTTGTAGTAGTTCTTCGGCGAAAGGGAGGATGTTCTCAGTTCAGACAACATCGTAGAAGCCGATTTGAGAGCATCCATCAATAATTCCGAATCAAGACATCTTTTCATCTGAACTTGTTGCACTTTGACAACGTTTAATGCCTCATTGAGGATCTTTTGCTGAGATTCCTCCATCTTGCCGAATGCAAAGATGTGGTAAGGACGAATGCTGTCCTAGTTACTTGTACCCCTCTGTCACGATTGATGAGCGTGAGCTGTGTTGCTGGTTCTGGCTTCTTCGATTCGTTGCAAGCTTTAGTGGGATGATGCTGAGAGTGATGAACTGTAATTATCATCTTGTCGGATTAGAGTCTTGAATATCTTCTCCTCTAATAAGACACACACACACATCTCCAGCGCGGAAATACAAATGCGGGCACAGGATCAGTATACGTACGCGCATAACAAAAAGGCACACACACAGTCTACAACAAAAGGACACCCCTGGCGCACGGTCAAATTCATATCTTGACAATTTCCACCATTACCGTGAATGAAGTACAATGGCTATGAGGGTACTATCTATGGAATCACTGGCTATATCAGCTGACCGCCCATTCAGCACACATTCAACTTGCTCACTACAGGATCATGATCGGAAACTTGATCGGCTGCAGCTGCCCATGTGTTCACGTGTGGAACAAATAAAGAAGCACCAGCTTGTGCGATAGAAGGGCTAACAAACAAATGGTCCTGAGGGAACAAAAGAGAAAAGATCAGTCAACGCTTCAAATGGATAATGACATACTTGCATTTACTCACCAATTCTTGACAATTCTGTTGGAAAATGTAAGAGTAGCGTTCGACACGTTTGCTGATGATCACTTCTTTCAAAACGGACGGAGATCCGCCTGTAAGAGTGTTTAACGGTTGAACATAGGAGAACTCATTCAAATCTCCCGTGAGGATCACCTTTGCATCACTTTGAACTTGTAGGATCTTTTGCACAAAATTACGCAAGACTTGTGCTTGAGCATTTCTCGAATCTACACCTCCGTTGATGGGAGCCTGAGGGTTCTGGTAATTCGTTCCGCTACCTCCTTTTGAGGTCAAATGGACACCGATCACAATCACACTTTGTCCACTTCCATCTTGCAGGTCAAACTGACCCACCAGCGGCTTTCGGCTATTCCTCCATGCGGTGTTGTTTGGATCGATTCTACCGGGATTCAAAGTCAGCTTTGCCTTTCCGTTGACGGATTTGACATCTACGGCATCATTTGTTCCGCCGACAGGTGCTGGTGATAGCTTCAAAGTGTCTTTACGGTAGATGAAAGCTTGACGGATGTTACCGCCTGGTTCTCCTCCATCTTTTTTGTTAGCTGGGTCAATGTATGCATAGCTGTATGAAGCGCCTTTAATAGCTGCAACGACGGCATCCAAGGTCTTGTTTGCATTCACCACGCCATCATCCGTTGGTCCATCATCATCTTGGATCTCGTTGAGGACGACAACGTCGGGGTCCTTTAGATGCGAATCAATGTAGCCGCCAATCTTTGTGATTCTAGATGAATTTGCAGGTGACAAATTTTCAACATTGAAAGTTGCTGCAATAAAGTTATCACACTTTCCAGTCGTCTTGAAAGGAGCAGGAATTGCATCGCCAGATTTACGTTGTCCAACTTTGGGAGCGGTTAGAGGTGTGATTGTATACAGCCCAAAATCATAACCAACGATACCGGTAACATCTTCTAAAACATCTCCCAACCGAATATTTGCATCAACGTTTGAACCGTCAAAAGCCTTGACTAGCTGAATGGCTTGAGGGTTATTATCCCACCGAGTATCATCGCTAGTTGCATTCTCGTCTGCGGCTAACGTCAATCCTCCACGGCCATTTTGCGAAGGATTATCCAAACCTGAGGGAACGATATAAACCTCACCAAAACTTGTCAACGGTCCCAAAACGGTAGGGGAAGGCAAAGTAACGAGGGTATTCTCCAGACTCTCCCAAAAATCAGCTCCGTACGTTTTGACATCAAGACTTTTTGCTCTGTCCCCACCTTCCAATGTTGTTTGATTTGCAGGTAATGCAAAAGGGTTCTTAATGCCGATATATTTTTGAGGCGGAGTACGACTACCGTTGGTTCCGATGATCACTGGAGAAGCACTGTTTGCCCCAGAACGAATGAGAGTAGTCTGATTTGCACCGGTTAATTCGGTCAAACGCAGATTTGTTTTAGAGGTCGAATATTCTGCCACTTTTGCCGATCCGATTTGGATCAAATCACCAACGGCAAAATCCGAACATGCATTGCTGTGAAAGACATACAAACCTTCGGATGTACGATCATCGTTGTCAACTTGATCGTTTGGAGTTTGAATAAAACAGCTGTTCGTTCCGTCTTTTGCCGTAATCACACCTTGTACGTTGGATACAGTCTTTCCGACGAGTGTACTCAGGTAACCGGCACCTTGAATATCATGAGGATATAGAGTATTGGCTTGCGGTGCCACACCACTGAGTAAAGCCAAAGAAGCCAAAGATAGGAGAAGTCTATTCACCTTCATGTTGCACGATTTGGGAGAGAAAGAGATTGAGAGGCTTTCTGTTGGTCAGCATCTTTATATATCATACCCCATCTTCACTATCACAAATGCCAAGAAGATAGCACGTTGCTGTACGCATGATAAACTTAATTTATAAACCACTTTATGCACTGAAAGTTGGCTTCCTGTCAATTTGATCCACAATCAATCAAGACGGATAAACAAATCTTGCTGCACTGCATTTCCATTAGCGCAACTTAAACCATATGATGCAATTTCACGCAACCGTTGAATTGCAAATTAGAAAGAATAGCCGTGTTCTTTCCGAACGAAGTCTTGCTTGACAGGCTTCCCGCTTCGAATTCTAAAGCAGTGTTTGTTGACAGGAACGTGTTTGATTGCTCACACACACCCCACACAATCAAACAGTCATAAAAAAGAAAACAATGACATTTAATAATGATATAAGAATGCATCTCACAATGCCTGCCCAATGAAAGTCAATAAGAAAAGAGGAAGAGAGAACGAAAAGAGGTAGAAACCGGACAGGAAAAGTAGAAGTTTAACAAAGAAAAGAAGAAATTTGTGCTCATGTGCTTGTGCTGGGATATCAGAACTATACAAATGCAATTGGTCTCCTGAACAAAGCCAAAAGTGTGTTGCCATGAAGAGAAGAATTGGTTTCACTGATCGCACCACCACCACGATCAAGCGTACCGTTATGTTGCGCAAAAGGCCATCTCAAGAAATCACTAGATCAACATCTGTTCCTTGTTGTCTACTAGTCTCGAATGCCATTTGAACATCATCATCGTCGTGCATCAAAATTCGATCTCCATCTTCGTCAATGTATCGAATCTTGATATTTTCCACCTTTTTACCGCTAATCAATCGTATCTTTTTCGATACTTTTTCCGTTAATTCTGCCAATCCAACATTAGACAGAACCACAACCACCAACTTATCATCATTATGATGAATGACCAATTTTACCGCATTTGAATGGCCACCAAAGTTCTGTGCTTGTTGTGGCATTGGATGAGGTTGTTGCTGTTGTAATGCTGCTGGATTCGATCTCGCGCTGTGACCATGGCTATTGCCGTTGTGTGGCTTGAATTGACCGTTAGCTCCCACTGCAGGATTACCGCCCAATGTGATAGGCGAAGATGCTGCTGTCGAGCCAGGTCTAGAGTGCGTGGATCTCTGAGAATCAACAGTGGAAATACTCGAAGAACTGAACCGTTGCCTGTTCACTTGAGCAGCATTATTGGGAGCGTGCATAGCTCCATTAGTAGCGATCATACCATCCACACCACCTTGCATGGCCCCATTGTACGCTGATGAGATCAATGCAGATTTAGCAGGCATTGGTGGAGGTGGTCCAGCATGTGCATTTGCATTATACTGTGCTGGATTACTAGCTGATCTTGATCGATTGTGGTGAAGATCAGAAGACATCGTTCCGCGAGAAGATGCTGAATCAACTCGTTGTCTAGATCCATGCATCGTCAAACTCTCCATCTGATCTGCCGTTCCATCGGTATCATAAGACTCCGTTCGGACTGGAGGTCGTGGGAAAGCATGGGGATGTGCATGTCCGCCTTGACGTAATTGTCTACTACTCGAAGCTTTGCGCAATTGTTGCAATCCTGACGGACCAGTAGATTCTCCTCCAGTACTGGAAGATGATCCATTTCTAGGCATAGGAGGTTGTGTGTTGGGAGAATGAGAGCGCCACTGCGACAGAACAGCTGAATCTTGATCTTCCGTACGTGCTCTTGGACGTGTATCGGCTGAAAGAGACAATTGTCTTTCTCGATGTTCAGCAGGTTGAGAATAACGTCCGCCCATAGGTGTTGCACGACCTGAAGTTGTCGATCCATCCAAACTCAACATAGATCCATCCATGGTCGCTCCGCCGTGCTCTTCATCTCCCATTGCAACGCCAGAACGATACATGCCCGCTTGGCTGTCCGCTCTAGTGAAGGGGAAGGCAGGTGCCATATCAGTCGATGGTGTCTGAGGGAACAAGGAGTGGGAAACAGAGCCACTCCTTCTTCCATTCGCACCAGCTCCGGCCATATTGTATAAACTAGGTGAAACGCCTCCGCCTCCAGTTTGACTGTAATGTGCTGCAATATGCTGCCTTCGGGTGTTGACCTCTTCGATCAATCTGTTGATCGATGTTTGCCATAGCTTCAATTGTTCTTCATTCTTGCATCGAAGACTGAATGATTCTTGATCAACATCACCTCGCCACCAAACTTGCAACGAATATTGACCACCAGCACCTGCACCCAAAACAGAGTTGATCTTGCTATTGGCAATCGCACTTGTGACGTTGTTGATGAAAATTCGGCCTTTCAACTGCAATGTCGTACGAGGCTTCTTACCGGGAGGTGTTGGCGTCACAGTCTTATTCTTGAGTAGAGAATTGCTCTTGGAATTCTTCTTTGGTGCATTGGGCATTACCTCCTTGCAGCACAACAGAATTTTCTCAAACAGGTATACATGATATTCCCGTTCAGTCTCACTCTTGGATACCATGAAAATATCTGAAAGGAGCAAGCTGCCAAAAGTGCTGATATTGTGTCCTTTCCAATCTTCCACTCTTTCTTCTAGATCACGTACGATTTGAATGTTCTCTTGTACTCTTCGAGTTTCATTGACCTTATCTGTGATGCGTCGAATAACTTGCAGTCCATCAACGAGTTCTTGATAATATGGCGCATCTGCAGGCGTCTTTTTGAGTAATGACTCTAGTAGCAGTGGATACTTGCAAATACGTTGAACAGGTTTGATCAAGAATGTTGGCAATTCATACGAAGGGTCCAAATAATACTCATCTGCTCCGGGCATACCACGCAACCGTAGCAGATTGGGTGCTTCTATACCTATGATCTCTAATGCCTGTGCGTAATTGGCACAAAATGGTTCGTATACCGCAAAGTCCGCTTCCATCGTCCGGAACACATGTCCAAAGTGTTGATCATCAGCAGGCCTTCTAACGTTCTCCTCTACACAAATCAAGAATCTTCTCTGCACATCCACCAGCATGTTCAAATTTCCGAACAAATTATGGATCGTATCCGGTGATAGGATATTATTCTGCGATAATGCACGGCAATAACTTTGCAAAACTTCCAAATCTTGTACGTACTTTCGTTCTGTGTCCAATAGTTCCCGCACGATCCAAGCCCGATCATCTGTAGGCTTTTGTAACTCATCCGGTACAGAACTCTTGGGTGCTTCGACCAATAATCCTCTTGATTCAAAGACATCCAACAATTTGCTGATTGTTCTTACCACACTGACAAAACCGTTTGTATCGTTGAGGTATAACTGCGAAATGGTAAAGATGTCACTTGGATCCCAACCGAGCTCACTATTGAGAGCAATGATGAATTTTGCAACAGAACGTTTGCATTCGTTTGCATTGCTTCGATTTGCATCGGGATTGATATGAAGCTCATTGCGAGGCTGTAGCTGATTGATCAGCCAACACAAAGGAGCACCTAATCGAAAGCATTGCCATAACTGCGTCACAGGATCGGACGAAGACATTTCCGGTCTTCTCTTTTCACTATCACCTTCTTGTGCGCCTTCCTCGCCCGTTAGCAGAAATGTCTCACCAAATTGTGGAACACACCATAGTCTGTCCAAAAGTGTCAGACATGCTTGATAAAGACTTGAAGCTGCGATTGCAGGCTTATTTCCAATCGTATTTGCCGCAACAGGTGCGCCAGCCGAAAGAGGCACACCACCAGGTCCAGTTGATATTAAGCTGGTTCCTATTCCTCCATCGTTCGGATTTTTCGATTGTTGTGAAGAAGCCAATGTTGATGAGCTAGCATTCCAAGAAGAAGGTGGACCAGGACTTGGAGAAGGCGGAACGGGTGAAGGTGCGTTGAGAGAATCCAGATAGCCAGGACCGGAAGAAGAGACGGATTGTTTGCGTCCTGGCCTAAAGGCCGACGCTGTGGAAACGGCCATGGGTTTTGTGGTGGGGAGGGGGAGAGTGTACGGAATGTGTGCACTCACTTTGCCCGTTTTTGAGAGTGTGCTTTCGTCTGTTGGTGACGAAAACACCAGGTATACTTCTAGAAGTTGTAGATGTATCGAAATCGAATCCAGTCGATGAGAACGGAAGCGTTGAATTGCCAAGTTGCAGTCTTATCACAAGTGCGAGATTGTTGCTGTCTAGAAATCACTTCAAAAGGTTGTTGGATCGAGATGGCTCTAGAAAAATGTAACAATCTGCGATAGTGTATCAGTTGCAGTGGATTGGCTTTCAATTCGTACGAGGCGTTCAAGGATGTATGCCGTATTATTGGCGTCGAATGGAGCTGATGTTGGATCCACGAAAAAAGGCGAACAAGTGGGCGTGCGGTCCGACAATCCGTTCAGCAATGCAATGATGCGGATCTTTTTATTGTGAGGCTGAATGACCAGTGAGAACCAATGACATCAACACTGCCACCACACGTTGATCGAAGTTGATTATTGGGAGATCTTGTCAATTCCAGGCTCAGCCTCGGAGAAAGAAAAAAAATCGTCTACTGAAAGGCCGAGGTAGATGAAGCAAGTAGTTGAGCCGATGGCCGATGTGTGCAAATATCAACAAAGATTGACGTTAATGTGCAAGTTGTAGAGTCTCTTTGCGTGATTGCAAACAACAAAGGAAGAATAAAAAGTCGGCTAATCTGTGTGCTCTCGGAAGGATGCGAAAGAGAACAAGACCCGCAAATGTTGTTAATCTTGATCGTTTGTGGCGTCTATTGTTGATAAGCAAGCTACAGATGAACTTTGAGACCGGAAAGCGAAGTAGAATATAAGAAAGAGAAAAAGCCGAGTCGAAAAAAGTGAGAACGTCTAAAGTAAAGCGACCTTTGCTTTGATGATCACCGTTTGTTGCCTTTTCCCTACGAAAGAGACGTTGACGAGGGAAAAAAATAAAAATAAAAAAGAGATGTGAAAGTTAGGAGAATTGTATGGAAATAGATCGGATTATACAATTTGGATCCAATAAAAAGAGCAAGTTCTTTTTTGGACTTGCTTGCATGAGCAGCAAGCAGCAGCACATCCACAGAGCACAGAGCCCCTCCTGCCGCCGTGTCAAAACACACATACACACTCACACAACCGCGGCGGGCGAGAAGGATAGGAGAATTGCGCACACCTACACTCACACACACAATGGGCAATGTGCACAACAACAACAACAACAACAGAACACCCGCCCTGCTGTTATGCGCACGCAGTAAAAAAGCTAAATTTTCCAACTTTTTTATTAGCACAGAGTGAATTTGTGCGCGTGTGATTTGATAGTGCGAAATGAATGTTTGGTTCAACTGAAAAGCATAAAAAAAGGGTGTGCATGAGAAGCAAGACTGCTTTTGTGCCTTTTGTGCTAAGACAAGCAGCTTTCAAGCAACAAAAGAGGGTGAACAAATATAACCACAAGACGGCAAAGCGGATATAAATTGGGGAGGGCATCGGAAGAAGAAAGAGTTGAGTATATGCTGCTACCAATCCTTACTCTGAGCTTTAAAATTGTTGTTACCCTGACGATCACTGCCAATAAAACCTCCTTATCATCATCATCATCACACGAAAAAAGAAAGCGTGAGAGTCTGTTCAATGGTTGCATAGATTACAGTGGACGATGCATGTACAATATATGCACGGACATGCACTTCTCTTGTTCAAAAGTTGATGCGCTAAAAGGGGTGACCTCCAATCATCCAATCGAGGTCATCCTCAAAAGGACATCTGTTAAGCAACTGATTCCTTTTTAATCCTCAGAGAGAAACCTTCTTTTGACATCCTCTCCCTCGATCATTCCGGAAATGCGGTCCGAGTGAGAGTGCAATCTTGATCGTGTTTCTCCTGTTTATGACAAATCGAGGCGTTAGGAGAATGACCGTATTCTACGTCAGATTTGAAACTTTGTGTCAGATTTCATTACAACTGTCAGAGAGCCAAGGAAAGACCAAGAGCCGGCCGCCGAAGTTTCAGAGAGGTCCGTGTACTTATTAGCATTTTTTAAGCACATTATTTTTGTGACAGGCAAAGGCGGATACCGTAAACGCCAACTTAGACAAAGGAGAGCATGGAAATGCATCCTTAGAAGTGAAAAAGCCCGTCTGTTCTTAAGTAAAAGGGGAACGTATGATGATTACATGTATCCGTTGTGAGAACTTTCGGGATCGATTTCCAGTCTCAGCAGCATGACATCGGATTCCCTTGTCTGATTCAATAGGAGTTGGTGTAATAGTAAATGCAGATGACTAACAAGCATAAATGTGTATTGAATGCCTCCTTTCCATCATCATCAATGTGTGGTACTTCTCGGATATAAGGTATTACGCATTCTTATGGCCGCACGCTGGCGTATGTAGGCAAGGAGAAGGGTATGGAAATCATTCAAGCTTTAGCTTGCATTCCAAAAATACACATACACACGCATCTAACATTTTAAGACTCGCTTTTGAGGGGAGCAGCACTTGAACAGTGTGTTGTTACCCCCCAATGCCTGCGCCGCGTGTGCGCACTGCTGGCGAAGCATTCTTCCTGCACATGCATACGTGTAAGCTCATGTACGTGCGTTTAGGCTTTTGTTAAAGAGAGTAACACATTGTTCCCGAATATCAACTTTTTGAACATCTTCCATCATCATCTGTGATAGATTTGGGATTTATAAACAATCAAACACACTCCCTCAAGTCACAATGAAGTTCTTTAGTGCGCCTAAAATCTTGGCGGCCACCACTCTGGCATTTGCTTCTTTGCAAATGATCACTGCAGAAGATGCTGCTGCAGGTGAAGCAACAGGACCATCAGATGTTCTTGATTTGACAAAGGACACTTTCGCAAAGACTGTTGATCCTGAGCCATTGATTCTGGTTGAATTCTTTGCTCCTTGGTGTGGTCATTGTCAAGCATTGAAACCTCATTATGAAGCTGCCGCAACTGAGCTTAAATCAGAGAACATCAAGTTGGCCAAGGTAGACTGTACCGTGGAAGAAGATTTGTGCTCTGAACAAGATGTTCGTGGTTACCCCACTTTGAAGGTGTTCCGTAATGGTGTCGCAAAGGAATACGGAGGTCCACGTAAAACAGAAGGTATTATCAGTTACATGAAGAAGCAAGCCCTACCAGCCGTTTCAACAGTTACCGTTGACAGCTTGGCTGATTTCAAGGCAAAGGACAAGGTTGTCATCGTTTCTTTCCTTGCCGATTCCGACAAGAAGGATCTCGAGGCCTTCACCAAGGTGGCTGAGAAGCATCGCGATTCATACTTGTTCGGACATGCAAGCGCAGCCGATGCAGCTAAAGCAGCTGGCGTTGATGCACCCGCTGTCATCGTTTACCGAAGCTTCGACGAACCTGAAGTGAAGTACACCGGCAAGATCTCTGACTCGGAAGCTTTGGAGAAGTTCATTAAACAAGAAAGTGTTCCATTGATCGACGAAGTCGGTCCCGACAACTTCATGACTTACGCAGAAGCCGGCCTTCCTCTTGCATACTACTTCACTGATCCAGAATACAAGGACAAGGATGCTGATATCGAAAAGCTCAAATCCATCGCAAAGGAACACCGCGGCAAATTGAACTTTGTCTGGATTGATGCTATCAAATTCGTCAACCATGCCAAGGGTCTTAACCTCGACGGAGAAAACTGGCCAGCATTTGCCATTCAAGATTTGCAAGCTTCTACAAAGTACCCATTGCAAGACTTGGGCAATGACGCTGAGAAAAGCGTTGGTGATTTCGTGAGCCAGTTCGCAAAGGGCACTTTGAAGCCTTCCATTAAATCGCAACCTGTTCCCGAACAAGATGGTCCCGTCTTTGTTTTGGTCGCCGACGAATTCGACAAGGTGGTGTTGGATGACAAGAAAGATATCTTTGTTGAATTCTACGCTCCTTGGTGCGGACACTGCAAGAAATTGGCACCTATTTGGGATAGCTTGGGTGAGGCTTACTCTTCTCACAAGGACAAAGTTGTGATTGCAAAGATGGACGCAACAGAAAACGACATTCCTCCAAGCGGCGGCTTCTCCGTGGGAAGTTTCCCAACGATCAAATTCAAGAAAGCAGGAACCAAAGAATTCATCGATTACGAAGGTGAACGTACTTTGGACGCATTTGTTGAATTCGTCGCTGAACACGGCAAGAACAAGGTCAAGGTTGAATTGCCACCTGTGAACGAAACCACAGAGGAAGCCGCTGCTGAAAAGAAGGAAGAGCACGCTCCAAAGCACGAAGAATTGTGAAAAAAGTTCTTTCCCTACTCACATATGTATCAGAGAATTCAAAACTTGCGTCTTTGCATTCCGCTGTGTTCTTCTGCCCCTACTTTTTTGCCATCTATCATCCTAGCACCTTCCTCGATAACGGTTTTATATAGAAATTGTATCAGGATGTAAAATACACACTACGAAATTCAATATTCATCTCAGTTGATCCGATATAATCACAGATCTGCTTCAATACAAAGGACTCTGTGTCCTATGAGTTTGCTAACATGTGCGAGGGGACATTTGGATTTCATCGGCCTTTGATAGGGCCAATCAATGTGGTAACAGGGCTACTTAGGGTTAGGATAAAATCCTAACCCTAAGTAGGTTTTTAGCGTCGGATAATCAGTTCTTTTTCCATCATGAACGAGAAGCGATCATATATGACTTGAAGGAGAATTGTGATAATTTCACTCAACTTTTTGTGATGAGGATGAAAGAGGTAAACTGACAATTGAACAACATATGACATGACAGATAAAATGAGAATGGGATAAAGACAGAATGATGGAAACACCTGTCGAGGATTTCCTTAGCGGCTTGGGTGTCCCGAGAAAGATGAAAAAAAGAGAGAAAAAAAAGAGTTTGGCTACACTACCACAAGAAGAGATGAGAAGGAAAAGAACGGGAAAGAGAGATCGACTGAAAACATAAAATTCAATGTTTTTTTCTTTTGTTTCTTTTTTTTGCAATTCCATTTTTGCGCTTTTTTATTCTTTCCTTGAAGTTGTTGATGATGGCGTTGGAGTTGTGGAACGATTATGCTGTTTAGGTGAAGTGTTTTGCGTTGCGGTTGTGATTGCGAGGGAAGAAGAAGAAGAATTTGCTGTTGCGGATGCAGAAGAAATTGAAGAAGGTGGTTCGATTGCTGCTTTTCCGATTGGCAGCATTCGGTTACCGCCACCTACACCACCGAGACCAGTCTTGTCGAGTTGGAAAACAGAAGTCTTGAAAGTGCTTCCACTGTTGGAGAACGAGTAACGCTTCTCGTTGGCACAGGGCACAACGATTTCGTCCGTTTCATTTGCCGCACTTACGGTGATCGCATTTGAGCTCTCACCGTTGTATATGGTGCTGTTGGTGTGATGACCTTGCATACTTGACTCACCTTCATCGATTTTGATCTTCTTGTTTTGCAAAGGCGAAAAATGAGAAGAAAGATTAAAGATGCTTTTATTGTCAAGCAAGTTACCGTTGTGTCTTGTCAAATCGGGTGAACTTGACCCTGTGTTGTTGGTGTGACTTTTGCTTGCACCTTTTGCTGTTGCAGTCTTTGGTTTAAACCATAAATCGTGCAAATCCGTTTGATCCTCCTCTAATGGTGTTGCACCACCGCTTTTGGTTGATTGTTTGAATTGATGATCGTTATAGAATCCATTTGATGCATAAGGATTAAGTGAACTCAAAAAGGATGAACTGTGTGCATGACGAGTAAGTTCTGGACGACTTGCTTGTGGCGAATCGTACATTCGTGAAACCAACGGAGAGTGAACAGGACTGGCTTGAACAGAATGAAATGCTGCACTGCTATTGTTGTATTGTCCAAACGTAGAAGACTGATTGGATGGGAACGGTGATACTTGCGCAGGATTCCATTGCTGTTGCGGCTCAGATACTGTAGCATTTTGGAAGCTGTACGACAATGTGTTATCCACATACTCTGACGTGGACACAATTGGAGAAGTAGAAGGCTTGAATGGCGTCAAGGCGTTAAGAGTATTACTGCGAGCTGGCATATGAGGATTGGGAGTGGCCGGATTGGAAATGGAATTGTACAATGGTGTTTGACTTCCACTGCCATTTTGAGGTCTTCTACCTGCTGTCAAAGAAGCTACCAAATCAGCCGAAGGTTCCACTCCTGCTGCAAGTTGGGCAGCAACTGTTGCACCATTTACGATCGAACGACTCATTTCGTTACTTTGATCAGCAAGTGGAAAACAACGCATGCAAACTCTACGTCTTCTCCAATTCACGAAACCGCATTTTGAACAAACCCAATCGCCCGGTTGAACGCACATTGGACCATTGTTACCCGTATTGACGATTGGAGGATTGTTTTGCATCGTTCCATTGCCATTCCCCGCACCGCTACTCGGGTTTGAAATGTTTGGATTGATTCCAGGTCCAAACTGAACGCCCATACTTGCCAATTTGACGGCAGATGCCATATTTGAAGCAGGAGAAGTGGTAAGGATTGGTGCTGAGTATGACGTTGGATATTGCATTGATCCGTTGGAGATGGGATTGCTTGCTACCAATTTAGCAGCATGTTGCATGGCTAAAGCTGGCAAAAATAAAGCCTGTTGAACATCATGTTCCATTGAAAGTGTGTCCATATTTGCCACTACATCCGATTGTGGCTTCATTGGAAGTGATGCTGGCGTTCTTGGAATGCTTCGATTGCTATCAAACATGGACCCGCCACCATTGATGTTTTCACAATGACCGCTAAGGTATTCTAGCTTGATCGGTTGATCAATCTCTTCATGTACCTGCATATCGTTGAGGTTTCTTTTCTGTTGGGGAGAGTGTCTTTGTCAGTGCCTTGCATGTTACGCAAATGCTGAGTCAATTTACTCACTTTTGTTTTTCAGAGTGATTTCCTTGTTTGTTTTGGTGTTTCCATCCAGGTTCCAAAAGAAATGAAGAAAGATAAGAAGATACGAAAAAGAAACAAGGTTGCAAGAATAAATCTTGTTCACAAAATGTTGATGATGATGTAAGGAGTAAAGAGAGAAGAGAGAAAGAGAAAAGCGTTGCAAGTTGTTGGATTACAAGAATGATTGCTGTACCCTTTAAACGCCCCGTAAGCCGCACACAAGTTGTGTTTTTTCAATTGACCGTTCCGATGATCACTAAGTAGAAAAAGAAAGGTGAGGGGGGAAATAAGATGAAATGAAATTAGCAAGGAATCGTTGTGAAAAAAATACTGAGATCGTGCCTCTTTTCAGCAATATCACGGTATACACATTCATTCCAATTCCATTTGCCTTCAACCCCTCTCCTCAACACACTTCAAATCTCCGGTCAACTTTTGCGGATCAACACACACTTTTTGACTCGATTTGTGCCTTAAATGGTTACCAGCTTATTACTCCATCTATATTCCCTTTAACCGTCCTTCACTCGTCTTGTTTTAAAATGCACTTCAGCTGCTAATTTGTATATCATTCATTCTCCTCTTGACGGAGGCGTACTTTTGTGTCTGATTATAATATAAATAATTTCATCAATCACATCCGTACTCTATCAGTCTCTTTTTCTTGTTCTTGTGTACACCTCCTCATTTACCATCATCGCCCTTTCTTTTTATTCAACTGCCGCCAACTTTCGGCGCGCCTTTTTTACGGTGCCTTTTCTGGTTTTCTCTAGCAGAAGATTTCCCCTTTTTTGTGAGTTTTGAGTAGAATTTAACTCTCCTTTACCCTTTTCTAGCCAAGACGGTATACAAGGTCAGAATTTTTCCTGTCAATCAGACAAGGAGGGCAAGTTTTAATCCCATACCAAAACAACTTCTCTCTCCTTCATTTCTTCGCCGGAGCAATATTTATCCTCTTCCTCCTTGTGATGGCGCAATCCAGCTCGTCAGCCAAGTCAGCTTTACACAGAAAGGACACAGAACTTTTACCGAACAAATGACGTGCATGGATAATGTGACTTTGTGCTTGAATCCAAGTCCGACTGTTTAAAAAAACGGAAAGTGCGGCTCCGAAAATGGCATCATAAAGTAAGGTGCAGTGTCGTGTGGTTTGATTCAATGGCTGGCTCAAATTTGTGTGGGGCTAGATGCATTAATTTTTATCATACGGCGTTTACCGAGAAAGGGTTAATGTACAGTAAAGCAGTTGCCCGGCCATGGCGATCGGCGTTGTTGAGTGTGCATGAGATGAGGAAGTTTGCATGACCGTTGTCATCTCTAAAGACAAAGGGAGGCACAAATTTCAAAGACCGCTTCAATCGATTGTGTTGAGATTGATTCTGTTTGGCCGGCCATGGCGATCGGGGAGGAAGTTGTTCGACTCTTGGCATCTCTCAACACAAAGGGAGATATCAAACTGAAGGACCGCTTCAATCCGTTGTCTGCTTTTGTGCATCATCGTTCCTCGCACTTTCACGTAATGCTTGCAATCGTGTTTGATTTCTCTTGTTGACTAATCTGGCTGTTCTTTCTCTTTCGGCATCAGTCATCGTTTGCCAATTATGTATGCGTGAAATTGTTCCATCTGAATTGACTACCATCGGTCCTAAATTATCAAATTTGGCGATCGAATCATCATTAGCTGTTCTTAATGCACCTTCTCCATCTTTCGTCTGGGTTGGAGGTGCAGGTAAAGGTAGCGGTTGAGAGCTTTGTGTTTCTGGTTCTTGGTTCCCACCCTCTTCAGGAATGAGATGTGCTGGTGGGAATTGTGCCACACCGGACATGGCGAGTTGGAAGTGAAAGTGTTACTTTTGGTGGAGTGAATCTATCACGCTAAAACTATTCATTCTTTTTCCGACAACCACTTTGTGGCTTAACGCGGCCATCCTAACCCTAACCGGTTTATCCAGGCAGTCACTGAATCTCAGTAAATTCATTCATTAAGGTTTCGAGATAAGGTGAAAATATACAGCAAACAAGAGAAATATGATAAGAGATAAGACTGAATCAGAAAGACATCAGATCACACAATCTACATAGGAGGAGAAGTGTGTAAGTTAATATAAACAGACTTTTGGTTAGTATAGTTAGCAAGGGCTGCTTGACCTAATTTTCGACCGATACCGGATTGTTTGTAACCACCGAATGGTACTGAGGGTCGAGTTGATTGTAGCAATTAACCCAAATGATACCTGCATTGAGTCTGTGTGCAGTGTCAATTACACGAGTTAGACATGTATGGTGGTTGTCGACAAGCACCATAGGTAAATGAGATATGACGGACTATACATGTATGGTGGTTATCGACAAGCACCATAGGTAAATGAGAGATAGGCTAGTTT